GACTCCATGCTGTTAGTTCAGAGTGAAGTAGTGACAAAGGTAGCTCAAATTAGTGATTAATTTTCATTCTAATTGTGTCGGAAAGTAACGTTCTGACATTATGTAGGAAACGGGGTGATTCCTGGTGAAATATGTGGGAATCAATTTTATGTAGGTAATCGTTGGACGAAGGGATTTTAATTTTCGTTGTAAGCTAGTTGCTGGTTTGCTATCGGCAAACTGGCAAACCAAAGACATGGTGCTCTCCGTGCGTTCCAGTTTTGGTTATCTTTGAGTGAGCAGTAAATTATAAGTCGAGTGTATAGGCTATTCCTTGTGAATTCTTCACGTCGATTTAGTGAATTCAACATTCTTGAAGTGTGGAATTTTGTAAAATTGGTGTATATTGAGGTTTTGGAGGAACTGTGGTTAGGGTCGGTTTAATAAAATTCCAGTCATTATTTGGGACTGGAATTGCTTTTCCCCCAATTATTATCCTCCAAAAATTCATTTTATACACAATTTCACACTTCGGGAAGTGTTTTTAAGCTGGGGTCTGGGTCCTAAATTTTTACCACCACCGCAAACTGCAGTACAATAAACCTGATAATTAATTAATACAAAACGAACCACATAAAATTCACACCCAACATCAACAACATATTAGAAGAGAACTGGAGAAGCTTGGACATTCAAACGGCCAACTCCACAAAATCCCATAAGTACTTAGTTTACAGCTCAGAAATTGTTCAAGGTAGGCTAGGCCTATTAATTTATTCACACACGGTAGGCCTACATAAAAGAAGGAAAAAATACTTACCTTTTTGCAAAAAGGACATGTAGTTTTGCTAAAAATTACAATCTTATTGGTGTCAATTAGTCCCCTAAAAGCAGATTCTATCTCTAGGTTTGTTTCCATTTTGGCTGAAAATGTTATGTTTCCCGAACCAAATCTTCTTGCAAGTCTACTAGAACTAGGCCTTGGTGCAACAACTTTGAGTGTGCTAATGATCAGAATTATATTTCTACTAAGTAACACAGCACATTGCATAGCAGCTTTTAGCAGCCACTGCTTACTAATACTAATAAATAAATAATTTTCATTATATAATTTTACATGAAAATGAGGTTATGGCTGCGGAAAGAAAGGCATATTTTTTTAGATAATAAGAACTAAATTGTAGAAGTACTAGAAGTGTGCCGTTCCCCGTTGGTCCTGGAGCCGGAGCTGTTTCAGTTCAACTTCACTTCAACTTTCTTTCAAAGGAGCGCTCTGCTGCTGCTGGTGCTGTGCTGGTATAGGACCTACTCCTATGACCGTCGTAATTCGTGAAGTTAGCGACACTTTTTCGGACTGTAATAGATATGGGTTGGTACGCCTGCGGACGCCACAAGCGTGTTTTGCAGGGATGTCGGAAACGCAATTCAATGACAATACGGTGCGAAAAGATGTTTTTACATTTATATAACGTCAATTTGATTTTGTTAAACGTGTATGTATACACGTTAAAACTAGTTAATTGACGTATTTTAATAGGCATATTTGAGGCCGTATTGTACATTATACGTAGCTATGGCTTAATAACACGCGATCAATTAAAACTCCTAACATAAAAAAGTGTATGATCTTTTTCCTAAGCCCATCACATCAACTTTGAGCTATTCTAATAGTAATATACAATTTGTAATTTGTAGAATACTCAGTATGAAGATGATTGAAGCAGTCCCGTAAATTACGAAGCAATATAAGGCAAAATCTATATGGTTGATAGGAATTTGTGTCAGGAAAAAGCGCACGATCTTTTTCCCAAGCCCATCACATAAACTTTGAGCTATTATAATAGTAATATACAGCGTGCAGAATAATCAGTAGTATGAGTATGATTGAGGCACTCCCGTAAATGACGAAGCTATATAGCAAAATCTATATGGTTGATACGAACTCGTGTCACACAATCTTTTTCCTCAGCCCATCACTTCAACTTTAAGCAATTAAAATGGTAATATAAAGCGTGTACAATAATCAGTATAAGTATGATTGAGGCAGTCCCTTAAATTACGAAGCTATAAGGCCAAGTCTATATGGTTGATAGGATCTCGCGTCAGGAAAAAGTGCACAATGTTTGCCCTAAGCCCATCACATCAAATTTGAGATATTCTAATAGTAATATACAATGTGTAGAATAATCTGTATGAATATGATTGAGGCATAAAGATCTGTTGTGTTCTTGTTCTAATGTTCCATTGTGTGACTGAATTGATCACTAACGTTGGCCAGGGTGCCATTGCAGCATTGAATCTTCACCAAAAAATGGTAGACAATAATTTCATTATTGAACCTCTTATGTTGTCGGCTTAAGCATTTACAGTATTGCTAGTAATGATTGGTAAGGTTATGTTTTGTATTCCGTTTCCAGTGATATGGGATACAAAATATGTCCTTACCGATAAAAGATATTAAAATGAAAAATAAACATAAAATAGGTCAGAGTCACCGAGTTGTTTATGATGTATTGAACTACTTTTGAAAGAAGTTCGATACTTGATAAACTACTCGATTTTGATTTTTCATATAGGACCAATATTGAAGATTGCACATAGTACATTGAATTATATTTCAGTATTCCATTTCAATATTCACAAACCCAGCCTATTGTTACCGGCAAAAGTTACGTTGGCATTGTTTTCGTCAAAACCTTTTAAGTTAGCTTAGATATTATTATTCTGAATCCTGAGCCCAAAAAGTGGTTTTCGAAGTGATGTCGGTGTTCACCAACCTAAATAAAAATACTTGATTGAATTTAAATGAAGTAGTTTTGTATTTTTTTGATTACAGTTACATACGAGTTTGATCGTACAGGGACTGATGGAGAATTTTATTTAAATTGAGAAAACCGACAAATATTTTATTATTTTGTCATAATTGCAAAAACTTGTTTGAAGAATAAATCAATTTGAATTTATAACCTTGTTACCAACCTCTTCTGAGAGCTAAGGAGGTCGTCTTTGGGAAACGCCGAAATATGTCTGGGGTTGTTCATTCTTAGATAGCGGCTACAATGCCGGTGCCTCAAAAAATAGCTTAAATTACACTCAAATCAAGTAACTTGCTCCTAGTAACCATGTAAATTTGGCGTTATAGCATCGTAATTTACGGGACTGCCTCAATCATACTCATACTGATTATTCGCTGCACACTGTATATATTACTATTATAATAGCTCAAAGTTGATGTGGTCGGCTTAGGAAAAAGATTGAACACTTTTTCCTGATGCGAGTTCCTATCAACCATATAGATTTTGCCATATAACTTCGTAATTTACAGGACTGCCTCAATCATACTCATACTGATTATTCTGCACACTGTATATTACTATTATAATAGCTCAAAGTTGATATGGTCGGCTTAGGAAAAACATTGATCACTTTTTACGGGACTGCCTCAATCATACTCATACTGATTATTCTACAGATTGTATATTACCATTAGAATACCTCAAATTTGATGTGATGGGCTTAGGCGCATTGTGCCTGACGCGAGTTCGTATCGACCATATAGACTTGGCTTTTTTGTAGCTTCGTAATTTAAGGGACTGCCACAATCATACTCATACTGAATATTGTACACGTTTTATATTATCATTATAATTGCTCAAAGTTAATGTGATGGGATTAGGAAAAAGATTGTGCACTTTTTCCTGACGCGAGTTCGTATCAACCATATAGACTTGGCTTTTTTTGTAGCTTAGTAATTCAAATCAAATCATTTATTGTCCATAAACATATATAAACAATGCATAGACAAAAGTCACAAATGTCAAAATAAAAGTCAAAAAGGAAAAGAATACAATTTCAATGTATATAAAACAATAAGTAGTATTACCTCTTACAAACCTGGGCTCAACTTAGATCACTCAAAATGTAGTTTTCCAAATTGTTATGCCGAATCAGTTAAATCTGAAATTTTTGATGAATACGGTCTTTTTTTAACTAGCCAATTCTTCAAAGCAATTTTGAATTTAGTGCCTTCTAATTCCTTTATATTGTTTGGTAGGAGGTTGAAATAAATTGACCCCATCACAAAAGGACTTCGGCCAGTTTTGTTGAAATTCCTCCTCGCACGGTGGAAATCATCCTTTCTTCTCGTGTCGTACCTGTGGATTTGACTATTTTTATTTGTGTGCTTAAGGGAACATAAGGGGTGCTTAAGGGGAATTTACGGGACTGCCTCAACCATACTCATACTGATTATTCTGCACGCTGTATATTACCATTTTAATAGCTCAAAGTGTATGTGATGGGCTTGGGAAAAAGATTGTGCACTTTTCCTGACGCAAAAATTGTAAATTTAAATTTCTATGTTATTCTTATTGAGAATAAGTAAATTGTTGTGTTTGCTTATTTCTGGATATGTTGATAATCCTTGCCCATTTATCTATTTTATACTAAGCTATAAATATTTTACTGAAAACAAACTTCATGCCCGTAAAACATAATGCTATTTAAATAAATTTAAGTTAGAGTCAAATGTAAATTTGCTTAGTCGCAGGTTTGTTACGACGAGGGATTATTTGTATTATAACGAACCTGTCGACGATAGTAGTTTGCGACCTTTCGTGATGTCGGCTATATGGGAATGAGCTGATTAAACCATAGAAAATAGTCTGTGGTTAAACAATGTACTCCATGTAAATGTGCTTTTTCTTAATTTCTGTTACGTGATTGGTTCGTTTTGTTTATAATTATATACGCGACATTTGATTGGTTTGTAGATGCACCAAAAATCTAGTTTCCCGCGATTTCCATAAAAGGATTCCGAATTCACCTATTCTCTTATTCCCTATTCCTAGAATTTGCCTAATATGATCAATCGTCAATCCTCTTCCCTTGCCAATGTCGCCATTATTCGCTAATGACGCCATTTGAATAAATTGCGTTGCATTGCATTTAGTGATTGTGATGTGAGCTAGTTTTTGTTGATTAAATTGATATCGTACTTTATCTGATTAGCAATTAGGTTTAACAGTATAACACTAATTTTTCCTGCTACCCACCACTATCGGATAATATGTGAAGTGAATTATTACTGTCTTTTTATTTCGACCCTAAGTTAGGACTAGGCCTAGGCTTGTAAATTCGAGATGACTTCAGGTTTATTGTCTGCTGAATTATCAGCAGCCTGCAACTCCTTAGGCTTTTGGTCCGGAGGATCCTACACTAAAAACATTTATTGTAAAGGTAAGTCACATTCTTAGCTAGCCTAGGCTCAATAAATACTAGGTCTAAGCCTAGGCTTCCCCCAATGTGTTCTGCGTTCTAATGTTGGAGCCATTGGTCTTGTCATTTAGGCCTACAATGTTCTGCCTACCAAGTAGGGTTTCCATACACAATCATAATAAAAACACCTTTGCCAATTCAAAACCCCTTTTCCCACATGAGTGTCATGAAAAATCTGTCTCTCATAAGTTAGGGTCTAGGCCTACGTTTTCTAGGCTGTCCCAATGCTGGAGCCATTGATGTTGGCATCTACAATGTTCTGCCTAGCTAATTGTGTTTCCACACAATCATGATGAAAAACCCTTTGCCGTTTCAAGAAAATTTTTGATCCAATCCCGAAAAACTAGGCACCGTGTGGACGTTGAATGCCAAAACTAGGCCCAATATAGGCACTTGCATTTAGGCCTAAAGCTACGTTGTCACTGGTGCGCCTGGAACTGCAGTCATTGGACGATCGTCGTCGCACGAATCGTTGCAGTAAACATTGTCACTGGTGCGATTATTAACTTATACTTTACTTTCACTTTAACCCTCCGAGGGTCACGCGTCAAAAAATAGACGCACAACACACTTTGTGTAGGGTCACGCGTCTAGTTTAAGACGCACAAACATCGTTTACGGCGAAGGCTCTATGACTGACTGAATCGGATTGAACTGGATCGAGTTAGGTATCGTTCTTTTCATTAGATTCTAAGCTTTCTAAAGGTCTGTCTCTAAGCGCTGTTTGTTCTCTGAGCCGATCGTAATTGTTAGCAGACAGCTGACGTGCATATTAGTAAACAGGTTACTTAACCTCGGACTGATGACTGATGTGTTTTATTATGTTTATCATTGTTTTAGTGTTAAAAATCAAAAGTAGTGATATACGTGGTGCATTATAAGAAGATTTAAGTGGTTTTGAAGTGCTGGTTGATGATCCTGAAGAAGTAGGTAGTGATATTGATGTTAATTATCAGCCAGATTCCTAGCTATGGTTAGGCTATGCATTCTTAGCTAAACGCTATGTACTGAAATCCGTTTTTCGCTCATAACTTATTTATTTGATAACTTACCTCGCTATATGATTATATATTTGTAATCCTCATTAAATTTAGAACAAAGTGGCTATTTTCAAATATTTATAGGCCTATAATTTATTACAATTTCATTGAGCGCGAACTTATTTTTTTTTTGAAAATTTTCAAAATTATATTTTTTTTTACCTAAAAATTTTTTTTGAAAAAATGTTCCTTATGTTTTATATATAATATTGAAGCCCATGATTTTCCAAACAAAATGGTATATAGAACATTAGAATTAACATTGTTTTAAGCTTCTCAGATCCGTTTTAATATAACCTTGCAAAGGGGCCAAAAATAGGTGGACATTAAGGCCTAAACTATGGACCTTTGGAGGGTTAACCTTGCATTTGCCCGTCCACAGAGACTACAGATCTGTGCGTGGAACGTATCCAGCAAAGCAAGGGGTGAGCCGGTACAGTACAAAGGTGAACTGTACTGATAAAAGTTAGTGGCAGTGACCAGGATCCGAACCCACAACACTTCTGCCTTGGGCCCGAAGTCGGCAACGCTACCGACTGAGCCACCGACTTACCTACACAATCGTTCAGTTAATTCTTGACTGTTGCCGAGTCGAAGTAGGGATAGTGAATTATTAGTTTATAAGTTTTAACAAAATTCTATTCATTTCTTTGTTAGATGTTGGAATGGCCTCTGGATCGTCTGAATTAACTAGGCCTATATAGTGGTTTAAATTACCTTGTTACTGTCAAAACGATCCTTTGTAGTTAGTAATACTACAGCTGTTTTATTCTTCAAATGGAGCACATCATCAGGTCAGAAGAATGTCAAGTAGTCTTCATATTCCTCGCAGTGGAGTTCGTCAAAAGTTTATTAATAGGTAAATAGAGAACAAAACACATATCACACGGAAACACGAAACATTTAATATTGGTCGACCAGACGACGGTAACAACACACGTGATACGGCGCCGGTTGAGGGTGAGTCGCGACTCATCTTATGCTTATCTTAATGAGATTAGATGAGCACATTTTCTCAAGATTACTAAGGCAAATCTGGAGTCTGTTGCCATCTTAGTAATAACAGCCTAAAACTTTTCTTTAAAATATCTTTTGTTTTCAGAGACAATCATTGACTTCATTAGATTTCTACGCTCAGATACAGATCGGGCCGTTAGAAAGCACCTTGGACAAGCCAAAATCCTTCAAACAGATCTTATTCCTATACTAATTGAACACTCAGAAGATGAGGATCTCTTTTACGTACTTTTACGGTAAGTTTCTTTTAATGTTCATTAGGATAGATCGTAGTAACAATCCTAATTTTGAAAGTGAGATCGGGTATTAAACCAGATAACTGAGTTTTTGTCTGGGTGGTGTTGACAGTGGGCTTAGGCTTAGGATGACCTAAACCATAGTCTTATCTCTCACTAAATTTGAGTTATCTGTAAATTCAAACTTATACAAAATAAAAGATGAGTGGAAATTATTTTAATTTGTATCTGAATAATAAATTATTAATTAGCTTATTACAATGTAAAGTAGAACCTCGATATTTCAACACTTTGTGGACTTAAGGGGTGTCCAACTATCGAAATGTCAAACTATAGGGAGTAAATGGAGTTTAATATACAGGAAAGTAAAAACACAAGTTTTAGGCCTAGGCTACAAAATAGAAATCACCCAAATTTATTAAATACTAAAAAGCTTAACAATTTCACTGTTCATTAGTATCAAGTCAACAATAAATGACAAATTAATGTTAAAGTCAGCCTACATCACAAAAGTAACCATTAAATATCACTTGAAAAAATAGCTCACCACCCCATATCGAACTACAAGGAGTGTCGAACTATCAAAGGTTTACTGTATTCCAAACCCCTGCTATTTCAAAAACCCACCTACTCCAAGGTAAAGTTTAGAAATTATTACTATATTTTTATACATTATCGTGAAGCTAACACAAAATCGAGAACATCTGACACAGTCTTGACAAAATCGTGAACATCTGCTACTATCGCTGAGACACATCACCATCGTCTCCCCGTAATTGCGCTAATAACCTGAATATCACCTGCTTTCGGCGATCGTAAAATCAAAAGTTTGAGGCAGTCACGGTGAAATTCTAAGTGTCATCCAATATTACGGCGATACCATGAACATCATCCGCCATGGCGTTGATCAATTATTACATAAATCCCCTTATTCCAAATTCCTGACAATCCGAACCAGGTTCGGTTCCCGGTTAGTTTGGAATAACCAGACCCTACTGTAATTTATTATATCTATAGCTTAAAATAAGATATATCTTTTCATGTAAATATTGTGACCTACATTGTGATGACTGGTTTTTGCAAAACCTTTTCATTGTTTAGACATGGTTTTTTTAACATACCTCCTGATTTAACTTAACACATAGGAATAAACAAAATTACTAATGATACTTGCCATGAATGTAACAGTACTTTGTACTTTGATATATATAGGCCTAGTCATAGTCCTGGTTTTCTTGATCACCGGTGGACATAATTTGCTTATGTTTTTGTGGACTGTAATATTTAAGTTGATTTAAATCATGAAATTTTAGTGGCACAAGGAGCTAGACAGCATATAAGAGATTTCCAGATGTTGAGCTGTGAATACATTCAATTTTTCCATTTGGTCTCATGGCAAACAATAGTATTGTTGATACTCCTATGAGGGGTTGGTTGGCCTAATGCAACTATTATCGTATGATATGAAGTATTTCAGGAGTATCTACGCTTACAAACATGAAGGCTACATTATAAACATGTGCAACACATGTAAACCTACGTTTATCCAAATGAGTTCATGAACCAGCATGTTCTCAAATACCCATGTGATACTTATGGGGAATTTGGTATCTTTTTTTATGTGATACTAAGCTTATTTCACTGAATACAAATCTTAATAATTTGGGAAAATATATTAATATATTATTACAAAAATCATAACTACCATGTTGCAAATGTGACGGCCCCAAAAATTCCCAGACCCATTAGGCCAAACATATCAGTTGGGGAGGTTTTTGCTACACCCTCAAGAAACCCTGTCAGTACCGTCACAAAAGCTTTGCTTTATTTCAAATATAAAAAGAGGGTCTGTAATATTGGACTGTTAACCTCCCAACTTTCTGCGTCAGCCAGTTGCCTCACCATGGAATATTCCGTCAGCCGTGGCTCAGCGCTAGGCCAGGCCAATGTTCTCCGAAGTGTTACGCGCATGGCTGGAATTCGCTGAGACAGCTGAGCAGGTTGCTCGATGAAATCAGTTAATGCGCAGCTACAGTTTGTCTAACGCCCTGGGCGATCGTTACGCGGCAGCACTGTCCGGTGCTTGCACTGAAGTCACGCGGCATAGCCGCAACGTGGTTGGCTGGTTCCCCTCCTAGCCCAACTCTGGGCTATGGGCAGAGAGCACTCAGTTGAGTTAATCTAAATTCTAAATTCAATTCGGTCGGTCATGTAAAGTTGCGTCGCCTTTCCCCATAGCCTTCTCGGGAGGCTATGTTCCCCAATAACTTATTTGTGTTGTATTTGTAAACTGAACATAAATACAGCAAGTCGGAAGCTACGTATTTGTTTTGTCTTAGTCTTAAGTAAATAAATTATTTATTCGTAGCGCATTTTCTTCGTTTCATTCGGCCACCTGTCACACAAAAGCCAAATATGGCTTGATTGCAGCTCACTAAAAAGCAGGAAAATCAAGTTGATCACTTCCACCAGTCTGTGTTAGTTTACTCCTTATCTCTCCAGTCCTGTTATCACCATATCACTTAAAACACAACAAATTAGCAGTAAATCCACTTTGCCACTCAACAAATCTTGGTCTAAAAAAAAAGTTAAGAAATAAATATTGTAATTATTCTTAATATTGTCAAACAAATTATAGACTCTATTTATTATTATAATCTAAAGCTTACCTTACGATCCAATTGATTTATTGTGGAGACCTAGGTTTCTACGCCGGAGCGTTATCGTCAGTCCTAGGCTAAGCTAAACTTTTTGTGTTTCATCCGGCGTAGAAACCTAGGTCTCCACAATAAATCAATTGGATCGTAAGGTAAGCCTTAGATTATAATAATGATTAATAATGATCCAGAGGCTATTTCTCCAAACCAAAAGACTATTTATTTATTTACATTTATAGGCTACCGTATATTTATTTAATTACTTGGCAAAAACCAGTTTCACACTTATAAATGAATATACAATATTATTTTAATTGTAGCAGCAAACCTTATTACTCAGTATTATACCTTAACATTTTTAAAAGAAAATATTCTATTGATAATCAAATTAGTCAAATGGGAATGTATTTTTATCCGTAGCTTACTTAGATAGTTGTATTAGGTCTCATAGTCCAGCATTTGACAGTATATTATTTTGACAGACTGCTTCTCATCCTTACATCCCCTGTGCTTATGGTTTATGAAGAGGAATTACCACAAGAACGGGACAAAAGATGTGAATTCTTAGAAATCCTCTCCCACTTGCAAAGTTATAAAGAAGCTTTCACAAAGAAAGAAGTGTGGGAGGTTCTGACTTCAAAGCTTGAAAAGCTGTTGGAAATTGTAAGTCTATATAATTCACTGTTCTTGTAATGACCCTTTATTTTCCAAGTGTCCATTTAGGCTAGATACTGATGAATAGGTACATTTTTGTTTTTAAATTTGTTAAAAGAGGTCCTTTACTTGTATAGTCCACATACAAAATACACATGAAATGTGTTTATTGTCCTTTGAATTTTTGCAAATTATTGACAATGTCATAAAACAGCTAAAGTTATAGCATAGTCAATGAATACAAAATAGCTAACTAGACAAAATGAGACATGTTACAATACATATTTTAAATATTATAATTGTATAATCTTATTCTTAAAAAAAATGTGTGGCATTTAGAATAATGGAAGTGATTTAACCCCACAACCAACAAAATCCAACAGTACTTTGGTCAATTTGCTAACTCTACTTAAAAATTAATACCAGGCATTAAAAAAACCATTTAAAGAATAGAAGGGGTTGTTCAGAAGCAATTTGTTGAATTTAGTTTTAAAATGTATTTTCGTATTAAATGTATTAGCTTGTTGTATATTTTAAAATTATATTACAATATGGCTTTTAAGAGTTTTAGATTTTTTAGACAGTCTGAAAAAAACTATGGTAGCAACGTTTTTATTCCATGGATAGAAGTCTGCTTGGATGGATCATACATATATTTATTTATTTTCCAATAATCACATATTTTTTTATAAAAGAACGTTTAGTTAAAATGCTATGAACTAATTTGCATAAGATTTTGAAATTGACAAAAGTCAATTTTTATTTTTAGATAATTTTTCTTAATTAGATAAAGTCATTTATAAAAATATTTTGTAAAGTTGTAAAAATTGCACACGTTTTTGGTTAATTGACTATTTTAGAAGGTAAATTATTTTTTGTGTTTGTTTACAGCCATATGAAGATAGGGACGAAGACCACACAAAGACCATAGAAAGGATCTTAATCCTGGTAAGGAACGTGATGGAAGTACCTGTTGACGAAGCTGCTGAGAACCGCCCGGACAATGATGCCAACATTCATGACCAAGTAATTATTGATTAACATATTTAATTAGTTCCTAAAAAACCTCAATAACTCAACCTTGTATGGCAAAGACCAATGGAAGCAAACTTCTTAAACCTCCAAATAGCTTTGTTTTATTGTCTTCTTGATAATCTTACATCTAGGTTCCAACGCTAAAACTTTTCCAATCTAGCGCATGTTTAGGCCCAATTTCATACAGTTTTAATATTTATTATGAAAGGTAAACTTTTTGCTACCCGGTCCATCAGTTACAATATTTAACTTTATCTGAACTAAAGATTTTGGTAAAAGTAATAAAAGGAATATAGGAAATACTCGTCTATATAAATTTTGATTAACTAAGCTTAAGAAAGACTGAAATTTTCAACAAAGACAAATAGTTTTCACAAAGAAAGCTGGTTACAAGTAACATATTTTCAGCGCTGGTTCCAAGTGCTTGAGAATTTTGTTGTGTCTACACAACAAAAGCAACATTTCAAGCTAGTTTTTTTGGTTGTCGAAGAATTATTATTGCTTGAAAATGTCAAATTAAAAATTCATAGAAGGAAAGTTGGTGTTCATGCAATTAACCGCGGAAGAGGTTGGTTTGCGGAATATCACCATTTCCTCAACTGGCATTGGACAAAGTGAGGTTTTTTTATGAGAATGGAGTTAACCCCGTTTAGTTACATCCTCAAGAAACTATAAAGCATGTAGATTGAGGCATTTGCCCCAAATAGCCCCTCTTCTAAAGACTTGAGATATCAGTCCATCGACATCCATACTGCACAGTTGTTTGTCAGTCACTGCCACTGACTGGTTCGGTCAACAAGGGCCAGAAAACGGGTACGGTACAAAACGTTCTTGCGTGCTTGTCAGAACTTGTAGCAAGCACTTGCTAGCCGGGACAAGCTTTGTCTATGAACGCACATGCTTGATACAATGTAGACTTTTCTCACACCTGTTGGAACTTGCAAGCGCTTGTCAACAAGCGATTGTAACCAGCTTTCTTTGTGAACGAACCCATACTTAATGTATGCTCTAAATTTGGCCTGTGAATACATGTACAATTGAAGACCAATATAATCTTGTCTCTTATGTATGTTGGCCAAGAAAATTAAATCTAAACTAAGAAAACTAATTATTTTAAAAATTTTCTGTGAGGATAGCAGACTTACCTGAATGGGAAAGAGTCCAAAATGACACAATAGACAAAAAGCTTTACACTATACAAAAATTAAAATATTTCACTGTCACTGACATAATTTACAATTATGGAAGAGATAGTTTTCTTTGGGTAGAAAATAAAAATCCTCTTGTTTATTCTAATATTTTTTTAAGACTTGCACAAACCAAAAAGCCTTTGTAATTAACCTTTATATTTTTTACCATTGGTCCATCTGTCAAAAATTTGCAAAAGGTCTTTCAGGTGACAGGAATATTCCCTCTCTTATTGGAGATTTCTACAAAAATTAATGATTTCGTTGTTTATGTCTTCCGAGAGTTGTATGGTTCAACTGTGCTTGTTTTGTTTCAGGTTCTATGGTGTATGCATCAATCGGGGATGGTGGATCTGCTTCTATTCATATCCTCTACTAGACAAGAACAACAGTTCTACTTGCATGTGTTGGAGGCAAGTAATAGGATTTTATGTCAATGAAATTCAGTACAGTTAATCTGTCTTGATATTTAAGTCGCGATTAATTCAAATTTGACCTATTTAAGAATTTTTTTATACATTTTATTTTGTACTAAAGTTGCATTTGTACTTTGAACTTGTAGTTTTCACACTAAAACACATGCTGCATGAAATTGATCTGATGAATGTTTATACAATGTTGCCAAATTTATATTAATTTGACCCCTGCTTGTCAAGGTATGAAAACAGACACTTTCTATAGCTTTAATAGGCCTATTTAAATAACAAAGGCAACCTTTGTAAAAATCATTAGCAAGCCAAAGAAAACTGTATACACAGTGAAATCGTGCGAAAGTCATAACAAAATATTAGACAGATAACTCTATCTATAAGAGAGTCAGCTGTGTGTGTCATAAGCAGTGCCGTCCAGGACGGCGTGTTACGTCATGCGTATGATCATCGCCGGCGCTGTCGTGATGATCCCATTGGATTATGGATTCCAAATCATATATGTACCTATAAGTTAATATCCATCATAGATATTTTGATAATCTCATGTTAAATATCAATAGGCTACGTTGTGTTTTACACTATTAACTGCATATTGAAACTCTTAGTATTTCTTTGTGGAAATATCGAGAATTCTTGAAGTACCGGCAGGAAAATACGGAATTTAAAAAATCAGTTCTGTGGACAGACACCCTGTGTTATAAAAAATATAATATTTTTAGTTTGTAAAAATCTGGTGTGTAAAAAATGTATAGTCAGTTTGTAAACATTGTGAGTACATCCTTACGGTTCCATGGAAACCAATCAATATTTACTTTGAAAAACCTCACCTCAGATATTTGAAAGCCCGCGGTGCAGAGCCCCAAGTCAATTTTGAAGTGGAAATAGTCTTACTTTGGAGTGCATTTCAGTAGCTATCTACAACAACTAAGAGTGGGTGGCCATGCAGAAAACACTGGACATACAAACACAAACTCTCTTTTTATGGTACACAATAAACATATACAGGGTGTTCCAAAAATGTGGGGACATAATTTACTCAATGATTCCTTGGGACAAAATAAACAAATAAAGGTAAAATCAAGAATACGACTTTTTCCAAAATTGCTTTGTTAGCCATTTTATCTAAAGATCTTTTCAACCAATCTTATGAAACTTGGTATTTATGTTAAGGTAGAAGACACCCATGTAAGAAAAAAAGTTACCTTGATCCATTTAAACATTTCGAAATAGTGACCATTTTATTTTTAAAATTTAAATTGAGATACCAAAAAATTAAAATAAGAAAAAAATTAAGATCGGTTTATAAAATCCTAAGACAAAAATGTTTATGTAAAAAATACATAATGATATCTGGTTAACGAAGCAATTTTGGAAAATGTTGTATTCTTGGTTTTCTATTTATTTTGAACCAAGAAATCACTACCGGTACCTAAATTATTTCCCCAAATTGTTTGAACACCATGTATAAAGATTGAGTAGAATTAAAAAAAAGCTAACATAATTTCTGTCGGACCACTTGCATATCTAGCATTATGTAGCTTACTCAAAAATTTTTTTTCATAGTTTCTAACATTTGGATTTTTTTTATTATATTTGGTTGTAGTGTTCACTTGGAATTTCTTTATGTTAACGGTTGAAATAAATCATCAAATGGCCTCCTTTACACTGTTAATAATCAATGAATGATAAGAGTAACTTTAAACTACTACAAGTCTCCACATTTTGAAACTTTGTTCGAAAAAAAAAGATATAGAGCACATTGTAGCCCTTATTTATTAGTGGCTTGAATTGTTTTGAAAGTGAGACTTTGTTGCTAGGCTATTTATAAACAAATTTGTATACACAGCTTAGATGTAAAATTAATTTGATTACAGTTTATTAGGTACTCGTAATTTAATCATTATTTGATACAGGTAACAGTATTAATGCTTAGAGAGCAAACTCCTAAATCTTTGGCTGAAGCTACAGTTGAAAGAAGTGTTGACGAGAAAGAAAGAGATGAAAAAGAACTCCTTGATATCAGAAGAAAGGAAAAACTAGAAAAAGAGTCAAAAATGAAGAAATATGCTAGCGCTAGGTAAGTAGTCATTGTCGTTCTGGTTAAAAATGTTATTTATTTGCAAATTTCATGTAAATTGGTTAGGCCTAACGTTTGCAAATTTTTTACGTTTATATTAATTAAGTGATTGTTGTGATAAAAAAAATTAACAATTGGTGTAAAATTTGTTATCAAACTAACAGAAATTGTATGAGAAGCCATAATGTTGCATTGTTGTTTTAGCCAAGCGGCAGTAGGCTAATGAAGGACCGGTGCCGCACAGGTAAACAATACCCGGCTTAGGACACAGACCAAACCCTTATATTCAGGATTACTTGTCCACTATCATAGCTGAGTATTGATATTTACATTTAACATCCGTTATAGATACTGGTGCTTTTCTCTATAACCATTGGCTCCAACAATTTTCATATCACTACAATTTTTCAATCACTCTCAAAATGCTCTGCTAGATGCTGGTGTTTCATCTTCATGTGTTGTGATTTATAACATCATATCTATCATATAAGCATAATTTCTCGGTCTAAACATATACTGTCAGCCACACAGCTTTGTTCTGTCCTAATATATTTCAATATTTTTCACTCAATTAAGGATGAATTTTTGTTGCAGGCATTCGAGATTCGGAGGAACATTTGTCGTTGATGGTGTAAAATCAATCAGTGAAAATGATGTGATTTTTCACAAGCCCCTAGCCAAGGCAATGTCCCAATCCTCATTGTTTGAAAAGGTAATAATAATCAAAATAACAAATACAATTAACATTGCATTAACTAAGTCAATATAAACTGTATTAAAATAAAACCAACTAATAAAATATATAAGTGCCATGTAAGCTCTTGAGTGCTTTTCTACTATTGCCATGTTTTAATTATCAGTTTTACAATGATTCAAAAATAGTGCAGTATTATTTCGTGCTAGGCTCTAGTTTGGTCTTGTTTTACACATAGGTTGCGGGATTATCATTTAGTTAAATTCTTAGGATTTCAACCCGGGACCTCAAGGACCAAAACCCCACGCTCTATTAGACCAGCTCCCAGTAAAGTAATAAGTTTATCTCCGCTGGGGAATTGAAGCCCCACAACTTTGTCACAATTTTGGCAGCGCATACACAGAAACAAATCTTGGGTTTTATCGAAAGACATTTTATTGTAAAATCTTGTCGTGTTTCATGCAGTGTGCAACAGCTCCATTTATACCCATGCTTATTGTTGTGTATCAAACATATTCAGACAATATGTCTTATCTTACCTGTTGCAGTGCACACAACACTCACTTACTTACTGTTTGAAGCTGTTTTTTTTTTTTCATGAAGAATGTCTCTAAAGGCTACTTAGTACAGGTAAAATTATATTAAAAAACCAGTAGAAAACATAAAAATTAGTCCATTCATGAAACTTTCAGGAAACGTAGTAATTACCATTAGGTATTGGAATCTGAAGAGTCCCTAGTGATTGTGGGGGTGGAAGTACCATTTTATGGGGTTTTAAGTTTATGGGGGTAGTGATTTTGAGAAAATTTTTATTTATGGGATCCAAGCATGTGGGGTGTCGTTTTCTATGTTTCTTAGGATGCAGAATCGAAAAAGAACATAATAAAAGCAATACAACCAACAGTTTATTAGAAAAAGACTAATTTATTAATAAAAACTAAATATTATAAATTAATTAAGGTAAAATAATCCAGTTAATTAATATCAATCACCTATTACACAATTAATCATGAGTCAGTGTCACATGTTAAAGTTGTGAGGAAAATTAACCAAGAAACTGGTAGTTACGCCTCTTTAACCACCACGTGTCTGTTCATCAGCTACTGATGCATCATCACCTTCCATGGAATCGTCAGGGCCTCTAACTCGTTCTTCTCCATCATCGTCTTGCCTTAACACTGACAGCTTAGTAGTGGGGATGGGTAGCAGAAACATATTTCAGTTCTGGCGGTGATCCTGCAACTTAGGGTGAAGATAATATATAAGCCCAAGAATTTAAAAGCGCCCAGACCCCAATTTTTAAGGACCTTGGTAAGGACCTTGGCCCGTAATGACGTCATCAATATGGCGCTCGGAAGAGGGTGCTGGGTCGCTATGAATTGGTTATTATACCAAAATGCCTGAACCGATTTTAATGAAATTTGTCATACAAGGGCTTGAATACGATATCTAATCCCTGTTTGTCAATGGTCGATTTTGATTAGGTCATTTTTTTAAATGGCGGCCGTTAATAATTAAAATAATTAAAAATTGTTTAATGTTTTGTTTTTCAACTCTCTCTAGAAATCTGCAGCAATCTTTCATTTTCCTTGCAATCACAGGTTGTGATGCCGTCTCTGCATTTCATGGATTAGGCAAAATACCCCCACTGCAGCAAACCTGCAGACTAAGTGAGTTTCCATTCCTGATTTGATTTTCAATTAAATCCATTTCAATAACATTAAGTTTAGTGTTAACTAGGTTTGCTGCTACGGGGAGGGTAATAAAGTCTGTTTTTTTAATTAAAATATGAAAAGGTTAAATAAATTCGCCAAGTTTTATCAAAATATAACCATAAACTAGCAAAATAACTAATCAGGGTATTCAAAATAGTTTAGAGAGAAATTGGAAAATTTTACGTTTAGAGGGCAAACATGAGAAAACCCAATTATTACCCCATAAATCCCCCAGAACACCCCGTTCTCATGGTCCGATCATGCTGGTTCGTGAACTCGTTCGAGTAAACGTAGGTTTACACGTTTTTACAAAATTTCGTCAACATGGGTAATTTTTGCTTGAGTTATTACTTGAGTTGTGCTAACGTTCTTTAAAAAGTACACGTCTACAGTCATTAACGCTGTTAAAGTTTGATGTTATAGATGATCATATAGTAAAGTACAACAAATCTTTGGATTGATTCTAACGAGTTCGCAATCCGGCATGATCAGACCATGGGAACGGGGTTTATGGGGGATTTATGGGGTCAAAATTGGGGTTTGTCATGTTTAACCCTCTATAACATTTTCCAATTTCTCTCTAAACCATTTTGCATACCATGATGAATTTGAATACCTTAAAAACCAAACTATTGTGTTTATTGAAGTGTTTTTGTACGGATATTGGTTACCTACAGAGAAAATTCAAAAATTGTAAATATTTCATTCACATTTTATTCTTATGGAGAATAAGTAAACTGTTGTAGTTTACTCGTTAATGGATATATTTTGATAAAACTTGGCAAATTTATTTATTTTGACCTAAGCTATTAATGTTTTAATTAAAAAACACACACTTTATTATCCTCTCCGTAACAGTAAACCTAGGTACTAATTAAACTTGATGTTATGGAAATAGATTTAATTGAAAATCTAATCAGGCAAATGGAAACTCACTTAATCTGCAGGTTTGCTGCGGTGGGGGTATTTTGCCTATTCCATGAAATGCAGAGATGGCATCACAACCTGTGATTGCAAGGAAAATGAAAGATCGCTGCAGATTTCTGGAGAGAGTTGAAAAAACAAAACATTAAACAATTTTTAATTATTTTAATTATTAACGGCCGCCATTTAAAAAATGACCTAATCAAACTCGGCCTTTGACAAACTGGGATTAGATATTGTATTCAAGCACTTGTATGCCAAATTTAATTAAAATCGGTTCAGGCATTTTGGTATAATAACCAATTCATAGCGACCCAGCATCCTCTTCCGAGCGCCATATTGATGACATCATTACGGGCGACCAAGGTCCTTAAAAATTGGGGTCTGGGCGCTTTTAAATTCTTGGGCTTATATATTATCTTCACCCTAAGTTGCAGGATCACCGCCAGAACTGAAATATGTTTCTGCTACCCATCCCCACTACTAACCTGTCAGTGTTAAGTCAAAACGATGATGGACGATTCCATGGAAGGTGATGATGCATCAGTAGCTGATGAACAATATGACACGTGGTGGTTAAAGAGGCGTAACTACCAGTTTCTGGGTTAATTTTCCTCACAACTTTAACATGTGACACAGATTCGTGATCAATTTTGTAAGAGGCGATTGATATTAATTAACTGGATTATTTTACCTTAATTAATTTATAATATTTAGTTTTTCATTAATAAATTAGTCTTTTTTTAATAAACTGTCGGTTGTATTGCTTTTATTATGTTCTTTTTCGATTCTGCATCCTAAGAAACATAGAAAACGACACCCCACATGCTTGGTTCCCATAAATAAAAATTTTCTCAAAATCACTACCCCCATAAACTTAAAACCCCATAAAATGGTACTTCCGCCCCCACAATCACTAGGGACTCTTCAGATTCCAATACCTAATGGTAATTACTACGTTTCCTGAAAGTTTCATGAATGGACAAATTTTTATGTTTTCTTAAGTGAGTTTTACCTGTACTAACTTGAATCTAGCATAAACTCACCTTCACCTAAAGTGAATTGAAAAAAAAACCTCACTGTTTGTTACTTGTTACAGCAACGTGCCAGAATCCCAAAAAACAAGCAGGCAATGAAAGACAACAAGCCGAAGCGACGATCACCTTTCAGTGTGCGGCTGTTTTTAAAAAATTATTCCATTGAGTTTCTTAATGGAGCGTATAATACATTGATGCGGAAAGTTAGGGTGAGTATTTTCCCCTTTCTTAATGTTTGAGTATGAATATACTACTTGAATACTTGAATGTTCTACAGTAGAACCTCGCTAATCCAACCTCTGATGGTCCGACTCCTCGCTTGGTCCGACCGTGCTGCCAACACAATAGGCTTCCGGTAACATAACCTCATTGTCCAAGAAAAATACCCAGAAAACTTTATTAATTGTGTTTTTTTTAGTCTAATGTGTTGAAATTTGTTGTATATTTAACCATGTCTGTCCATTATTAATATTAATTAGGCTCCCTCATTATTCTTTTTGGAAAATCACAGTTCATTTGACAAAAATAAAATGGAAGCAAAACAAAGGAATGCCGATCAAAGCTTCAAGGTGAAGCTATCCGTTTTCACTGGACACATCTGTCTGCTGTGCGCTTGCTATGCCACAAAATTTTGTGATTTGTGTATTTGGTAATCATGACAACTTTAGTAGCCTGTGATTGGGTGTTTAGTAACCATGGCAACTTGTTGAATGGGTGGATGAAGAGAAACTTAAGAAAGAATAGAAGAACAAAGAGAAAGAATAAGCTATGTTTTTATGTCATTGTTATCTTTATCGGTGTATTTTATGACTGTTGTCATGCTATAAGTAGGCTACTATTATTTTATACTTTTTTATGTGTTATCAAATGTTTTTATCGAAACAGCGTAGCAGTAGCCTATGACTAGCAGAAGCTTACTAGACTTTCTAATGTTCTGTTCTTTATTTTGCTGTACAATGTTTGGCAATTTTATGTTTTGAGTAAAAGCTTGAAAAAGCTGTGATTTTAAACGTGAAAATTTTTATTACTGAACCAAGGGTAATGACATAACATAATTATCATGATCGCACAATAGCCTACTGATTGTATTTTTATGATGTAATATGCAAATTATTACATTAACGTCCATTTAGTTTGTGAGTTGGAAATAACTGTTTTATGTCATGTTGGATTAACCGAGGTTATCAGTTATCCGTGGTCTGTTCAAAATACAGTTTTACTACGTTTTTATGTTAATACACGTTCCTCTGATAATCCGACCTTTTTGCTGTTTCGACCATGCTCCCGGTCCCGTAGGTGACGGATTAGCGAGGTTCTACTGTACTTAATATTAATATTGGAGTTTAAGAATATATTCAACTCTGTTATCATATACTAGTACTACGCTACTATGTAACTAAATTGACTTAAAAACTATAACTGATTATTAACTATGCTTTCTTTTTTCAATTATTAATCATGGGATGGAGCTCTGGAGAATTTTATGTGATTCAGTTAAAGTTTTTAAAGTACAGAAAAAAGTTTTTAAGAATGGCATTATTTTAGAAAATCTTGTAAGTCCACACCACAGATATAACGCAAGGTTTAAAAATAATTTTCCATTACCAATCCATTAAATGTGTCTCATTGAAAAGATGCCAACATTAGGGGCGGTGCAAAAGAAAAAGGAAACCCAAACGCTAAGAGCTATTTCATGAATATTGCAACAATGATCGATCAGCTGATCGTCAAAAATTGTTGAACGTGTTGTTTCTTATACATTTTAACCGTTTTCACGAAGGCTAGGACTACGATGCCGCAGCACAGTATTCAAAATTGTGTTTGGTGTGTTGAACAATATGTTATAATTTATTTTTGGGTTTCCTTTTTTTGCACCACCCGGTACCAGGGAAAATCTGTACAATAAGTTACCAGGTTTAAAAAATATTGTCAGTACACAATTACATTAAAAAAAGAATTTGTCTAAATGTTCAATGGAAAACTACTACCGTACCATATTAATAAATATTTATTGTGAACTACTTTTCATTAGTCACTAGTCAGTATTTGATTTTTAATTACAGAATGTAAGTTTGACCAACAATGTACTGTATTTATTACTGGGATAGACGGGTTGGATTTTAGCGAATTCCCCTTTAGGGAAGTAGCTATTACCGTAGGTGGCATGGTAAGACCTAGGCCCGGGACCGATTTACTTTTTTGTTTTTATGTGCCCAGAGGCCAAAAACACCATCTGTTCAATTTATGACAACTAGACAAAGCTACCAAAAAATCATCACGATTATTCAAATTCATAAAACAAAATGGCGGCCATTTAAATTTTTTGTAAAATCAATGGTTTTTGAGTTATTTAAGAAAGAAAATTTTAAATGGCCGCCATTATGTTTTATGAACTTGAAAAATCGTCATAAAATTAATAACTGAAAAAAACAAAATGGCGGCTGTGTGAGTAACTAAGGACTTTCGGACAATTTAAATATGATATTTAGGTACGTTTCTTACCCAGGATCAATGCTCTAAAATATTGGTAGAGAGTTCCGGGACACCCTTTATATATATATAGAGTTATATATGTGTCCGTGATTGCGATTAACTTGAGTAGTTTTTTTCCGATTTTAATGAAATTTTGGCTTAAAAGTGTAAGGGGGAATAAACTTGGATGAGTTCGCAAACCAGCATTATTGGACCATGGGAACGGGGTTTTAGGGGGAGTTTTATAGGGTAAAAATTGGTATTTCTCATTTTTGATCCTCAAAACACAAAATTTCCCAATTTCTCTCTAGGTCTTTTTAAAAAGCTTGAAAAAAAAACAAACAATGCAGTATATAAAAGTGTTTCTGTAGGCCGACTATTAGTTACGGAGAAAAAAAAAAAATATATAATTTTTAAATTCCCATGTTATTCTAAGGAAAATATTGTAAAATGTTGTAGTTTGCTTGTTTATGGATATATTTTGATAAAACTTGGCAAATTTATTTATTTCATACTACTAATATTTTACTAAAAACCACACTTTATCAATTTCCCTTTACCAGCAAACCTAGGTACTCGTTAAACCTAATGTTATTTAAATGGATTTATTAAAAACTAATTCAGGGAAATGGAAATTCGCTTAGACAGCAGGTTTGCTGCGGCGGGAGTATTTTTTCTCAGGACAAATACAAACATTTTTCTCTCAAACATTTTTTTTTTTTAATTTTTTCTCGTGAATTGTTATTTCCTTCTCAAATTTCAGGATGGAACGGGACGGGATTTTTCACGTGCATAAAAAGGGTTTGTTTTTAAAAGTCTTGAGTATTGCAATCACAAAACAAAATCAATTTTTACCGTTTGTGGATCTATAAAAACCTAAAAATATGTAAAAATTTACAGGTATGGAAACTTGTGACTCGCGGTCACGTCGCGATCTTCGAAATAACTCACGGTCTGGGCACGATCGTTGAAATGACTCGCAGTAACGGCGTGATCGTCGGTATGACTCCGCAGTCACGCTGTGATCGTCGGATTGACTTGCGGTCACGGTGTCATCGTCAGTATGACTTGCGGTCACGGTGTCATTGTCGGTATGACTCGCAGTCACGACGTGATCGTGGTCACGCTGTGATGGTCAAAATAACTCCGTGGGTATGGCGTGATCGTCGGTATGACTCCGAGGTCACTGCACGATGGTCGAAATGACACGCGGTCACATTGTGATTGTTCGGTATGACTCGCAGTCGTGGAGTGATCGTCAGTATGACTCAGCGGTCACGGCATGATCGTCAAATGACTTCGCCTCCTGCGTTCGTGGAACTATCTTAAACACCTCTCGTGATAGTTGCGTAGTCGTCACTCGCGAAGCGGCAAAATTGCCAATGATATGATCAAATCCTGTCTCGTAAAATTCCTGAATCAATTGTAATCCCGTCCCTAGAATCGGGAATATTTTTTCCTGAAAATTTTCCAAAATTTTGGGACCTGTCCATCCCTAATTTATTATAATTTGACAATGTCACCTTTATTATAGCTATGCTATGTAAAAATGTTATTGTGACAATGAACTTTGATTTTATTTAAAGAAATGTTTGGCAAGAAAATTCTATTGAGTAGTTTGTTGTCCCCTATGTATTGTTAAAACATATTTTGCATTTATTTTACTTCATAATGTAGTACTGTAACACCTAACCTCAAAATATAAAAAATGAAGCACCCTCCATGCTGAGATTCTCAGAATCCGAGGTAGTATCGGCCCCAAAAAATACCTCGGTTAATTGGAAGTATATTGTAAGTATTCATTCATATTTATAATAAAAACCAAAAGCCATTCCGTCGTTAATGGAATGGATTGTATTTAATAACAAAACAGCCTGTGTTTTTTGTGTTGTTTTCAACAGGAACATTTTTTTCCACAGGAAAATCTTGTACGAGGGAAAAACAACAAAGACGATGAGAAGTACTACTTTTGGGCCATGAGTTTTTTTATGCAATTCAACCGACTGTACAACTTTCAAGTGAAGTTAATAAGGTATGTTTTTAAGAAAAACCTGCATTCAAATAAGCCTGTTTTAAAATTGCTTCATAGTATCAGCGTTTTGTTAGTAGGGAGAGTCTCTTTAGTCACTTGTGAAGTAATAAATCTGGGTCTACTAATTGAAGATATTTAGGAAAAATTTAAATTTCCAAAATCATAGAGGGCCTCAGAAGTTATGTTGCAGTAATAGCAAGGTTCCTACAGACAGTTAAACATGGTGTTTGGTATTAATTTAGCCATGGATTCAGATTGCAGTCAAGCAGTCAGCGGTGTGCAGTCAAGTTTTCTTAAATATGGGGTTTCCAAAATTATTTTATTCAATGGTACTGAAATGTTAACTTTGTACAAGTCTTTGTAAATGTTGTTTTATTATTAAATTAGATTTTTGCGAGTTTTTATTTTATTTTAAAATGGTATAAGATTACCTGTTTCCGTCGGTGATCCTAAATTTGTTGTATTGAGCAACCGTTTTCAAGGTTATAACCCCATCATCAGGCTCTTGTTGTCACTGTTGCGAGATCGTCGGGTTTTATAAACACATAAAAACACTAACATTTAAATAAATAAACTCGAGACATATTGACAGACAAAGACGATTAATATAAATTCGGGAACTAGTTCCACACTCGACGCGGCACGGGCAGACGTTTTGTCATGACTGGGGTTGTGACTGACCTTGCTGCCCCCTCCCGTTATCCCGTTGACGGAAACAGGTAATCTTATACTATTTTAATATTCTAGAAGTGATCCTGGACCAAAGAACACCAATATGAAGTTTTATTTGTTCCTAGACTGTCCTAACTTCCTAAAGAACATTTTTTGTACCTCAAGTTAGCCACAAGGTTACCCCGCCTTTTAACATATTTTTTCACCATAAGTCAAGTCTTTATTAATCACAATACATTTCACAATGCAAACCAACTCAGCTGGGGGAAAAAACTTGACTAATAAAATTTGAATAAAACAGTTAATTGTATTTTATAAAGCTAGATATTAACTTTAATTTAACAAATTATTCCGTATTATTCATTATGCCGTAATAAGCTTTGTTGGTCAATAAAATTAGTTAACAATACTGAGATTGATAACTTCAACAGATTGGTCTACAAGTGTACACATAATTAAAGCTAAAGATGAGTCGGTACATTACAAGACTTGCACAACTTAACCTTAACTTTGTTTTAGTTTAGACTTGCTAAAAAAGGTGACTCTTTCAAAATCAACTCAATTCGCCTTTTCAATTAACTACCTACCTAATAGTGCAAAATTTGTTGATTTTTATATTTTTTTACAGAATTTATAATTGGCTCTTTCAAAATCCTGTTTACAGCTTAAGTGAATTTATCAACCAGAAATTTGATGTAAAATTTTAATTAAAATAAGTTATGCTTATTTGTTACTTATGTAATGTTATGATATAGGCTGTAAGAAATTTGAATGGATTAAGATGACTATTTTGTAATGTATATGTGTCCTATTTCTTTGTAAAAAGATCATTGGAATAAATTATTCTTATTCTTAACTTTGCTGACAAATTTTAAGGGACACTAGACTCTTTACAATTTTGATGTATTCTTTAGATTCTTGCTCAAGCGTTCAAATTTCACATCTTAACCTTCAGACACTATTATATTTATTTTTATACAGTTTTCATAGATAGTAGCACTTTGCTCCCTAGAATTAGGACATGCAATGCAGCTAGTTGCTCAACATTTCACTTTGCATTTCCTAGTGATTTTGTTTTGTTCAGTTGTCATCCAGAGTGAGGAAAAGTAGTGAGTAATGTAGGTTAGACTAATTTAATTTTAATTTTAATAATAATCAACATTAAATAGGCTGTATGGATAAAATTAATTCTTACATTATAAACTGTTTTTATAAACATAAAAATGGAGTAATATTAATTCATGGTGATGATTAAACAGTAAATAGAATTTTGAGGTTAGCAATGCAGGGTGTCTAGCCGACCTAGAAACCAGGAAAACCGTGAATTCTTGGTGAATTTTGTAAAGAATAAGGAAATTGAAAATTTTGATTAATAAAAAAAAAAACGCTCAAAATCACCAATTCCTCTTGTTTTGCTCATTTGAAAACTGTGATCGTGGGAAATTATCACAATAACGGATGTTGCCGTGATCGCAAGTAATGATCCAGGCCTTTGCCACAATCACTAAAGATCATCACGGATTTTGCTGAGACTGCAAGATGATCTCAGATGTGGCCTCTATCCCAAAAAAATAGTCATATGAGTTGAAATAATCACTGGAGACACAATGGTGAATGTTGCCGCGATCATGTGAAATCATCTCAAAAGTGGTCACAATCGTTCTAGCTGTGGTGCTATGATCTAGTTATAATATTCATGCTTGACTGTTTCACATATACTATTTGTTGTAAATACTAGGCACTTTTAAATATATATTGTTTGTACACTTAACATATTGGCCTCCCTAAAAAATTATTTACTGTTTGTACCAAAATCAATATTTTACATGATTTTAAAGGTTGTTTTTGCAATACAAACTTAACAGTTTTTTTTTTATAATTACTACCTCCCTATAAAATACCACCACCATAACTGAGATGGGAATGTTTGTGAGCATAATTTATTCATTTCAAGGTATTAACTGTCCTTTGTTTAGCATGTCTCCTTAATAGTGTTTTTCTTTTGGTCGTAGAAGATGCATACTACGGTTGGTCAGAAATGATCATAACTATTCATTTGCTATGTATTTTAGCAGTATAATCAATATGAACTTTCGACTTTGGATTCTACAAAAACTACTGAAAGATTTGAAAATTTTTTTACTGTGCCTACTATTTAATTTTAAACGCATTTAAACACATTTTTTTATACAATTAAGAACAATTTATTAGCCGTACACCACTTTTTGATCAAGCCATTTTCTTCATGTGCAATTTCCTTAGAATTGATCAAGTTCTTACTGTGAATTTGTATTGCTGAATCACCTGCAAATAGATAAGGTTTAGTATGTTTTAGGCTGGTCATTAATGTAGATAATGAAGCATACTGGGAATGACATTGAGCCCTGGGTTCACCATGTAACACCTCTTTATAAACAGAAAAGACACCATTGCAGTAAAAACTTTTTATCATTCATAAAGATATGATTTAAAAAAAATAATAATGTTTTTTCTTATAATTTATAAAATGCAAGTTTTTGATCATGAAATCTAAAAGATAAATTTGTTTGCCTTCCCAACTTATCTAAACAACACAAAATTAACTTTTGGACTGCATACTTAGTTCCTCTGTTAGCTCTATTGTGCTATTAGCTCAATTCTAACCTCAATTGCGTAGGTATATTTGTTGAGTACACAATTATGTTTTAGTTGTCACATACCAAAATTGCCGACCACAAGCACTTTTATTAAATAAAAGTTATTGTTTGGAATTGTAAATCCTAAAGAGAATTACTTACAGCTTTTCATTTGTTACCAGTAACAATATTGTTTATAACTGTTATAGTGAAACAATGGATCAGGAGATATTCCATTTTCTGTACACACGAATGGAAACGTGGCTTGAAGAAATGGTGACTGACAAGAAACATACTGCAGAGTATTCAAGGAAAATCCACTCTGGGCTGAAAGCTTATCAGGTAAGTTACGAAAGAAATAGAAGCAAATTGAATTCAGCATTTTAAGTACTGCAAAGGGAGCGTAGTGGTTAGAGCGCGGGAATTCAGTCCCTGAGGTCCCGGGTTCGATCCTCGCCAAGTCACTAATGGATTTTATCTAAGTGATAATGCCGCAACCCCTAGGTCTAGCCTGAAGTAATGTGAAAAACAATCCTTGGCTCGTGCCTAGCGTGTTCCAAAGGTACTTTCTTCCTTTTTTTTCACACATACACATATTACACAAGTGTCTTAAACAACTAGGCCACATGAACCAAAAGTAATTTTCAGACTATTTTATAAAGTCTAAAATCAAATGCTTGTTTGTTTTATAATGTCCGAAAGTACTGACAGTGACAAAACATAGTCTTGCTAGTGTAGAAAGTTTTATGAGCAGCTTGGAAACAAATGAGTTAATATATTTCCTTCAGCACATTACTTGCTTATCACACATTCATAATGTTGTCATTTTCGAAGAATTCATAGCACTGTGCATTGTGGACCCTATTTAACACTATTGAAATGCCAAATGAAAAGCATTGACTTTCAGTTGCGAAGTTAGCCTCCTGTCTATACAGACAAATTGTAGCCAATTTTTTTAACAAAGGTAACATAGTTGAATGAGCCCAGTAATTTGTGTGATTGTGAAGGTTCCATTTTATTTGATTTTCATTCTATTAGAGTAAATTGGGACATAAATTGTACCATGGTTTACAAAAAGTTTCCATTTCAGTTTTTGTATATTTAAAAAGCTTGTGTTTAAAGAACATGTTATTAACTAAGTTCTATCTAATACAAGAAACTGGCTACAACCTCAACATGGGAATGGAACAACTACTTCACACAAAATGTAGTGGTTTTACATCGTATAAGGTCAGTAGTGATACAACCAGAGAGAGTTATTTGTGGTTTCATCGTTTGTGTGAGATAAGGACTGTACGAGTCATTGAAATTCAAATGTGATTTGTTTCACGCAACAACTTTTCATATACAGTGTGATTGAAAAGTCCCGGAACGGTTAAATATTTTAAAATATAATGCAGATAGAGCTACAATACTTGGTACAAAGTTACAGGGCATAAAACTCTATTTTAACACATATTCAGTGATCCAATAACTCTTCAGGGGGACGGCCCACAAGGAGTCGGAAGAAAATCTCAAATGGAAGCATAGGTCAATATGCACATCAAATTAAAGGTCTTTTTTAGTAGAATACAATGCCGCAAACTGTACTTCAAAAGGTTGATCGTGCGCAAAATGGCAGATGTTCAAAGATTTCTTGAATCCGCCATTTTGAATCTTTGAACGACTGTCATTTTTTACTCAGGCATTCTTCTGAGCTTGAATTTACGGCATCGTAATCTACTAGTGAAGACCTTTAATTTGATGTGCATATCGACCTATGCTTACGTAAACAATTTTCTTCCGATTCCCTGAGGAGTAAGCGTATAATAGCAATGTAAATTAAATTAATCTTTGAACATCTGTCATTTTGGGCAGGATCAACCTTTTGAAGGGCCGTTTGCGACTTTGTATTCTACTAAAAAAGACCTTTAATTTGATGTGCATATTGACCTATGCTTCCATTTAAGATTTTCTTCCGACTCCTTGTGGGCCGTCCCCCTGAAGAGTTATTGGATCACTGAGTATGTGTTAAAATAGAGTTTTATGCCCTGTAACTTTGTACCAAGTATTGTAGCTCTATCTGCATTATATTTTAAAATATTTAACCGTTCCGGGACTTTTCAATCACACTATATATTAAGTCATCAGTTAGATGACTGGATAACTAATTGAAAGATTGATGATATAGATTAATATATATTCTATTCCTATTGTGGACACTCAGATTGATGTAGGTAAGTTGTTGGAAAACGAAGAAGAGCCAGAATTAATAAAATAGAAGGTATTAACTGATTCATCAATTATTGCACTCTAATTATCTTGATTATCTTATCATTTCAGGAGCTTTTGATGACCCTTCAGTATATGTTAGCGTGTAGCGACTCTTCTGTACAAAAATCAGCAGTTACCATTGAGAGAAAAGTCTTCTATCAGAGTGAATACAGAGAGTTAATCATCCACCTTTACAACGTGTTTACTCCAATCAAGTTCTCCAGGTAATATGTTTGGTGGAAATTTTTAATGTTTTAAAGTCAATGCTCGCCAACATCTTTAAAAGCCTAATCTTGTAAAATGGAAAAATATAAAAGCAAAGCTAAACTCCAATTATTTTAAGAATGATTAATTATGCTAACACTATGATAGGCCTCAAGTATAAACCCAAGCTGCTTGGTCTCAGTCAGTGCAGTTTTATGGTGATATTGGTGGGCCAGCTTATTTCACTGTAGTTGAACCTGAAAGAATCTGATTCCTGTTAATATCACAAACAACCTAAAAACTGAAATATTCAACTAATACAATTGGCAAAAGATGCACGTTTTAAAAATCAACATCTATCACATGATCTATTAAAACAAACAAAAAATCATTTTAAAAAGAACATCACTCAAAATTTTAAAAATCGGAAAATGTGCAAAAATCTATTTGGAGTATTATCAATTCAGAAGTCGATAATAAACAATCAAAGCACATAAAAAATATAATGTTAAAGGGGACAAATAATGTTGTTACTAATCTCAGAATTATATCAAACAAGTTTAATGACTATTTTATAAATACTTATACGACCTATAAATTGTCTGTTTTATAAAAGTTGTAACCATCAAAAACATTTTCAGGCTTTACTTAAAGGATCTAGTAGAAACCACCCATCTCGTCCTGAAAATGCTGGAGAGATTCAGCAAAATTCACAAAACTATGATCGTTCAGGGAAAGCCTGTGAAGAAAACGTCAAAAAAGAAAAGTAAGTGAAATTTAGTACCGTAAAACACCGGAGCAAGATAACGAAAACTCTTTGACCTAATGGACTAATTAAGTTGGTCATAAGGAAATGTTTGATGAAACTTGCAAAGTGTTTTTTTACAATATTTTGAACAGAACTACATAGGGACTGAGCTTTGCTCAGGGAAATCATTACTATACTTTATAGTCTGAGAGCAGTCTTTGCTATTTTAGTTAAAAAAATTAACACTGATCTTATTTAGGCATGAGGGAAGGGCAGGTCAGGGTTTATGCGGATTCGTGGCTGCATTAAATGTTTTGAAGTTCAGTTAGATTAGGATGGTAAAGTGTAGGTTATATTCTGTCGAGTTGTTAATTGTGTTACCTTACATCCATATTGTTTTTAGCTAGATTCAGATTTACAGGGTGTCCACATTCTGGAAAGTCAGGGATAGTCATGGAAAGTCATGGAAAAAAATTCTGGTCATTGAAAGTCATGGAAATAGGCAAAAGGTCATGGAAAGTCATGGAAATCCCCAATGATGGATGGATTTGAGGGGACCATTCAAGGCTCTAGTCGGCCCTAACCCCAATTATTGTAGCATTTATCAGCATTTTTTACAAATGTTCGACGATTCAATTTATTACAGTTGTATTAGTTTATGAGTTTGGAGTTTATATTAGTTCATTGTTGTACCTATTGTAATCCATTGTTATCTGTTAACACATATTTCAGTATTTTCTGTGAAATAACTTGTCCATGCAGTATTATTTGTGTGTGTGTATGTTATATTATAATTTTCGAGTAAAGTTCGTGAGTCATGGAAATCAATGGTAAATGGTCATGGATAGTCATGGAAAGTCATGGAAATTAATGAAAAATTGTCTGTGGACACCCTGGATTAAAATTCTTTATTTTTCACAAAACATTTTCCCCTCCAGCACAGCTGGTAAAACAGGTGACATGTCAACATCTTAAAAACTAAAAGCAAAATATATACATAATACAATTCTTTTGGCCAATAACTTAATCAAATTCCTTAATTTTATATTCATATTTACATCATATTACAAAGTGTCACATAAGAAATCTTTAATACAATAAAATACTTTGTTTAGAAGCAGGGACTGAACTTCTGTCTTAAACTTAAACTGAGCATTATCAATATTCTTTATCTTGTTTGGTAACTTATTATATACATTTTTTCCAAAATTCTGAGGCAACTTTTCAAAGGAACTTAATCTACGAATAGGAAACTGGAAATCCCTTCTGTTCCTAGTCTGATAATTGAGAATATGTTGATCTTCAATTAATAATTAATAATCATTAATAATCATCAATAATCATTAATAATAATTAGTAATAATCAATAATCATAATAATAATTTTTTAGTCTCCCACGACTACCGAAATGTCATCGTCGTCATGGCCGATCGCGGCAATAGCGGTTTTCTATCGCGATTTGGAGATGTGTTTTGATTGCATTTTAATTGTTTTTATTGATAACAGTCAGTAATCCGGCATTTTCACTAATCCGGCAGTACCATGGTCCTATATCTGCCGGATTACTGAGAGTCTACTGTAGCCTTTTTATTTCCAGTCAGTAGTCATGATCAACAAATTGAAGAACTCTGTTGGGCATCTACATTTACTTTTTCAATTCTCAAAGATGTTAAAGAAGTTATTTAATGTTTGTGCAGAACAATCTAAGAAGACTGTTCCAGTCAAAGTCAACCTAGACTCCGCCTGGGAGAAAATTGGTCCGGAGTTATCGGCACTGCTTGTGACCGATATTGAAATTCCACTCGATGAAATACCATTTCTCTCGGGCTCCCCCATGGAAGAGGAAAAGTAAGTTGACACACTATACTCAATAATTTTAAAGTAGTATAATATGTAACGGGCTAAATGTGTCCCTACACATTTAAAATAACCCCCTGGGTAAAATAACGGTTAGACCACGAAACTTAAACAGCCAGATGTTGGCTGTTGGAGAAGCTTAGTCACAACACTAAACTGACATCATACCTAACCTCTAATTCCAAGACCGCAGACGACGTCAGTGTCAGTTGGTTGTTTGATTGTTTGACTATGTTTGAGGACGGGCTGTGGGACAAAATAAGGCGGCAGAGCCACCTTCCTTGGGGTTACACGGCTATAAAGCTTTTTGAAGCTGTCATGCGCCTCCCTTCTCTGCCACTTTTTTGTTTCTGTAACTCATTGACCAATCAGCGAGTGATTTAACTTTCGTCTCGAATTGTGACGGAGGTGAACATAGAAGAGTGAAGAATTGTCATTCTGATGCCCGGCATTCGTTCGTTCGTTTTCGTTTGGTAGTGTTTTGTCAACTTGTGTAAAATTGTTAAGTTCGTGAAGCTGAAGTTCTTCAAGCTAAAGTGAAGTGTTTCGGTTAGATAATAATCTACATTGTTTGGGTGAGCTTTGTAATAAACCATTTAGGTTTTTGTACATTGCTTTACCAGTTTTTAGTTGGTATATTTTTGCTGAAGTTTGGAGGCTAGGCCTGACTCCCAGAACTAGCCATACGTTTTAACCAACCAATTTAGTAGAGTATTGCAGTTAGTGACATACTTTCCGAATTAACGTTTCATAGCTTGTATTAGGACTTTTTAAAACTCTTAAATATTTTTTAAGTTCGTCGAAGTCCCTAAGCTTGTTCCAGCAGACAGGTTTCTGCTAGAGATGTGCGAATAATCGAGATTTTGAGTTTGAATCGAGTACGGCCTTGAAACTCGAGCTTATCTTTGAACTCGGCAGTTTCGAGTCGAGTTTGGTTTAAAATTGTTAAAAAATCAATATTTGTGTTCAGATCTGAGGCAATCCTGCCCCAAAGATCAGCTCTGAAGGATGCCCAGTCAGTTTTACCTGGGCTCCTGAACAAGCGAACCTCGCCGCAGAAATTCCCCAACCTGAAGACAATGTGCCTATGATCAGACAGGGATGGCTCAAGGGACACTGACCAGACAAATAATCCTGTCAGCCATACCCGCTGAACACAGGGTAAGATCAATTACTGATTGGCCTATCCTGCTTAAAAAAGTTGGTTCTGAGCCTACGTTTGCAACAAGTAGGCCGCAAGAAGCTATGTACTCCAGAAGTGGCCTACCTCGGTTGTTAGTGTCCCTGCATCCCCAGGCCGTATTATGGGCATTGGAGTCGCAGCCTATCACGAGTTCGGATCCAGACTCGTGTGCGAGGTCGGCCAATCTTCTAACCTCGGCCGATGGGAACAATCCATCGTCGCCCTGTGGCATGTAAACAGAGGCCAGCAGGAGTTTTATGTTAGATTTAGTACATACAGTCTTAATTACTGTTACGTCCCTCGAACAAACCTCAAGAACTGGATTACATTTTAGCCCCTCTTTAACCCAAATGCAAGTTCTAGGGTGTGGGACAGATGCAGAGATGATGCTACCCTTAATAGTTCCAATCCCCGCAATTCTAAAATTATTGACCCAGGGTTCCTGAATCAAAGCAAAATCTAAGGACTGCTTAACCGTGCTCAGACAGAACACAGCCGTGGCAGCCTTACTGTGTTGTAGGTTCACTTGGAGGACCTGGGTCATCAGAGGGAGCACCAGAGATAACTCTGAGCTGTAGTTTCCCCAGGCCCAGGTAGATAATCCAGCCACGATCTTTCAGAACCTGCGCATTCATTTCATCAATAGCAAGAACAAGAATCTGATGATCATCCTTCCCCTTCCTCTTCCCACCAATGACGCGCCAGTGCTTTGTCGTGACACCAGGATTTTGCCGCTCAATCTGAACAAGCACTTTAGAGGCTTCGACCTTGGCCAAGCGCCTGTCAGTGCGAAGGAGCACTTTAGTCGTGCGCAACAGATTCTTGTAGTCTGCTACAATGACCTCCATACTCCCCTCACTTCCCAGCGCTAGCTTCGGTGCCACCCTCTTTAGCCAGTCAGTTGTTTCAGAATTACCACAAGTTACGACAAGAGCACCCTTCTCATGGTAATGTTTTCAAACTGATGCGGAATATTGGCGCCATCATCACCAAACACAAACTCCATCAGTTTGTCCTGCAACAAATCAGGTTGTCCTGGCCCTTACGAAGTCACTATAACCTCCGTGATGGGGTGGCAACGATGGATCGGAACAATCAATGTTTTGACCCAAAAATATTCATATTGATATAATCGAAAGAAATCTATGTTTTTATTACAATATCATGAAGCCATAGCTCAAGAATTAGTTCACTGACATTAATTGAAAGCCAAATCTAGGTTTTTGGGAGACACAACAAAATCACACTGTTTTAAACTTGTAACCTAGTTTTATACAGTTTTAAAAACACGTCCAACATATCGGATCTCGATATATATCGATACCCTTCCCACACCAGAAACACATAAAAGGACGTCAAAGCAAGCGTCATTTGCTCACGTGAAACACAAATGTCGATTGGCTGACATGGTAGTGCAGCATTGCCTCTCGACCAATGAGAACTCTTGTTACATACTTTGACTTTACTTAAATCCAATCAAGCAAATATAAATTGGTCTAGTCTGCAGGTTTGCTGCAGCAGGGGTATTTTGTTTATATCTTTATACAAAATTTGCAAGGTATAAATTTTTACAGCTCATGGAGTGTTCTTCAAAGTGGAGACACTCTGTCTTAAGTTAATATTGCTACTGAAATAAGAAAGGCAACCTTTGTAAAAGTTATTAGCAAGCTAAAAAAACTGTATACAATGTAAAAGTTTGCGTGGTAGTAACATTTTTGACAAATAGAGTGGCAGCTGTTTCCTTGATGCGTGATGTCATGCGTGAACGGTGTTCGCAAGTGTCTTTAACAACCGTTTGTTGCAGCTTTAAGCGTTGCTAGCGCTGGCGCGAAGATACCCCCATTGGATTGCAAATTCCAATCACATTAGAAGAAAATACAGGAATTATACTAGAGCTTTGAAAAGTTAGTCCTGTGGACATGAATTACATTTGTTTTAGATAAGATCAACTATTGGTTGTTTATTTTTTTCTAGGATCAAGTTTATGAAGAGTATAAAGGCGGAGTTAATGGCAGGAAATCTGGAAAAGTCTATTGGAATGATAAGAGAAGCAAGGTACGTCCTAAGTTTAAGGCTAAGAATACTGATATTACAGGGTGTGCCAGCATAACTTCCTTTTTTGAAAACTTACTTAACAAGTATTAATAAACAAATGATTAGTTGTTGTTTAACATGATTTTAAATACCTAAAGTTTTACATAGTTTTGAAGGTCAATTCAGGTAGGTAAATTCCCTTATTCTCTTTAGCCTACTCTTGAGTAAAGCAATTTTTGGTGTTTGTCATAACAGATGTAAAAATCTTAAATATAAAATTTTACATAGTAGGGTGTGATGCTAAGCATTTCTGGAAACCTCCTCAGATTCTTGGAAGGTAAATAGCCTAGTAGTGAATATTCTGTTTTGTGTGCGGCCAAACAAATTAGGTTTCAATACTAAAAGAAACAAAAAGAAAATTTAAAACCGAAAAACAACTGTGACCTCTGGAATGGCTTGATCGAAAACCTTCATACAAGCAAGTCACATGCAGATCGTTTTGCACAATCGTCATTTTTAGGAATGAAAATGACAAAATATACCCTTCATCAGGAAAAAATCTCGTCTTTGAAACAATTAAATAGGCAAAAGGGCATTTCAATATTATTGAAGGAGAAGGTGCCATATAACCGAATCCAATAGTGCCAAATCAAGTTTTTATTCAAAATTTGCCAAATGTCACGTTTGACGTTGGATTTTAAATTCCAATAGCACCGAAAGAGATGTTTGTGTAACAGAGCCTAATATTTATTTCAAAATCCAACACTATCGAATGAACACTAAAAATTTGTCAGAGTACCGAATTTAGAATCATTCCAATAGCTCCGAAATCAAAATAAATCCTACACTGCCGAATCGCAACGCTTTAAATTATTTCGGCTCTATTGGACGTTTTAAACTTTCTTTCGGCGTTGTTGCATGATTTTGCAAACAAAATCCTTAACCCCCACCAATCTTCTCCCTCAACTCATTCCGACCAACTTTCGGTTGGTTGATCTACACCCAATGAAGATTCAAGAATGCATACTATCGGTGCCACCTCCACCACCACCCAGTGGTAACGCCGAGTAGAATCGTCCTGATCGCTGCTGTCCCTAGAGGATTTCTCTGAAACGTATGATCTAGGCTAGGCATCCGTTGAAATTAATGTAATGATTTTTACCAATAACCAACCTTGTCTCAACAGACCCATGTGCATTTTTTTACACGAAAACAAATTCCAACATTTTAATCAGGGAATCATTTTTATCACAATTAATCAAAAGATCAATGCTACCTTAGTAAGCCAGTATTTATCTACATTGTAACACTCTAATGTTAATATTAAAATCTGTTGTCAGAAATCCTTGAGTTTATTTACCTCTAAGTTGACTAATGACTCAACAAGATTAATTTGGTTTCAGAATCTATTGGCCAGAAAATAACAGTTTTGGTCAGGCTGACATGGGCCCCGATGAAGAGTTTTTGGTGATGCGAGAAATATTCTTTACCGATCTCGGTGAACTTCCAGGTTCGTAAAACTCAACTACAAATAATCCTTACTGTTAATGGTAATTATTTGTTTTACATGTCTTAATGTGAATGAGTAAATTTATTGAGTGATGTGGCAAGGTCAAATTACAGTATCTCCTCTACTTGGCCTCGGGTTGTCTGGCCCTTTTTTTATGATCACTTATCCGAATGAAGGATACAATTTTTATCAGCAGCTTACAACTTTAGCTTTCCTCGCCAAAATCTATCTGTGGGCATCTGTTGATAAACGGTGTACTCTACTGGTCTGATTTAGTTGAGTCCTAAGATTGATCGTGTTTTTGCTTAGTCTCAAGGTGTCAGGCCGATTTTGAGGTGTTTACTGTAGGCTACATGGAATTCTGATACAGTACAGAATACAGATGTAATCTTGTAAAAAAAATTTAAAAATCAAACAAAAGTACAGTATTACAACAATATTACTTACATTCCCTAATTCTAGTAATAGTGAGGGGGTGGAAAATAAATTTCTAGGCAATAATGACTGTGTTTTCACATCATGTTTATATTAGATATTGTTTGGTTTAACTCCATATTATTTTACAGAAGCTGCAATTCCCTCCGATAACACCACAGACGAGGAAGGTAAATGTTCAACAACAATATTAGTTTATTTGCAACATAATTTATTATTATATGCCCATAGTTGATGTAATTTTGTTTTCTCAGACATTTCTAAATTAGGGGTGTCCGGATATCTGGATATTATATTCAATTGTTAATAAGCTCAAACTTAGTATAGTACAGTAAAAGCCGCTGATCCGGTATCTGATGGTTTGGCACTTTTGAAGATCTGGCATTGGTTCAAAAAAAGTTGTTAATACTTTTTTAAGCCTTATTAGTGGTTTGGTAGAGTTGAGAGCGATTGATGGAGTTGGTGAACCACCAGCAAGCATGGGTGGTTAACAACATTAAAGTTTTTTTTAGAAGAAATGCAGTTTCGTTGGCATACAATTCTTATTTAATTTACCTAAAATAAAAATAGAGTCAAATTGTTTTGATGTTTAAAAAAAGACTTATTTTAATATTAGTCTTCTCAAGCTTAACGTTAGTTTTGTAACGATAATAATTGTTTAAGCGACAAGTAAGGCATAATGCATCTTTATATTTATTTGACGCTATTCATTGTATAATAACGTGTACTGTGAATGGATAAAGAGAATTTGATTTTATTTGATTTTTATTTAACAATCAGCAAACATTGTTAGTTTACAGCATAGTTGATAACCACTGGCAAACATTTGTAGCGATCGGTGGGGTCGGGAGTAAACCGTACATGTCAGGAGCGATTAGCAGATGCTAAAGAGCGTCTATTTTCATTAGTCTTGCAATAACGGCTGTTTTATAAAACCTACAGTGATCTGGCATTTTCAAAGTCCCCAAGGTGCCGGATTAGCGAACGTCTACTATAAATATTTTATTTTATACTTATCTCATGAAAAGTATTTACAAATAATGCCTGGAATTTGTCTAAAAATTAATTCCTAATTCCTTAATTCCTAAAATAAATTCCTGGAAATAGGCCTACAAGTTCTCTGGAAACGCTAACTCAAACTTAAACCATCTTAGTTAAACTACTTTTGATTTATTTAAATTTAATTTTGTAAACTTGTTTGATACTAAAACAGATTAATAAAAAAACAATAACTTTCAACAGTTAAAGGAAGTTACAGTTAAGTTGGCACTTGGGCCTGGCGCGCCACGGCGTGTTAGTGTAGGCAGGGGGTGGGTGGAAGCTAGGTAAAGATCTTTCTTCAAACATTCCACTGCTGACTCACGGGGTTGGCGCCTCCAAACGATGACTAGTTAACGTCATATTAAACTAATAGGAGATGACTAATACGGTGTGGTATTGTTATGAAAACCCAGGGAAATTCCTAAACACTCTGCTTTATTAGTAAGTCGTCAGCTTTGCTAGCATCACAGTGGTTTTTGGATGTGTGTCTTTTTAGTGTAAAGCATATTGTTTGTAATTAAAAATGGGTAAGCTTAAATTTATTAATAATTTGTATTGCAGACATTTTATAAAAGTGAAAGAGTTCAACATACTAACCCGCATGACTGCAGACAATGTTTTTGACGTATGTTAGTAGAGAATTTCTCTCGATCGGTCAAGTGCCAGCTTAGCTGGAACTACCTGTAATTGAGCTGTTGGTGCCATGTTTCAAACTACACTACTTTGTAGTCCCCTCTGCTTTATTATGCTGATATAGTGTGTTTGGTCTATAATTTCTGTAAAAAAAAAAAAATTATAAGCTATAAAAACTATCAATCATTTTAGCCTCTGGATTGCTTATATAATCAATTGATAATGTAAACTCTTACCTTAGCAATCCTTATTGTGGTTGTCCGAAAACAATGCCTACAAGTTAATATTTTGTAATATTTTAAATATTTTTTTTAAGTTAATACCAAATTAATAATTTGTTCGGACAACCACAATAAGGATTGCTAAGGTAAGGGTTTACATTATCAATTGAATATAAAAACTAGTTTGAATTTTTATCAGGAAAACAATGTTATTTTAGTATAGTAGGCCGCATAGTAAAACGGTGGTCTCAATGTTTAGTGATACAAACATCTTATGGTCTTTTCGACACCTTAATTCTACATCTTACTCATACTAATCCACAAAATATATCTGCCATATTTTAGCAATGCACAGCCTCCACTTTTGGTGGAATTGGACAATACAGCTGATGTTTGATATGTAGAAATATTATAAATAAAATAATTATCGAGATTTATCTTTAGTTATTTGTTGAATGTACCCTATTCACTGGGTTGTAGCCTGTGTCTTACCTAGTATACTATTTATTTGATTCATACCAAAAGCAGTTTCAATCAATGGTTTTGACTGAAAGTCGAAAAATGTTGACAGTTTCATCTAATCACATCTAGAATCCAAAACTTGTCCAACGTTTCAGTTTTGAATCATCACTACTTTAAAGTTGAATTCTACTTGAACCTTATCGTAAACTCGTTTCGACTAATATACTTTTTTTTAGCGGATGATGAAGAGTCTGAGGCCCAAAACATCGAAATACCTGACACAGTCTTCAAGTTTACTGACTTTCTTGGAAGGTATTGTCACATGCTCACTAAATTCATAATGATTTATCTATTCAAAATCATCTAAATTAAGTTAAGATTTATAGTCCCCACGGTGAGTGGCTCCTTTGGTGACCAGAGGTATCAAATAGATTTTTTTTTGTTCTGAATTATGCATGAATTCTTGTGACCATGGAAAAAGGGATGAATTTCTTGATAGGATCTAGAATTTCCCTAATCATTCATAACAGTTCAACCAACAGCATTAAATTTGCCAAGTATAATGTTTCATCAACAGTTCGTGAAAACAAACTCAAAGAAAATAATGTCTGAAGATGATCATGAACAAGGTCCACGATCAGAAAAAAATACATAGTTCATTCTAAGTCAAGCAAGGTCAGATGCTGATGTCAGGTGAGTCTTCCCGAGGACTTTATGTGGTTTGAAAAATCATTTGTAGGCCTTTCCATTCTGAGACTATAATCCCAAAAATGGGGGTTTTTGACCATGCACGGGGTTGAAAGATGATGCACATTAAAATTGAATCTTTTACTTTGGTCCATGAGTTTTTAATTTATTTGTGCTCTTCAGACAAAAACCAATAACATCTCAGTACATTATTTAATAAAATTAACCACCAAATTTATGTGATAAAATAGGATTTATTTTGTCCTGTGATTGACATTTTTGTTTTATTTGTATGGAAAAACAGAATTAGACTTAATTTTGTTTAATTTCCCTCCATCATTTCCTGTGCAATAGCTTGTCCTGTTTTGTTTTCAAAGCCTTGTAAATCACTCTAAAATACTTGTACTTCATGTATGAAAGATTCTTTCTCAGTAACACAAAAACTGCCTCTTAAACGTACGTTTCTGAAATTGGCAAGACGGGAATGTTGCTGAAAGTCAACAGTCCCGGAAGATCAAATAATTTATACCTGTGCCGCTAGGTCAAAAACTACAATGTTTGCAGTGTCTGTAGATCAAAAGTCCCACTAAGTCAAATAGTACAGTCCGAGCTAAAAACGTGGTCTATGTTAAAGCAATTGACTTATTGGGAATTTGACCTAATGCAACAGCAGTTTTAATATAACGAAATACGGTAAAATACAAGTTCAGTTTCGCTGAGTCAACAGTGCCGGAAGATCAAAAGCAATAAAAGTGAACGTCGATTCAGTGTAAAGTAGACCTCCTGCAACGCTTACTACACCAACAAAACTTGCTTTTAGTTACTTCGTGTTTTGTCATAATTAGAATAGAGCTAAAATTATCATATTTGGTACATAGCTTATCTATTAATGCTTCTTGCCAACTGTTTGGTCAACACTGTAGATAGGTATAGTTTATGTAATGAAAAGCCTTTCGTCAAAATTTGTGGCATAAAATACACGCAAGGACGATCTGAAAATTTCTGGTTATTATATACGTTTGTAAAAGGAGATCCATTTAATTTTAGAACTATTTTATAAGTTATAATGTAGTCTACACATAAACTGTGTAAATGTATTACGCCTCGGAAGGGTTGAAACCTGTCCAAACTATCATATATGAGTGAAAATTTAAAAACGTACGTTTTCAGGAAAAGCACTTTGCAAATTTTTTTCCCCTTTTTTCAAAACTTTTATTATTTTTTTTATTTCATTAACATTTGAAGTTTTATAAAATGTCCATGGTAACGCAATATCTTTGGTAGTTTCTTTTTAAAAGAGCATCTTTAGTGGAAAAACACAAAATCCTGTCACGACCATAACGGACGTTTAAATGAATATTAAAAATAGTTAGTATTATTTTTATAGATATGTTTTGCTATAAACTAATTTACTTTTATGACCACTATACAATAAAAAGGTCACTGAGCTTTTGGTATATTTAGTCTTTCTAGAAAAAAATAAAAAAACTCAAAAAATTGAAAAAAAGCCAATAAAATCTTTTTAAGTTTGTATAACTCCGAAAAAACTTACCTGAGACCCGAAAAATCGTTATGTTTGTATAGAGGTGTGCTTCTTTTGTGTATAAAACATTGAAATATGACGATATTTTAATTTTTGAAATTTTTATGATAGAAATCATAAACGTGATGGTCAGGGACAAGCGGTACGGTCGTGAATTGTCTGGAATAATCTAAATCTTTCTAAACAATCCTTCAATTATCCTGTTAGTTATAATAAAAATATGTGTTTCAATTGCACTAAACTGTTCAATTTACAATTATATTAAAGTTCTTGTCACGACCAAACACACTATAATCCATAAGGCTGGATTGGTCGTGAAAAAACCCGCGATGGTCGTGAAACTTTGGTCGTGAAATTACGTGTTATTTGGCTCTGTTCTAGTGGTAGCCCTGCACCTCATGTTCGAGGATACAAAGTGGACTTCTAGGTTAATCTAGCAATTGAAATAACTTATAAACAAAAATTAACACCATGTCTACTTCATCGAATGACTACGTACGGTCATGGACACACCAAAATTACAAAAAACACAATCTTTCCTTTATTAATCTTGTAATTCCTCCTTTCAACTCGAAACGACCGGCACTACAATCCTGACGTACACCCCGAACTAGTCTCTAAAACCAACTGACTCCATCGACGCCAGGCTTGCCACTGTCGTGCTCCAAAGTTGAAAATTTTTCCCAAATGGTCGTGACGCCAAATCGAGGGACAGACTTATTTTGTCATGGTAGTCAGTTTGTGATGACAATAAAATTATAATATGCTCCTTTTTTGTAAGTTTAATAACCATTGATGACATAAAAATATGGCTTTATATATTTCGGCATGAATAATTAGTCTAAAAACAGCGTGAAAGTTGGAAAATGTACCCTAGGGACACGTCATGGTCGTGAATTTCGAGACTTTAAAAATACGAAAAAAATACCTAGAACCTATTTAAAACCAAATAAATGTGTGTAACATGTTGCCCCCGTCCCAAAAAATATTAAAACACATAATAATAAACTACAAATCCAGTATCTACGAAGTAAAAGGCCAGGGACATGAAAACGTACGTTTTTAAATTTTCACTCATATATTATTAAAACGTAAATATGGTTTTTTCACATTCTGAATCAACCAGTCGACGGATTTTCATTATTTTTGTGTTGAAAGAAAGATAATTTTGAGAACTAGGGAATGTCAAAGCCATAATTATAATTAAGGGTCCCAGTTTTTTAGAAATTAAGTTTTAATTTTTTTAAAGTCTAGTAGCCGACGCTAACCTTCTAAGCCAGCTTTTAGTACAATATAATTTGCTTAGCATAACAGCTGTAAACATTCAGCATTTGTGACACAAATTCAGCATTTGGAAACAAATTTAAAGACATATTTAGAGTTGACTTATTTATACTATGTGTAATGCTGACCATTGATACATTCAATTCCTAGGTATGAGAATGGCAGATTATTTAAATTTGCATAGAAAAATAGTAGGATGTTCAAATTATTTTTTAAAGGAATCTTTGTAATCATCGATTTGTTTTAGTCCCATATAATTTGTGTAATATTGTTCTATATAACTATTAGGTTTTTGGCGAATTTCCCATATAGGGAATAAGCTATTACCGTAGTACTTATGGTAACACCTGGACCCGGGACCGATTTAATTTTTCGTTTTGAGGTTCCTAGAGGCCAAAAACACCATCCCTTCAAATTCATATATACAGGGTGATCAACTCAAGGAAGCCACCATTGGGAAGTCGGAAACGGTAAGAATTAGAGAAAACATTAAATGGGGGACATTCCTTTATTTTTTGTGGCAGTTAAAAATATGATTTTAGTTTTTTTATCATGTTTTCGGATAGAATATGCAATTTAAAAAACTTTTTTAGCCTCGACACTTTTTCGATAAACCCACTCGTTTAGGAGTACAGCCTATGGAAAAATGACTTCCGGTGTACATTTTACATCATGTAGAGTAAGTTTAGAGCAAAATTGCAAAAAGTAAATTAGTCTTAGAATTGCATCTTCATTCCTTAAAGACTATAAAATAAAAAGTTTTCCACTTTTCAAGTTTGCCGCCATTTTTTTAAATAATATAATTTATATTTTTAATTAATTTTATGGTCTTTTTGGAATGTGGATGCAATTGTAAGACTTTTTTACTCTTCGTATTTTTGCTTTAAACTTACTTGTTTAGGAGCTACATGATTTAATATGTAAACCGGAAGTCATTTTTCCATAGGCTGTAACTCCTAAACGAGTGGGTTTATCGAAAAAATGTCAAGGATAAAAAAGTTTTAAAATTGCCTATTATGTCCGAAAACATTATAAAATATAGGGTGTTCGATAAGAAATTTCAAATTTGGCCGCCATTTTGGAAAATGGCGGCTGAATTTCAAACGACTAAAATCATATTTTAAACTGCCACAAAAAATAAAGGAATGTCTTCCATTTTGGGTTTTCTCTAATTTTTACCGTTTCCGATATCCCAATGGTGGCCTCCTTGAGTTGATCACCCTGTATAGCCTATATTTATTTATTTGTATATTTTTCCTGGGGGAACCCCAAGACCCCCTCCTTTTTGGGGGGGTATTCCATACCCCCCAGGCCCCCAGTGACCCCCCCCCCCAAAATATATGTCTAGGAGCGCCCTTGTCTTCTTTACCTATAAAACACATGGGATACAGCCTTTTCTTCACTGATCATGTAATGCGTGATTTTCTATAAAGTCTTGGAAAAATAAAAGGTAAAATAGATAAAATAAAGGTGTACTGTATGTGGTTTACACACAAATATTCATCAAACTGTGTGATATTTTGTTATTGCAATGAACAATTTGGGAGTATCGTATTGTTTAAGTCGATGGAAAATCTCTGTTAATCCTGTTTTACAAGCAAACCAAAAAGATACATTAGTCACCACTCTATGCGACATATTCTAACCAGAAAATTGTAATCGTATTATTCTATAAGCATTGATAGGATTGCAAAGTACTTCACAAACATTATTTCAAGGGTAATAACAGTCACAATTTTCGCCGACTTTAAAAGAGTCAACTAAACTACTATACTAATGGACACACAACTAAATGAAACAACTAATGGAACAACTCACGATGTACATATAACAGTTCGATATAAGCATTGAGTATACACGTCAGTGGATACGTGTATACCGTACCCAATGATATAAGCAATGGTTCTTGCAATTTATTGCTTATTGTTTTTTAGAGTTGTTTTCGGACTTACTCTGTTTTCGGACGTACTCACACTCGTATAAGGTTGTCCACGTTTGTCATTGATAATGTAGCCATGTTACATGGTTACACCCGTTGTCAAGAATATGGTTACAAGTTTTCCGTCTGTTTTTGAATAGCGATACATTTTTTCACATACTTAAGAACCACCTGATTTCGTGCATTACATGTTCGTCTCAATTTTAATTGCTTTAGTAGGCATTATTTTGGTCGATGAGGACTTCAATCGGTCCTTTCAATGATAGCTCATGAAATATAGTACTTTGTCCATTAATTTTATTGTTTGGTAAAATGGATTAAATTATCCTGCAAACCCAAATAGAAATAGTAAATATAGTATTTGAAACAAATCAGTAACATGTTAATAATGTAACCTACATTATTTCCTTGAATTGCATAACAGCAATTAACTGGGCTGATCCTAATATAAATAAATCAATATGTTCTTCATAGGCATAGCATGGGTTCATAACATGAGCCGCTGGGGCTGAGCCCAAGGGAGTTAAAAATGTAAGGTTGGTTTGCAAATGTACGTGACACGCTCTTTCTAATGAGACATGAATGGTCAAAATCACCTAAGAAATTCGGAGGAGTTCAACGGAAAAATTTCGTGTTGGCGTAGTCCTGGATTGGCTATATTTTTTTTAACAATATAGATAAAGTAGTGAGACTTGGTATATCAATAATATAATAGCCATAAATATCTACTGTCTTAAGCTATTATCACTGTTTAATCCCTTAAGGGGGATGGACCACAAAGACTAAGACAAAATTCTTATATAATTTTAATACTATTTTACCTGTTTTTAAAATGGCGACCATACAAATGTATGCATTTTAAGCCAAGTATGAATGGAGTTGAGTGTGTGATGAGTGGAGCGATCTTGTTGTCCTGTTAGTGACTAAGGCCGACGTAATCCTTAGACACAGCTGTTAATTAATAGTCCATATAGTCAATTAATAGCAGCAGAGGTCAAGTTTGGTAGGTATCAAATTAAAGGTTTTAATTATAAAAATACATTGCCGCAAACCCAAACTCAAACGATGATGATGATAATAATGTTAATGATGTAGCTAAAACGTATCGTTTGAAATTTAACAGCTGAAAATAAGTTAAATAGAAAAGGTTTTGGTTACATCCATCAAATTGTTATTGGACACTAGTAAGTACTAGTGCACTTTTTTATATTGATTATATGATTATATTGATTTACTTTGGATTTTAAAAATGTGAACGTTTTATTTTATTAAAGATTTATGGTGATACGTAAATATTGTGGTGTAGTAAAGTATATTATATTGTAGTTAAAAGTTAAATTTTGAAATTTTAGGGTGAATCGAGATGAATCTTTTTTTATAACATGGGTCTCTCCTACCTACATACCAAGTTGGATACATACCAAGTTTCATAAACATCGGTTGGAAAAGTGTAAAGATAAATATTTGTATGTAAAAAATACAAAATGGCGGATATCTGGTTAACGAAACAATTTTGGAAAAAATGTTATCCTTCATTTTCTGTTTATTTTGACACAAGGAATTACTAGGTAAAGTATCTCTCCGCTTATTTTTAACACCCTGTTTATGATGTATTCTTATAAGTGAAAAATGTAAGCTGGTAATACAGAAAGATGTTTTATAAATAATATGAATGTACTGGTGATCTGTATATTCATCTTTTTCTTGTACTTAGAACTGTAAATTAAAAGTCCACTCAGCAGTCGCATCGTACGATGTAGTTCTTTCCATGCGTTGCGAAATGTTAAATTTGCCGTCCTCTTCAACCCAAGTTATCTATTGAACCACTGATTGTAAAAAATTCAAAAAAATATATTTTACGCATCACACTTTTGGCTACAACTTTGCCACAGACAAAACCTCCTTAACCCAAAAACAAAAAAATCTCGCATGCTAACTTTTTCATGCTAGAAATCACGATTTAAAACTATTTCACCATACATATCAATTTTTATTAGTTAGATCGGTAAATAGTTTAAAGTTCCAACAAAATAGTCATCGAGTAGGACTAACCAAGAAGCTCTGTGCCAATTTTCAAAATTTTAGCACAACTTTAAGTAGACCAAAACACGAAATTATTGAAGTCATGCGTCGAGAGGACTATCGCTGTTTTTAACAGATTATACTTTTGACCTTCCGGCACTGTTGACTCAGCGAAACTGAACTTATATTTTACCTTATTTCGTTATATTAAAACTGCTGTTGCATTAGGTCAAATTCCCAATAAGTCAATTGCTTTAACATAGACCACGTTTTTAGCTCGGACTGTACTATCTGACTTACTGGGATTTTTGATCTACAGACACTGCAAACATTGTAGTTTTTGACCTAGCGGCACAGGTATAAATTATTTGACCTTCCGGGACTGTTGACTTTCTGCAACGCGTCCGGCAAGACTCGTTTATGTTGAAATCATACAAGTGCGTCAACCATGCATTTTTAGAACTACCAATGATACCCATGAATTTTGCATGAAATTTCTCATCTCACTACGATGGCAACCCCGAATTACCACGATTATGGCAAAACAACAACCAATAAACCGAAACCAACTTTTTAACAAAAACCCATCCCTATTTAAAACCAATCATTTTTTTTCACACAGTTTTTTATTGATCTGCCAATTAATTTATCTACGCTCACTGAAGCACCAATAAGTGTATGTAATCATGTAAGATATTCTTTTTTAAGTTTAGGTCAGTTGGTAGCACTACGGACTTCGGGCCCAAGCACCCCGGAGCGATGTTGTGGTTTCAGATCCTAGTACCTACCATTACTTTTTATCACTACTTTTCACCCTTGTCCTGTACCGGCTCACCACATACTTTGCTGGATAGATTCCCTGCGCAGATTCGTAGTCTATGTGGTCAGGCATATGCAAGAATAAAAAATGCCTCTTTATTATTAAAAAAAATTTATCTGCACATGTTGATTTTTAACGCTATATGGATTACTTGTTTGCAGGTTTGCTTGCCCCAAAGTCTTGTCTGCAGCCTCTATGTTGTTGGAAACTTTTGAGTCTAACACCGATGAAACAAACCATTGCATTGTGTCGCTGTTCTATAGAGTCGCATATGACTTAAGACTGCCACAAATGCTTTTCCAGGCGTCATTGTTTAGGACGTTTCGAAGAGCGTTAGATTCCAAAGACGCTCGATACTGGGTAAGATACAGTTGGTCCCTTTCTCTTAATTGTTGCTATTGGCAGAACTCTAATGTAAATGATCTAATTATATAATATTCATGACCAAAGGCCTGAGAAGCGGTTAGAGAAGTCACTCTTGTACAGTTCAACTGTGTATCTGTGCGCTGCGGGCCGGTGGTTAGGTTGCAGGGTGGGAGGGGGCTCTTTTCTAAAAACATTGGCTACCCCAAAACAGCAACGGGAAGTTGAGGCAGCCCAAACTGGCCTGCAGGTGCCTGTATGCGTCCTCCGACCTCGAGTAATCCTATTAGTGACGCTCCCGTGTACGACCTTGTACAATTTTGAATTATATCCATTTTACTTAGGACATACGAGGTCATGATCGTATATTATTAACAGTGACATAGCAAACATTTCTGTTTTAGTCACATTCCAATCGGACATATTATGCGGTTTTACACCAACAATAAATGGGAAAATATTCAAATCAAATCAAATATATTTATTTCCATTCGGTACAATAAAGTACAATAGGATAGGTCAGATTGCATTTATTTTACAAATTGTCATGAAGAAAATTAAAGTACCTAGATGTGAATATAAAACAATTTAAAGCAAATTCAGGCAAATGGAAATTCGCTTGGTCTGCAGGTTAGCTGCGGCAGGGGTATTTATCTAATAATAATCCATTTTTTCTTTTATATTATATTCTAAAAACTTACAATGGTCTGGAAATGGAAGCTCAATGTATAGAAGATTTAATAACTATCATTAAAAAAATACCTTACCCAGTTTATATTTTAATTTTACTTGCATATCATTATACTGTTGCAGGAAATCCATGCATTGGCAGGATATATAATGAAACGGTTTTGTTGCTTGAAGGAAGGGAATAGAAGGATATGTCTGGAACTTTTATTTTGGAAATCAAAGAAGGAAGCGTATGAAATTGAGAATGGATATGGCTCAGCTGAAATAAAGTAAGTACTTGCAAATAAACTAAATGAAATTAAAATGAAAATCTTTTTATAAACAGTTTTTGGACGGACTCGACAACTATAAAACCCCACAATTGTGTCCCGTAACAAATTATAGCCTTAACTATAGACTCAAAGCAAACACTTTTGGAAGATATTGGCAAATTTTTATTAGTTATCAGCCTGTCCCAAATTGAATTTAGAGCAAATTTACCTATTTTAAATTTTTCCTTGAAGTGTGAGGTCCTTTATGCGCTAACAAGATTAAAACCCCTATGTGAAAAGGAAACTTTAAAAAATATATATTTTTCATACATGCATTCAGTCATATCATTTGGAGTTTCGATAACATTTTTCCTGATTTGTAATCAGTGTACTACTGATGGAAACTGTTACTATGGTAATAATTGCTAAATATAAAACTCTATTTTGGAGTTTCCATGTCTGGTTTTATTGTAATAGTATAATGCACATTTATGTTTTTCATTTTTTTAAACACAACACCTATTTAACTATGAAAAATTTAAATATCATGTAACCGCAAATATTACTCAGTAAGTTACAACTCATTTGTGTTAAACACTAAAAATAATTCAACAACTTGGCTTTATTCATCATCAGGATCTGAAGCTGTGCTTTGTATGCTCTACGACTGCAACTAACTAGATAAATATTTTAGCTATGTTGATATAATACAACTTTCTATTGTAATGAAAAGGTTATTGGTAGCCTAGATGTCTCGAGCAAACATCATAAATACTTCGTCAAGCGCAGTTTTACTCAGTAGGAGGAATGTGTTTGTGTTTTTCATTTAATATATTGTCCGTTCATCAAGTGGTTAGCCGAGTGTTAAGGCATTGCTTATTATCAAAGCTTTGCCAGTGAGTAGATCCTCAGAAAAGTTGGAGATAGAGGGCAGCTGTCAGGATCATTAGGGTTTTTACAAGTTATCCTGACTAAAGAATCAGCTGGTCCTAATCAATCAGTAGCAAAGCTACCACGTCTTTCATTCAACACACATTCTTTATTTTTAGTAGCCAATAATTGATTATGTGGAGTGTTTGAGTAAATTAATGAAAAATTAAGAGAGAGAAAATAAAAGTCATGTTTAAAAGAAGAACAGAAAGGAATGATGTTTATTTATATAATAGTACAGGTAAAATTATACTAAAAAACCAGTAGAAAACATAAAAATTAGTCCATTCATGAAACTTGCAGGAAATGTAGTAATTACCATTAGGTTTTGAAATCTGAAGAGTCCCTAGTGATTATGGGGGTGGAAGTACCATTTTATGGAGGTTAAAGTTTATGGGGGTAGTGATTTTGAGAAAATTTTTATTTATGGGATCCAAGCAAGAGAGGTGTCGTTTTCTATGTTTCTTAGGATGCAGAATCGAAAAAGAACAAAATAAAAGCAATACAACCAACGGTTTACTAGAAAAAGACTAATTTATTAACGAAAAAATTAAATATGACAAATTAATTAAATAAAATAATCCAGTTAATATCAATTACTGTATTACAAAATTGACTATGAGTCTCTGTGTCAAATGTTAAAGTTGTAAGGAAAATTAACCAAGAAACTGGTAGTTTTGCCTCCTTAACCACCACGTGTCATATTGATCATCAGCTACTGATGCATCATCACCATCCATGGAATGGTGAGGGTCTCTAACTCGTTTTTCTCCGTCGTCTTGACTTAACACTGACGGCTAAGTATGGGTATCAAAAATATTTCAGTTCTGGCGGTGATCCTGCAACTTAGGGTGAAGATAAAATATAAGACCAAGAATGTAAAACCGCTCGGACCCCAATTTTTAAGGACCTTGGTCGCCCGTAATGACGTCATCAATATGGCGCTCGTAAGAGGATGCTGGGTCGCTATGAATTAATAAATGCCTGAACCGATTTTAATGAAGTTTGGCATACAAGTGCTTGAATACGATATATAATCCCAGTTTGTCAATGGTCGAGTTTGATTAGGCCATTTCAAAATGGTGGCCGTTAATCACTAAAATAATTAAAAATTGTTTAGTTGTTAACAACAAGTTGTTTTATCAACTCTCTCCAGAAATATGCATCAATCTTTCATTTTCCTTGCAATGACAGGTTGTGATGCCGTTTTTGCATTTCATGGAATAGGCAAAATACCCCCACCGCAGCAAACCTGCAGATTAAGTGAGTTTCCATTTGCCTGACTTGATTTTCAATTTAATCGATTTCAATAACCTAAAGTTTAATTAGTGTTAACTAGGTTTGCTGCTACGGGGAGGGTAATAAAGGGTGTTTTTTAGTTAAAATATGAATAGGTTAAAATAAATAAATTGTCCAAGTTTTATCAAAATATAACCATAAACTAGCAAAATATCCAATCATGGTATTCAAAATGGCTTAGAGACAAATTAGAAAATTTTACGTTTAGAGGGGCAAACATGAGAAAACACAATTTTTACCCCATAAATCCCCCAAAAACCCCTGTCCTCATGGTTCGATCATGCTGGTTCGCAATCTCGTTCGAGTAAACGTAGGTTTACACGTTTTTACCAAATTTCGTCAACATTGGGTCATTTTTGCTTGAGTTATCGTGCTAAACGTTCTTTAAAAAGTACACGTCTACAGTCATTAACGCTGTTAAAGTTTGATGTTATGTCATTTAAAAAAGTAAAAAAAAATCTTTAGATTGATTTTAACGAGTTCGCAATCCAGCATGACCAGACCATGGGAACGGGGTTTTTGGGGTCAAAATTGGGTTTTGTTATGATTAACCCGTACGCATAAAATTTTCAAATTTCTCTCTAAACAATTTTGGATACCATGATGATTTTGAATACCTTAAAAACCAATAATTTTGTTTATTGAAGTGTTTTTGTACGAATATTGGTTACCTACCGAGAAAATTAAAAAATTGTAAATTTATCATTCTCATTTTATTCTTAAAATGGAGAATAAGTAAACTGTTGTAGTTTGCTCGTTTAAGGATATATTTTGATAAAACTTGGCAAATTTATTTATTTTGACCTTGGATATTAATATTTTAATAAAAAAACACTTTATTATCCTCTCCGTAGCAGCAAACCTGGGTACTAATTAAACTCAATTAAAATATATTTAATTGAAAATCAAATCAGGCAAATGGAAACTCGCTTAATCTGCAGGTTTGCTGCAGTGGGGGTACTTTGCCTATTCCAGGATATACATAGACGGCATCACGACCTATGATTGCAAGGAAAATGAAAGATTGCTGCAGATTTCTGGAGAGAGTTGATAAAACCAAACACTAATCAATTTTTAATTATTTTAGGGATTAACGGCCGCCATTTTTAAATGACCTAATCAAACTCGACCATTGACAAACTGGGATTATATATCGTATTCAAGGACTTGTAAGCCAAATTTCATTAAAATCGGTTTAGGCGTTTTGGTATTACAGTATAACCAATTCATAGCGACCCAGCACCCTCTTACGAGCGCCATATTGATGACGTCATTACGGGCGACCAAGGTCCTTAAAAATTGGGGTCCGAGCGGTTTTACATTCTTGGTCTCATATATTATGTTCACCCTAAGTCGCAGGATCACAGCCAGAACGGAAATATTTTTTCTGCTGCTCATACTCACATAGCTGCCAGCGTCAAGTCAAGACGACGATGGAGAAGAACGAGTTAGAGACCTTAACCATTCCATGGATGGTGATGATGCATCAGTAGCTGATGAACAATATGATACGTGATGGTTAAAGAGGCGAAACTACCAGTTTCTTGGTTAATTTTCCTCACAACTTTAACATGTGACACAGACTCATGGTCAGTTTTGTAATAATTGATATTAACTGGATTATTTTACCTTAATTAATTTGTCATATTTAGTTTTTCATTAAAAAATTAGTCTTTTTCTAATAAACTGTTGGTTGTATTGCTTTTATTATGTTCTTTTTCGATTCTGCATCCTAAGAAACATAGAAAACGACACCTCACTTGCTTGGATCCCATAAATAAAAATGTTCTCAAAATCACTACCCCCATAAACTTTAACCCCCATAAAATGGTACTTCCACCCCCACAATCACTAGGGACTCTTCAGATTTCAAAACCTAATGGTAATTACTACGTTTCCTGCAAGTTTCATGAATGGACTAATTTTTATGTTTTCTTAGGTGAGTTTTACCTGTACTATAATACAATGGATTATCTTAAAATCATCAGCTGTTTTAGTAATTTAAAAAATTCTAAACAGGCTAAAGAAAAATTTTAGATAAAAGAACTGAACATACTCCCGGCCTTGAAGTGTCCTCACTTCAACAGTTAGTTTAGAACAAAACACATTAGGGGTACCTAACACAAAAGTTTGTTGTAGGCCGGATATAGCATCTGTTTGCATTTTTCTACTTCTCCTTTTCAACCTATACCATCTTTGCTGGGAAACACCTTAAAAACTGTTGCTGGAGACCACCGAAGTCCAAGCTCTTTGAAATGTTGAGCATCAGAGTTTTGAAGGAACTTTGGTGTTTTATAATGAGATTGAGTAACCGAAGTGAACAAGTCTTGACAGTTCATAACACATTTCTTCAATTCAACGCACTCTTGTTTCAATAATTCAACTAGGTGAGATTGGAGGATGAGCGCTTCCTCTGTAGTTTGTGATGAAGAGTAGCTATTGCTCAGAGCTCCATCGGAAGATACAACCACTTGACTGGATTGCTTGACTGTCTTTACTGTAGTGGTTTCATTCTCTGTTGTGTTAGCGGCGGCACTGTCTGTTGGTTTAACAGCAACACGATCGGTAGGATGGGTGGTGGTATCATTATCGGTAGGATGAATAACAGTATTGTCTCTTGGGATGACAGCAATGTTGGTAGGTTGGATGGCAGCACTATCACTTGTCAAGGTAATTGAGCTCACTGTTGTATCTGTATTCGTTGGTTGATCAGCACTGTCACTTGTCAAGGTAATTGAGCTCACTGTTGTATCTGTATTCGTTGGTTGATCAGCACTGTCACTTGTCAAGGTAGTTGAGCTCACTGTTGTATCTGTATTCATTGGTTGAGGTTTTGTCACTGTCTTTGTGGTATTTCTAATCATCGTGTTTGCGAACTTAGGTATTGTGATTGTCACTGGCCTCTTTATTGTGATGAGTTTTGTTCCAGGTTGTATAATGTCGTTGCCTTTGATTTGAAACTGACTTGATGAGTTCGGTTTGATTACATGCACTGCAGTAGTTCTATGAGGTTGAGCTGAACTGCAATTAACCTTGGCCAAATAAGGGTTAGAACCAATTTTTGAAAGCAGCACTTTAATGTAGCTGGTGATGTGGATGAATAGTTCACTGATTTGGTCTTCATCTTCAGCTAAAGTTTCAATGTTCAAATCATCTTCACTTGATGTACTTACAATTCGATAAAAATAAGAATCAAAGTCTTTTTTCTTCTTCTTGGTTTCTTGCATGAGAGTCTTTAAGGCTTCGTGTTGCACAACTGTTAATGTTTCTTTTTGTTCAACATGTTGATCTATGATGTTTCTTATTTTGTTCATACAATTTTTAATAAAAGATGTGTGTCGTGTATAAGTCTCAATTTTTAAATCACTATTTGGAGATGCCATTGTACAAAGATGAGATAAATGTAAAAAATTCACAAAGTGTAAATGAGTGAGTGAAGAGTTCCAATGTGGAAATAAGAGTTCAAATGGGTAAGAGTTCAGAGGTACAGAAAACAATGGGTAAAATGAAGAAATATTAATATAAGAAGAGTTTAGTGGATGTGTGTAATATTCCAAATCGCTTAAGTAATATCCGGCTCGAAGGACCATTAAATAATGTGGAGTGTTTGAGTAAATTAATGAAAAATTAAGAGAGAAAAAATAAAAGTCATGTTTAAAAGAAGAACAGAAAGGAATTATGTTTATTTATATAATACAATGGATTATCTTTAAATCATCAGCTGTTTTAGTAATTTAAAAAATTCTAAACAGGCTAAAGAAAAATTTTAAATAAAAGAACTGAACAGATTAGTCTTGCCACAAAAATACCTACTTACTTACTTACTTTCCGTGTCCGGAAATCAGACTTCGCTTTTCCAAAAATTAGCTACCGATATGGCTTTGTCATTTGCATGTAAAAGATCATCTAATTTGCAAGACTGATCTAGGCGTGGGCAGATCAGCAGATGGCCAGGATCCTGAACAGCACCACACGCGCACAAGATGTTTTCTTCGTCTGGTAAGAGACCCCATTTCTGCATGTTTGTCTTGCATTTTGGTACCTCGACCCTAATTCGATTTAGGGTCTTCCACACCGTGTAATGAAGGCCTCCACCAGGAGCCAGTTCCTCCCTGGCTGGTATGGGAGGGTTAGTCAACGTAGCCTCCCACCTTGCCACCCGATTGCTTGAGAGTGATCCATCCAGGACTCGTGTCCGTGATAAAAAGCTCTTTCTGGACCGAAGCCGTCGCTCTGCAGGTTGGTGGCCGTGTAATGGGTGACGAGGGTCTGCCTCTTGCTTAGTCCTTTCTACGTCGGCAGCGACATCACGTCGGATTGATGGAGGGGCGATCCCTATGATAGGATAGAGTTTGTGTACAGGGGTTGGTTTCAAACACCCAGTTACAATCCGAGCCATGTTATTGACTGCAATGTCAACCTTTTTTGCATGTGACGATGCATTACATACTGGTGCATCGTACTCCGCAGCCGACACACTGAGCGCTAAAGCTGAGGTTCTGAGTTCATTAGGGTTAGCACCCCAGCATCTGCTGGTGAGTTTCCTGATAATATTATTCCTCGCTGAGACTTTACCTCTTGTCGCAATACAATGCGCCTTAAATGTCAGTGTGCGGTCCAGTATGACACCAGGGTATTTGGGTGTAGGACAATGCTGAAGACGGTCTCCCCGCCACCTCACATTCAACTCACTGCCGCTTCTCTATTGTTTAGATGAAAGGCACAAACTTGGGTCTTAGCAGGGTTCGGCTTGAGGTGATTTGCGTCATAGTACTGGGAAAGTTCATTTAGAGTCATAGTCAGCTTCTGTTCTACCTCTTCAATATTCCTACCTAGTGCCGCCACCGCCGTATCATCAGCATATATATACTGACGTGTAGCGTTTGGCAACGGTTGATCGTTACATCGTAACATATGCCACAAAAATGTTCGTATACAACATTAATAAGTTTCAACCATTTGTTTGTTTTTATAGTGCACATTCGGCCAAGAACGTATGGACAGAAGAACAAGAGGATGAGTTACGACATCTTGCTGCCGAATACGAGGAACCCCCTGCAAAAGAAGAACCAGGTAAAATAACAATTTTCTTCATATTATATTCATCTTGCTAGGATTGGTTATATATTGGGGTCTGCGTGTAGTAGACTCTCAGTAATCTGGCAGATATAGGACCGTGATAATGCCGGATTAGTGAAAATGATGGATTACTGGAATGTTATCGATATACACTGCAACAAGTGCAAAACACGTCACCGAGGATCGCAGGAACGGAAACTGCAACTGACACGATCGGGCATGACGACGATGACGTTTCCGTGACCCCGGGAGGCTATGATAATGTCCAAACGGCCGCGAGAGATGTTCATGATTTTGCCACAATCGCGTAAGACTACGACAACGTTTCCGTGACCCCGGGAGGCAATGATAATATCTAAACGGCCGCGAGAGATGTTCATTGCGATCCTCAACTGTCTAAAGGCGCCGGATTATTGGAGTGCCGGAGTGGCGAAGTGCCGTATTAGAGAGGGTCTACTGCACAGACAATTTAAGCTTCGTATGGTTCGGTACGTTACAATGAAAAAGGCAAATACCCCCGCCGCAGCAAACCTGCAGACTAAGCAAATTTCAACTTGTCTGATTACATTTTTACTAAAATATTTCCATAAATAAGAGATATTTATTCCCTATTTAAATAACATTAGATTTAACGAGTGCTTAGGTTTGCTGCTACAGGGAAGGTAAAAAGTGTTTTTGACCATACATCAATAGTATAGGATGAAATAAATAAATTTGCCAAATTTTATTAATATATATTCATAAACAAATAAACTACTACAATTTTCATTTTCTCTGTGACTGTTAAGCATACAACAGCACTTCAACATACTAAATTATTTATCTTTTTAAGCTCTAAAAAAACGGTTTAAAAATAAATTGCAAAATGTTTGGTTTTTAGGGTCAAAAAATGGGAAAACCCCATTTTTACCCTATAAAACCTTCCATAAACCCCCGTTCCCATGGTCCGATTATGCTGGATCGCGAACTCGTTTGAATAACCGTCAGTTTACACGTTTGTACCAAATTTCATCAAAATCGGATAATTTTTGCTTGAGTTATCGCGCTAACGGACACTCACACACACATATAGGTATATATATATATGAATTTGAACAGATGGTGTTTTTGGCCTCTAGGGACCTCAAAATTAAAAATTAAATCAGTTCTGGGTCCAGGTCTTACCATGAGTACAACGGTAATAGCTTATTCCCTATATGGGAAATTCGCTAAAAGGAGTTACGAAGAAATAAAACTCCATAAAGATCATGTGGTTTTTTCTTACCAATAATGTTAAGATGATCGGTTTAATACAAAAACAAAATGTTGTTTGTATACTACTTCTCCAAAACTATTACTATTCGATTGAAACTCAAGTAGTTCAAAAGCATCGAGCCGAGCTCGAGTAGTTAACTACTCATATAACTTCTCAAACGTTTTGAGTACTCGCACACCCCTTGTTTTATGTGAGATAATATGACTAAAATTGAGAAAAGTACCACTTAAGCTAGGAATATTAAGTTAAGTTTGAATTAAAGCTAAAAACACGTAGTTCGGGTAACCGGAGTTTGTTAACTCGGGAACTCGCTAACCCTATGTTAATGAAGTGATCCGTCATAATGAAGTGAAAATAGGTCGACAATGAATGGTGGTGTATACTTATCTTTATCTAACACTATTTTGAGATTATGGTGTTAGTTTGTAAATGCACAATGTTAAAATGGGTTGAAAATAAAGTCATAAAAAGTCTTCATAAATTTAGAACGGATCAAGATTTTTAAAAACTAATTGTGGCATTGTAATCAGCGTAAAATTATAGTTTGAAATAATGAGTCACAACCCTATCCTTGAAAAAAAACTTTGTATCCAATATGGCGGATCCAAGATGGCAGCCACAAATGCATACCCAGTCAAGATGAAGTACTTACCACTCTACAATGATCTGACGTGGTCCGGAGTTTATATCTTAAGAAATGTAGAAAAAAGAGGGGGGGGGGAACTCATTTAAAACTCACCCTGTATACTGTTATTTTAATGATTATTATTATCATCATGTTCATTTATTATATGCTTGGTTACATAAATATTACTCTACATGTGTGCAAATACATAGGGTGAGTGCACCAGTGAATGACCACCCCCCAGTGAATGACCGTTTTGTATAAAAAACCTCATATCAGGCTTTCTGTATTCCCTAGTCCATTACAAACGTGTTTAAAAGTAACTTTGGGGCCTTATTAAAATTCACTCTTTGACTGATTCAAAAAGAAAGTGTCAATCGTCCTTTTGTAACATAAACAAAATTAGATGTTTCAAGCAGTTCGTTTCTAAGCTTCCCACTATGGCGTCTCGCACAAACATGGTTGGTTGTAATTTGTCACGGCTCCTTAATTATTGATTGGAACTCTAATATATTACATGCAATTCATAGTTAACATGTTAAGGTACAAATCTGTACTCATTTTAAGATAAAAATCCAAACCAATTGTATATTTAAACTGCCGGTCAATTACTGGTTCAGAAATTAGGGAATAACCAGTGAATGACCGTTTCGGTTAATTGACCGATTTGGGTTTATTTTCTTTATTGATATTGATGACAATGTTTTCTGATTGAGTAAGCGATTGCTAGGAAACAAAAATTTTTGTTAGAAATTATGTGGATACACTATAACCAAAGTTTGAATGCGAGTTAAATCTTACGGTCATTTCCTAGATAAAAAGTGATCTTTCACTAGAACCTATATTTTAATAACCCTGATATCGTTATTTTTCACTACAGGGTTTTCAGCTTCCATGCAAAAATCTTGAACGGGGGTTATTCGATAAAAAGGAGGAGGTTTAATACAATTTTAAAATTGTTATGTAATATGCGGTCATTCACTGGTGCGGTGATTTATGTGCAAATAAATTGTATTTTCGATACTTTTTTTGAACATAATACATTAAGTAGTATCATCGGGAAGTACAGGGAAATATGGGCAATATATTTAGACGATTTCGAACAATGTAGCTTAGTAGTATATTTTCCCATGTCGTTTACAAGTAGAAAGTCAACCTTAAACGGTCATTCACTGGTGCACTCACCCTAGTCCATTTGGATAATTTATTAAATAAATATCAACCAGTTACTAATTTTTCAATGGCAATAAGTTATTTGTTTTACACAAATTGATAATTTTTGTTTATCAACCCGGGTATTTCAAATCTCTATTTTCAGTTGGTGTTTTAAAAACTCAAGTCCACATATCGGAAAACTGTAGTTGAGATTAAATATTAATCGTGTAATTTGTCTTTATTTTTTAGACGCAGTCTCTTGGATCATGCAGAATATGATAAACAAGTCAAGAAGCCGAAGAGCTGTTGTAAAGAAACTAAAAGAGCTTTACCTCTTTGTAGGCAATATGGTAGGTGACTTTTCCTTAAAAGTTAAAGTCTTATGCCTTTAAATCTCTTATAGACCCAAGAAGGTTTTAAGAGACGTTTTACAAGCTTGATTGTACAATAACCTGAGTGTAAAATCCAGTAATAACTGGTATTTGTGCTTCATTTTCAAAAATCGCCTCCAAGAGCTCAGGTTTACCAAAGCCAAAGAGTAAACTGAACTGATAAACCTTTGCTTAAAAATTCATTAGTCCAATTACAGATAATCACACATCAAAAAGAAGAACTCTGTGGGTTCACAAGACAATTTTGAGTGAAGAAACAATTGTTCTGTTGTGAAAAAACAGAAATTTAGATCCATTTTGCATATTGGGTCTGATGATCGGAGTGTCCAATCAAAATCTTATCTTACCCTCTTGTGAATAAACATCCAAGTGTAGATATAAGTTATATATTTCATTTGACATATTTTTATCTACCAAAATGTTTTTTTGTTCAGAAACCAAGATCCAAGAAACTAAAAGAAATGAGTGAAGATGAAGTTAATGAATTAAGAGGTCTTTTTGAATTCTACAAAGAGAACCAAGGTAAGTCCAACAGGAATTCAAAAACCCTCGCATGTTAAAAACATAATGTTCATAAAAACTTGTTGCTTGAATTCGAGCATTTGTATTAAGATTCTTAGAGTCGTTGTAACTTGTAACAAATTGAATTTAAATACGTTATATGAAGGGGTTTGCGGGTTCCCAAATTTTTCAGGTTGGGTCGGGCCAGTGGAAGACCCGAGAAACCCGGGTCTGGTCAGAGATATATTCGGGCCAAGATTGGATCGGTCCAAGAAAAATAATAACTTCTTGATCAGCATCATACATGTTATTAAATTACCTAATTAAGAGTAATTACTAGTGTTTTTAGACGTATATCTTTTTGTTTTTCAAAAAAATAATAGCCCTATCATTTATTTTCAAAGAAACACACTTACATTATACAGGGTGTCTAGTAGTCGGGAAAACCAGGAAAGTTGGGAATTAGTATTGAATTTTAAAATGGTCTTGAAAAGTCGGGATTTAGTCTTTATTTTGGTATCAAAGTCGGGAATTTTCATGATTTCCCTAGACAACGATCACGTGTTCCTTACCACGCAAGACGACGATCATGAAGTTTCCTCGACCACGGGAGACGATGATGATGTCTACACGGCCGTAGGAGATAATCATGATTTTGCCACGATAGCGGAGGACGACGATGACGTTTCCGTGACTGCGGGAGTCAATGATGATGTCTACATGGCCGTGGGAAATGTTCATAATTTTACCATGATCGCGGACAATAACGGTGACCGCGGCATTCATTGTTGATGTCTACTTGGCCTTGGAAGATGTTCCTGATTTTGGCGTGATTGCGGATGACTACGATGTCGTTTCCGAGACTGCGGGAGACAACAATGACGTTTCCGTGACCGAGGGAGACAGTCAATGATGATGTCTACACAGTCGTGGAAGACTTTCGTGATCCTAAAACACCCAAATTGGCTAGTTAGAATTTTTCATTACTGCATTTTTTTTTTACTTTAGGCATACTAAGGAAAACACCCCTTTATCTTAATAAAACTTAATGACAGAAAGACAGGGGTTGGTGTAGTATAACCAAATTATTTAATACATTTTGTTAAACTATAAGGATTGCTTTCGGTATCAAGAATCGAGAATTGAACCTTTTGGTTTTGATAATCACTAATTAGTTGAAAAAACTAGTCATGAAAAATCTGTAATTAGTCTTGAATTTAAAAATGGAAATAAACTAGTCACCCTGATTATATCTATTATTGCAGAGGAATTAAAACGTTCAAATGAGAATTAAATATTAAGTATGCTCACAACTAAGAATAAAGTCGCAGGGCAAACAACCGTGCAACGTAATAGTGCAAAGAAAACAAAGTCGAAAGAAAGATAAATCATAAAGAAATTTCTGATATATTGTACAGTACTGTCGGTCAAAACCAAAAATGTTAAAACTCAAAACCTAAACCCGAAACTTGTTTACTTACTTGTTACTAAAGTCAAAGTTATAAAAAAATACAGGTAATAATTAAATGTTCAGTTTGAAATGAAAACTGAAAGAGATCGACTCCTGGCCCTGAGATAATTACATAAAAATGTCACTGATAATCTTAAAACCTAAAACAACATATTTTTTATAAATAACCAACATTTAAATAAATTAAACTCCTGACACCAACATAAACATGAATATTAGATTAATTAGAACATTTAGTGGTCAATATTTTAATTGTCATTTACATTAATAACTTTGATTTAATGTAAATGACTAAATTTATACATCGGATTTAAAATTTGTTAATGATAATTATTGAACTAGAGCGTTCACGGAAGTGTCGCTAATCGTATTATAAAGGGTCGTGCGGGAACAGCCGGTAATGACCCGGTCAGTTTGGGCTGCCTCAACTTAGGGTGGCGAGACGTATAGTGTCTTTGTGTTATGTTGTATGTTGGCATTTCATTTTCATTTCTTTTCTCATTGATTTAATATTTTCTTCTATATATTAGTTAACAGTTCCTCTTAGTGTAATTAATTCTAATTGTGATATTGTTTGACTTGAGTTTATGGATTTTTTATTCTTTTCATTTATTAGTGATCAAAATCAGTTGTTTTTAGATTTTTATCTCATGCAGTAGGTTTATCTATACTACTGTATGACATGGTATGGAATTTTTACAGTGGTTAATAATCATACCATAAACAATGTGTGTGTTAATTAATGTTTTTGAGTTTTATAGTAAATCAGTTACACAACTTCAATGAGTTCTCCCTTTGTCATGTTGCTTAGCCTATTCTATTTTAGGTCATATAAAAATTGTTCTTATGTTAAAATGTACTAATGCCAATAATAGATAAGTTATGTATTTGTGATGATGTAACTAATAATGCTATTGCAAGTGTGAGATTTTATACTTAGGAGGCTACTTGTTGTAATTTAGCTATTTAGTTATTTCAACAGTTATGAGCATAGAAAAGAATATCTTAATAAAAAATGTTATTTTCTTCTTTCTTGCAGTTGAGGCAATTCCCAAGCTGTAAATAAAATATGATAATACAATAATATACATAAATACTATCTTTGTTCATGTTTTATTTTCATATTACTATTACAGACACGGATCGAAGTTTAAAAAAATAAAAACATTAATTAATGATTTTTGGCCCAACCCGACCCGAACTAAAAAAGTCTGACCTGTAGACCCCTAGTTATATGTAGATTTTCTTATATACTAAATGTAAATAAATGAATGACAAAATTATTAAAGACAAAAAAGTCAGAAGCAAACCATGTTCTGAGGAGTCTGTTATTTAAAGATTGGATGTGGGAGGTTCTGATAAACAATCGGTGAAATCTTACAAGCTATAATTAAATTTAAATAAATAATGGTTACGAACATAAAATAAATTAACTCTGTTTTGCTTAGATCCAATGAACTGCATTTTGGGTCGTCTGTCAGTGCCTAGAAGTAGAAAAGTAATATCTGACAAGCTTATAGAGTTGGGTCTAATCACTGATAAAACACAGTTGAGGAAGAAGAGGACAGCAGGTGGAAAATCCAAACAGAGTAAGTACACAGTAGAACCTGTTAAAACCAAAATTTGTTTTTTTATTTACAGTATCCAATGAATGTATTTATTTATCAAAATATTGTCAATCCATATCAGGTAATTTGTATTCACGTTATTGATACAGTAATTAGATCTTTTTTTCTTGCAAAAAGATTAATGTATATCCAGGGTGTCCGGTTATTCAGGAATAGGTATATTGGGTCAAAACAAATATAAAACAAAAATCAAGAATAACATTTTTTCCACAAAATGCCTCGTTAGTTAGATATCCACCTTTTTTTATTATTTACTAGCTGGCCTGACAGATATCGTCCTGTCCTAATGTGATTTTATGTCAAATGCTCGTTCATTTTCAAGATGAGCTCGTTCGCATTGCTATATCACGTCCTGGTTGAAGTTCGTTCGCTACACTCACTCACTTTTTTGGTTGGAAATTAGCTGTTGTCATAAATTTAGAAAAATAATAGTGCTGCACCCTGTTGGTAAACCTATTAACTTTTTAGTACTATCAATCATCACTAGGGATGGACGGGTCCCGAAATTTCGGGAATTTTTCGGGAAAAAAATATTCCCGATTATCGGGACGGGATTACATTTGATTCGGGAATTTTTCGGGACGGGATTTGGTCCGATCGCCGGCGATTTTGCCGTTTCGCGAGTGCCGATGACGCCGCTTTTGCGAGCGATAGGTCCGCGAACACAGGAGACGAAGTCGTTTCGACGATTGCGCCTTGACCGCGGAGTCATACCGACGATCACGCCGTGACCGCGGAGACATACCGACGATCTCGCCGTGACCGCGGAGTCATACCGACGATCGCGCCGTGACCGTGAGTCATACCGACGATCGCGCCGTGACCGCGGAGTCATACCGACGATCACGCCGTGACCGCGGAGACATACCGACGATCGCGCCGTGACCGCGGAGACATACCAACGACCGCGCCGTGACCGTGAGTCATACCGACGATCGCGCCGTGACCGCGGAGTCATACCGACGATCACGCCGTGACCGCGGAGACATACCAACGACCGCGCCGTGACCGTGAGTCATACCGACGATCGCGCCGTGACCGCGGAGTCATACCGACGATCGCGCCGTGACCGTGAATCATACCGACGATCGCGCCGTGACCGCGGAGTCATACCGACGATCACGCCGTGACCGCGGAGACATACCGACGATCGCGCCGTGACCGCGGAGACATACCAACGACCGCGCCGTGACCGTGAGTCATACCGACGATCGCGCCGTGACCGCGGAGTCATACCGACGATCACGCCGTGACCGCGGAGACATACCAACGACCGCGCCGTGACCGTGAGTCATACCGACGATCGCGCCGTGACCGCGGAGTCATACCGACGATGACCCCGTGACCGCGGAGTCATACCGACGATCGCGCCGTGACCGTGAGTCACACCGACGATCACGCCGTGACCGCGGAGTCATACCGACGATCTCGCCGTGACCGCGGAGTCATACCGACGATCGCGCCGTGACCGTGAGTCATACCGACGATCGCGCCGTGACCGCGGAGTCATACCGACGATCACGCCGTGACCACGGAGACATGCCGACGATCGCGCCGTGACCGCGGAGTCATACCGACGATCACGCCGTGACCGCGGAGACATACCAACGATCGCGCCGTGACCGTGAGTCATACCGACGATCGCGCCGTGACCGCGAGTCCTTTCGACCGCGAGTCACAAGATTCTACAGGTACCTGAAAAATTGTTACCTATTTTTTTGTTTTTTAGATCAGAGCCACAAACGGTAAAGATTGATTTTGTATGCCTTTTTTGGTAACTGCAAAACTCAAGACTTTCTTTTTATGCACAAAAAAAAATCCCGTCCCGTCCCGTCCCGAACTAAAAATTCAATCCCGTCCATCCCTAATCATCACAGAATCAAATTGTTTAGTTGAAACAGCTGATAAGATTCTTTAATTCCATTTAAATATGAGTACTCATAAGGTTAACATGAAAAACTCCAGAGCCCCTGGGGCGGAGTCCTTTTGACGGATCTGCACCAAACTTCACACAAACCATCCTTAAATAATGCTTAATAATGCCTGAAAGTTTCATTACAATCTGTTTGAGCGGTCTCGGAGTCCATAAAGAACAAACAAACAAATATACATTAACGGCCCATATTAGAAAAACTTAACTCGGCACACCTTTATGGCATGATATGAAGTACTTTTTGGGAATAACCGCCACTTGGTGATCATCCCCAAAATGGGGGATTTTGAGGGAAACTCAAAAATGTCAAATGAAAAGACCCATCGAGTGACCCCTCATTTTGAAGGTCCTGGTAAAAGAAAACCAACAACGCAAATTAGAGGTCAGTAAAAAATGGCAGCTAATTGAAATTCTCAGAAGTTAAATTCAACTTGCAGCTTTCCAAGTCTGGAGACCCCCTGTAAATTTTGTAACGGCTCACACTAGGAAAACTAAACTCTACACACCTTTTTGGCATGTTATGAAGTACTTTTTAAGCCTATTAGCCACTTGATTCCCAAACCCAAAATGGGGGATTTTGGGGGAAACTCAAAAATTTAAAATGTTAAGCCCAATCGAGTGACCCCTCATTTTGAAGGTCATAATAAAAGAAAACTAACAAAACGCAAACTAGAGTTATCTATCTTAACACAGTAAAATATGGAAGCCAATTGAATATAAAATTGTAAGTTATTTCTGATTTCTAAAGATTTCAATCAGCTTCCATTTTTTACTGGATTGAGATAGAAACCTCTGGTTTAGGTTGTTAGTTTTCTTTTACCTTCAAAATGAGGGGTCACCCAATGGGGCTTATCATTTAACATTTTTGAGTTTCCCTCAAAATCCCCATTTCGGGTTTGGAAACCAAGAGGCTATTAGGCTTAAAAAGTACTTCATAATATGCCAAAAAGGTGTGTAGAGTTTAGTTTTCCTAGCTTGAACCGTTACAAAATTTACAGGGGGTCTCCAGACTTGGAAAGCTGTTTAAATTTAACTTCTGAGAATTTCAATTGGCTGCCATTTTTACTGGATTGAAATAGAGACCTCTAATTTGCGTTGTCGGTTTTCTTTTACCAGGACCTTAAAAATGAGGGATCAATCGATGGGGCTTAACATTTTAAATTTTTGAGTTTCCCCCAAAATCCCTTTATTTTGGGGATGTACACCAAGTCGCGGTTATGCCATAAAAGTACAGTAGAACCTCTTTCATCCGAACTAATTGGGACCGGGGGTAGTTCGGACTATGGAATAGTTTGAATTACAGAACATGTTGTTTTTACATAACAATAGCTAGGGAAAAGTGAAAAATGCTTTATAAAGTAAAATACAGTGTTTATTTAAAGCAGTAGTAAACATAGAGAATAAACAGTACTGTACATTACAATTGAAATAATTATGGTAAGTATATCAATAAATACAGTATATAATAAAGGACTACTGTACTGTGTATAGAGTACAGCAATGAGGGGTTCGGATTAGTGGACGTTTGGACTACAAGGGTTCGGATTAAAGAGGTTTTACTGTACTTCATAACATGCCATAAAGGTGTGCCCAGTTTAGTTTTTCTAGTATGGGCCGTTAAAAAAATAACAGGGGGTCTTCACACTTTTACTAACCCTGTATAGATATCTAAAGAACCTTTTTCGATATCTTAATGTAACTTGTATTATGGAAAACCGGCTGATTTCATGAAAAAATCCCAAGGACACTTTTTTTTAGCCTTTCATTGTTTCTTACCAGGGTTCCCACTCAACCGTGAAAACCTTAAAACCGTTAATTAGGTCAACCAAGAAAAAACTTTGATTTAGCCGTGAATTTGTTTTTGGACCCTTAAAACACCAAATATTTCGCCTGGAGACGACACAAGGGGCTACTCGTGTGAAACTGAATGCAGTAATATCGAGATTATTGTATGTGTGTGAGTGAGAGATAGGTGTTTGGCCGAAGTCCAGCGGTCCCTCCACCACCCCTGGTTTAAGTCAGAGACTTATTCACCAGGCCCCTTTCCTGAAAAATCTTCAGATCCTCTTCCAGTTGTCGGCTTCATTTTTGTCCTTCCAGGCACATTCTGTGCCTAACCAACACCTCTCCCCTCACCTAGTACCCTCAGTACTAGGATCATCGGATTTTCTTTTTTTTTCAATCTTCTTTATTTATTTATTTCATTTTTCCTAACATTTATCCTTTTCGAATTCCAGCCTGTCTTCCTGCATTTTCAAATTCATGCTTTTTCTTCTCTATCCTTCCGCACATTCTGGCAAACTCCAGCGAAGATTCTTAAGTTCTCAAGAAGTTGATTTTCTCCCAATTCCATGTCTTGTCGGAGGAATTCCCTCATGTCGCTTTGTTCTTCTTCGGAGAAAGGGCACTCCATCAGTTCATGTTGCGATGTCTCCAGCTCTCCGCAATGAGTGAAATGATCTCTCTCAGAAGAACTCTCAGAATCTCTGGCCACCAAGCGGAGTCAAAAGCTCCAGAAATATCAAGAAACAATCCTACTACATATTTTTCTTCCGTCTCTTTAACTTCTCTTCTCATATCCAGAAGTGCGTCTACCGTTCCAACACTTTCCGTGAATCCATATTGCAATGGATTTGCCCTATTTTCCCTATCCAGCCATTCTTTCATCCTTTTCACTATTAATCTTTCGCCCAGCTTTCCTAGGACAGGTAAGAGGGTTACTGGCCTGTACGATTTAATCTTACTTGGATCCTTTTCCTCGCTCTTCAGAAAATTTTGACGATTCCTTTTTTCCACACATCAGGATACCTGCCTTCTCTCAGCATCTTGTTGTACAGGTTCAACAGCGTCCCCTTGATCCTTCCAAACATTCTCTTTACTACTTCGTTCTTTATTTCATCCACTCCCGGGGCTTTCCTATCCTTCAGCAGTGCAACGCATGCAATTAGCTCTCCTTCCATCTTCCTCATCCGTTCCAATGCTTTCTTCAGCCATCCTACTTCTGATTCTTGCTTGTTTCTCTGTACCATCCTCTTCCCTATCGTCTGGCAGCAATCCTTGTATCATTCTCTCTGGGGCCTCTTGCGAGAAAGAGAGAGAGGGGGGGAGAGAGAGAGTGTAATTTGACATTTCTTTATTTCACCTGCAGTGATTTAGTCCTCGATGGTCCAATATTCCATCACAACAGGCACAAAAAACACATTGCCATACATTGTTGTGGTTACACTTAATAACATATTTATTACAATGTTTTTTAATGGCGAGAGAGAGAGTCATCATTCACTCACTGCTGGAAAACAACCATAAGGAAGAAAGAATATTTAGAACAACGAGTTAGCACAAACTTTTTCATTATGCCTACATTAATGAACGACTTCTCTCTCTCTCTCTCTCTCTCTCTCTCTCCTCTCCCTCGCGCTCTCCCCCCCCCCTTCCCTTCTGATCCATCAATACCAAATTTATTGTCTTCTCATTCTCCCCTACCCTCCCTCTAAACACCACAACTCTGTCTTTTATTTCTCTGCCTCTATCTCTTGTATCTTTCTTCGCTCTGTGCCGACTGGCCGATTATTACATTCTATTCATGGAATGGGCCTTGAGGATTTTATGGTCTTGTGCTTTCCTGCATGTATAGATCTAAGAAATGTTAAATTTAATAATGGTGCCATATTCATCGGCTACGAAACCTTACTTGTGTACTGGTTAGAAAAGGCATTACATAAAGTTTTGTCATTATAACTAAAATTGTTTGGAGAACATAAAATTTATAAAAGCAGACCGAGAGAACCGAGAAAACACTATGAATTTTGTTGAAGACAAATAGTGGGAACCCTGCTTAGGTACGGGAAACCCTGTATACCGTATATATACAGTAGACTCCCTCTTATCCGAACACCTGTTAACCGGACATCGGGATAACCGGACTACACTAGGCGGAAATGACATCTCTTTAACCGGACAATTTATACCAGCACATGGGTTTAAACGGACTAGATCGGCCGGAAGTGGGCTGTACTGAAACCACTGTTCTCGTGGGAAATATTTGAGACCAGTGATCATGTGTCTAAATACAATGCTCTCCTAAATTTAAGTCAAATATTTAGGTTACATAAAGAGATTGGGGACGTCGGTTTAACCGGAAAACCAGTTATCCAGACTGGTCTCGGTCCCGAGGAGTCCGGATAAGAGGGAGTCTGGTGGTTGCGGTTTTATTATAATGGTATTATTTTAAAGCAGCATAAGATTAGTGTGTTTGGAACTGTGGTTTGGTTTGTTGTGGAAGGACAAATATTGTGTAAGGAAGTAAAAAGTGAAAATTTAAATACAGTAGGCCTATAATCATTTCATAAAATAGACAATCAAAAGTGCTCTTATATGGATGTTAAGTTATTCCATTGAAACTGTTTAAAGAGAATATATGTATTTTACGGATGTCTTGCAGAAAGTCAACTGTGCCAGAAGGTCAAATAATTTATTCTTGTACCATTAGATCAAAATCAATATATTTTGTTGTAGCATTAGGTCAACAGTCCCATTTAGTCAACCAATAAAGTCGGTACCTACTAAAAATAAATTATTTGACCTAACAAACATTTGACTTTCAGCAACACTCCCGTATTTTACTATGTTCTAGTTAAACTGTTTGAAAATAAGTCAGTTGAATCTTTTGAATTAAATACATTTATTTCAGCGGGCAAAAAAGGAAAAGAGTGGGGTGAAAGGAGTGATGATGAGAGTATATATGACTCTTGGTCAGAGGAGGAAGATCCCGAAGCTGTGTTACGCAGAAAGGAGACAGAAAGAGTTCGTGCGGCCCCCCTTCTTCCCCAGATATTTGTTGTTTTGAAGAAAGCTGTAGAGTTGGGTATGTAGATAATCTATTGACACAAATACATCTCATCAATTGCAGGTCTATTGTAATGTCTTAATCTACTGATTTTGTCACAAATCATATGAATAGGAATATTACAGTGGTCAACAAAAATACCCCAGGAGATACTATGGGGACACTAGTGTACAAAACCTGGATAAAATAATTAAACTTACAAAAAAAGTCTTGCGATTAATGTTAAACCTAGAACCTAAAGCATCTCTAAGAAACCACTTTTCACAATTGAATATACTAACTGTCTATGAACGCTGAACGGTATATTTTAGAATGCATTATTTCCGCCAAAAGTCATATTCATATCATCATATGTATGTGTTTCGCAAAGATATACACACATATAATACTAGTTACGTGTAGTTTAAGTATTATAACTTCAATTTGTAGGTGTGGCTTGGCTCAAAAATGGAGTCCTGTTATGAACCTCTATAGATATGTATATCTTTTTATGAGACTTGAGGCGAATATGAGGTGTTCTATTGTACTGCATATTCCCAAACGGACATTACCGTGCTATGTTTTAACACATGCCTCTGCATGGTTGTCAATATAAAAGCAGTTTTAGATTTTTGTATCCATAAATTTGGTGTGGTGTGCATTTAACATAATGCCGACATTAATTATAGTCTGTGATTGCGGCACAGTCGTGATCTTCTCCCGCAATCGTGAGGACATCATCATCGTTTCTAGTGACCACAAAAAAATTATATACTTCTCCCTCGATGGCAAAGACATCATCATTGTCTCCCATGATCGCGGGGAATTTAAAGCATCTCCTGCTAATGTCAAGACATTATTATCGTCTACTGTAGCTGAAATATCATGTTAAAATTGTTATCTGTCTTGGTCTCTATGAGATGTACAAGAAATCGAAGATGGTCAGGTAAAAGGTGTTGATTTTACATGGATCTGACTAAGAGGTTTACAACTGTATAAGATCGCGCACATGTAAGGTCATATTAAATTTATCGTTTAAATTGAAAAACAAACCTTTATTGTATCTAATCAAAGCAATTTGAACTAAAAATTTGATTGATGTAGTCAGTATAGAAGTTAATAAGTAAATTTAGATTGACTATATCCAGTGAAATTAAATCGTTCTAAATTTATTAAAAAGGTATATTAATAGATACAAAGTACTTATGAGGTATTTATTTTTTTATGGTTAATCATGTGTTGTTTTAGGTGATGTGGTGAAGATGCCTTTTGACTGGCTAATATCTGAACTTGGGGAGTTTTTGAAAGATCTGCCAGACACTGAGGATGAGGACAGCCAAAATGAAGGCATGGCATTGGTCCCGATAAGTGATCCCATCATTCACGCCTTTGAGAACATCCCTATCCTCCAACAAGTCCTGCATATCCTGTCTTTTGAAAAACCGAAGGATCAAGTACGTACGACTAATGTAACTGTAGTTTTTTGCAACATTGTTTTTGTGCGGTGTAATTATATTATAATAAAGAGGAAAAAGTATAAAAGAGGTTTAATTTATGAGAGAATGAATGAGTACATGTTGTTATGAGAGGTGATTCGCGATGAATGAATGCCACAATGAGTAATAAACATTTGATCATGAGCTGAGAATTACGGATAGATTGTTAAGAACAAAGACATATAAAATAACAAAAATTCAAAGACATCTTGACTGAACATACCGCCCCCTTTGAACCAACAAGGCTCAACAAAAAAGAGAAATAAAAACAATATACAATTTAAGAGAACCTGGGGTTCTCGGCAATCGGTATTGGAACAGCAGTATTTTTCCGATCGTGAGATCTTCGTAGAAGTCAACAATCGGTATTGGAATAGCGGTAAACTTCAGATCGCACGATTTTCGTAAATAAGTCTGCAATCGGTATCGGAATAGCAGTTTATTTACAATAGCACGATTTTCGTAGAAGAGTCGGCAAACAGTATCAGAATAGCGGTAATTTTTCGATCGCTCAATCTTCACAGACGAGTTGGGAATCAGTTTTGAAATCGCCACAAATTTGAATTAGAATCTTTCCAAAAATCCGGTGGACGTCAATGTATACTATTACTATTAGGCGCTTATATGGATACGGACATTCACATATATCCATTATAAAGACCTGCTCATAGATTGGCCAAAACAGATAACTGCCATAAAATAAGTTGCATACGGTTTTTTAATAAATTAGGTCTGGCAGCAAAACAGGTTCCTTTTATTAGGTTTAAGTCCAAAATGTTTGAGTGGCTCGTTTAAAATCCATATTACTGTATAACAGAGTACTTAGTTTCTGATGTTAATATTAATTTTTTAATTTAGAACCCACTGTATTTTATAGCTTTAGTTTTTTTATTTTTATTGTTGACTATGTCTATTCTTTGTAAAAGGTCAATGACAATAAAGATCTTGATTCTTGATTTTTGACACAGATAGTATGTTATATGATATGGAATAAATAAACAGTAACGTATTTGGATACAGACTCTTTTGTTTGTTGAAACCAAATCGGATCCATCAAAACTGAATCCGATTTTTTGTGGATCACATCGGGCGTTGGTTCTAGCTCAGATCTGATGGATCCGGTGGTCCGATATCTGGATCCGACCATCACTAATGGCAAGGCCTTGGTTGTGACTTCTCTGTCAATGGGTTTTGATTGAACTACTTCCTGTTTATCAACCCACTATCAAAAAGTTTAGTTGAGACTGATAAAAAATATTTCAACTAAGATAACAGAAATCAAAACACATCTGTTCCTTATGTTGTATATGAGTAATCAGTTATAATATAGATTTTTTGTAACAGGTAAAGTATTGGAGAATCCCTGGTACGTGGAAAGAAAAAGAAATCGGTGAAAGAATCATGTGGCTCAACAATGCCTTGAACGGAGATTTGCCTGATACCAGCCAAGGTAATTTGTTAAATGATATAAAATTTAATTAAATCGCCGTAAGAAGAAGATAGCATAGTTATGTGGAGGGTGTCAGGTGTGAATTAGTAACCTCAAAGAAGTTTGGGACGGGGTTTTTATTTCCTTCCCGAATGTGGGACATGGCTGAATGGGATATTTGCCTGTGCAAAAATGTTTATTTTAAAAATCTTGATTTAATATTCTTGCAGATAGCAATAATCTAAAAACACAAAAATGTACTGTTCTAAAAAGAGCAGTAATGGGTTACAAATACAATACACAAGTAACAAAAACTGGTACCTAAAAATAATGCATTATTTATCTATGCAACTGTGAAACATCAATCTAATTAGCTAACCATAACCACAGACAGATATTTAAACTCACTAGAACTACATTTGTATAATGAGAAGTGTTTTAAGGCGTGATATGGTTACCTGTACAAAACAATACAAGCTTTAAGCCCCCCATACATGGTCCTATCTTCGTGTAGCTTCAGTTTGATTCGGACAGCATTGACCTTCATAATTTGAAATCTTCTTTAATTTGAATATTACTCCTGGTCCCTAGCATTTAATTTACAATCAATACTAAATAATCCTGGTTAGTTCAAATTATATTTTGGATAGTTCGAAGCTTCTACGCGAAAAAAAGACGCCTCAAGTCAAGTGCCTCAAGTGTTTGTTGCTGTACTGTTTGCTTCGTATGTCCCACAAGCACAGCATACTCGTGTACAATTCAATAAACTTCCTCCTAAACCTTTTGTTGTCACTAATGTCACTGCACATTCTTAATCAGGTTTAGTCTATAACGTTCACAAATAAACTGAAGTTAACTGAAAGTACAAAGACCAAGTCTGTTGAGCCCATACACGGCGTGGTCGGTTGTGTCGGCCAAATACGTCTGGAATCCTCAAATTACCGTGGACTTGTCCTACTGTCTGTGGACCCGGTCTGTTTTACCCGCACACGGTCTGATGCTGTCCGAGTCGGATAAGTCGGCAGACATGTCAGACCGTGAATGAATCTGGCTTTATTAATCATACTTTTGGTTATAGTGTACCTATCTATCTCAATGATATCAAGATTATATATTCCACCATCACGTCACCATTGTACATATGGAGCACAAGCACAGCATCATCTTTAACATCTTTCGCTATCACATAGCGATTGTTTAAATGACTGGCGGTCACAGCTCAAGCGTTAAGATCTCCCTCGATCACGAATACATCATTATCGTATCCTGGGTTTGCAGAACCTTGGTGAACATCTCTCGCAATCGCGGAGATATCATTATTGTCACCTGCCATTCTGTCAACATCTCCCACATTGGTAATGTAATTATAGTAACTCCTGACACGACAAAATCACTGATGGTCAAAATGTAATTCTGTTCCAGTGGTGGAGAATAAATTGTTCCCAAACATTTCCCGAAATTTTAGGAGCTATTCATTCCTAATTCCTAGTGAAATGGTTACATATTTTAGCCTCGGCTAGAGCAACAATTTAATGGGCTGGAGATATGATAGTTATTGAAAACTTCTGGACACAGCAAAGTGTACAAGTCAGGTACAGAGCAGCAAATCACACTGTGATTCTGTTTACAAATGATGCCAGTAAGCAACAAGTCAACGTGTACACACAAACAATGGAGCTATATGCACAAATAACCCTTTTAAACATCCCTCTTAGTTTGGTTTGGAAAGAGGAATCAGAGTTAAACACATACCACCAAATTTTAATATTAACTTTTTTGGAATAGTTTGTACAGAATAACTCTTATTACAGAATGAGCTTCACTCAATGTGGAACTCCCACATTATTATAAGTTATTGATTATATTGAATATAAGTTGTCAGTAAACAAGTCTTTAATATAAGCTTGAAAATAACTGTCCTAAAAGTTTTTTTTTTTATTTCAGACCTAGAAGAAGAAGTTATATCTCTGAATACTGAAGACCGAACATATGTACAACCTAATGTGTCTGACAGGAATCTCAAGTAAGGGTGGAATATATTATGTTTCATAATTGTTTTCACTTTGAGTTATTAATAGGCCTATCATCTGATCTCTCTTTGCAAAGTGGGTACCGAGAAAAGATGATCTGACTTTCAATATTATAATGGAAACAATTTTATTTTATGCAAATACTTTTTATATGAAAATACCTCAAACAGTGTATTGAGGCTTAGGGAAAATTTCCTTTGTGGATATACTCTAAAAATCTTCCAAACAAAGCTTATTAGATGTAGTTTCAAATCTAAATAGAAGTTAAATGATAACTGACGCTTAATTTTTATCTTACTCAAATATGATGGATAAGCAATGGGAGTTAACTATGTGTTTTTTATTGGGGAAATCACAAACATTTGCTATAATTTTTGAACTGTGAAATTTACAGCGTTGAGAGCTGTGTCATTTTGTTTACGGTTGAAAGGGTCATAAACAAATCATTATAAATCACAATTCACTGATGTTTCAGAATTTCTTTGGGCATGCCTTAATTCTAAACTGTATGAAGTCAGTCAAGGAAGCTTAGTTAAATGAGCAGAGGAAAATCCAAACATATTACATGATTGGTCAAATAAGCTTGAATATTAATGAAATCACAACCTTAATTTATTGATTCTAAACAAGGTCATGTTACTCAGGCTACGGCCACACGGGCGTTTTTTCACGCAAGAACGCAGCGTGAAAAAACGCGAGAAATATGGGCAGCATTAAATGTAATGAGGTATGCCACACGGAGTCTGTTTTCACGCAGATTCGGCGCGTCTTCAAAATCGACCGCCGCGGGCCCGCAGAAGAATGGACTGGGGTGCATTTTAGAAGCTTGTTTTCACGCTCTGTCACTGGCCACACGGGCGGGAGCAACACGCAGCTTTGATCAAGTCGTCCTAGCAAGTTAAAATAAATATAAATGTATCTAATTTTGTCCAGGATAGCGTAAAATATTTTTGGGTCTAGCCAATTACACAGTAGACCTACACGTTTTATCTTAAACATAGGTCGACCTTACTGGACCACTCAATAATTTTTTACTAAAAGGAAAGGCATTTAGTTGGACTAAAAAATGTAAAGAGGCATATATGTAGTAGAATATTCAAAGATCTGATGAAAATCTTGTCATAATAATATTTATATAATATTTTTTTTTTAAATGTCAAAATAAAATAATTGTAGTGTTGTTTTCGTATCGAAATCAATATACCATTCATATTTCTTGTTCACTAGTCAGAAACAAGGTTACTATTCCGGCCATGAGGAAGATATATAACATAATTACGTGAATCCGTCAATCAACTGCGGGTTACCACTGCATTTTGCCGCTCCTGGACTTCAACCGGCGTGAGAACAAGCTACATTTTACTGCGTGAAAAAAACGCACGTGTGGCATACAGCAGCGGGAATTCAAGCAGCGTGAAAATAAGCTACATTTTACCGCGTGAAAAAACGCCCGTGTGGCCGTAGCCTAAATGACATAAAGAGAGCAGTGGTGAAGATTGTAAACCATTCAAATACAGCTGACTTCAAGGTTCCTTGACATAACGCTTGTTCGTTTTTTCCTACTAGTAGGGTTTAATAGTATTATACAATAGCTAAGTTAATCATTGGCTGTATCTGTATAAAAATATGCAAGCTAAAGAGAAAGTTATTGAGCTGCTAAGGAGTAGATTTCTGTGCTGCTATCTATAATTAATATATAACAATCATCAAATTAAAACTTATTATTTTGCATGTGTACTTTCATATCTGTTGTAGGACTTTCATTTGTTAATTTAACTAACTACAATAATATTTTTTTTTTTTTTTCAGAAGCACTAGCAACAACAGTCCCTATCTAAAAAGGACCAGAAACATAGTTGATTATTCAAGTTCTTCAGAGGAAGACCTGGATAATTCTAAACCAGGTCCATCTCTACCTAAAAGCCTATCAAAAAAAGGGAAGTACAAGAATGATTCAGACAAAGAAAATCACCAGCAATCAAAAATTATTGATGCGAACATGACAGACACAAGTGAAAATGGTAGCATCAAGACAAACCGGAAAAAACGTTTTATGCGTTTTGAATCAGATTCCGAAGAGGAAGAAAGTCGCAAAGCTAGAATTTCTAACGATTCAAATTTAGTTGAAAATAATGCTGACTTTGTAAAAAACTCTGATAGTGAACCAGTGGTTTCCTCCCCTTTTGAAATGAAGTCAGAGAATAGCAAGCTGAAAAGAAAAAGACAAAACAATGTCATATATTCTGATGATGATTCCAACATCATCGTAGAAAAAGAGACTGCTGAAGACAGTAAAAGACCTAAAATTCAGGTTGATGCTCATCCATCCAATAAGCATGAAGTTGAGCTATCAAAAGGTTTAGTAAAAGAAGTACCAAGAATGGACGTTGAGAATGTAACGCCTGCTAGAAGTATCCTCGATGAAATTTTTGATCCTGCCCAGAATTTTAGTTCACAGGATTATAGTCCTCGACAGGATGTTAGTCCTCTACAGGATGATAGTCCTAACTTTGTTTCTACCCAATCGGATGATTTTGAAGGTTGCCCACAACGCGATTATTTGGAAGATGCCATGTTGGCATCTTGTGCTAATGATCCAAATTTAGTTGAAAATAATGCTGACTTTGTAAAAAACTCTGATAGTGAACCAGTGGTTTCCTCCCCTTTTGAAATGAAGTCAGAGAATAGCAAGCTGAAAAGAAAAAGACAAAACAATGTCATATATTCTGATGATGATTCCAACATCATCGTAGAAAAAGAGACTGCTGAAGACAGTAAAAGACCTAAAATTCAGGTTGATGCTCATCCATCCAATAAGCATGAAGTTGAGCTATCAAAAGGTTTAGTAAAAGAAGTACCAAGAATGGACGTTGAGAATGTAACGCCTGCTAGAAGTATCCTCGATGAAATTTTTGATCCTGCCCAGAATTTTAGTTCACAGGATTATAGTCCTCGACAGGATGTTAGTCCTCTACAGGATGATAGTCCTAACTTTGTTTCTACCCAATCGGATGATTTTGAAGGTTGCCCACAACGCGATTATTTGGAAGATGCCATGTTGGCATCTTGTGCTAATGATCCAAATTTAGTTGAAAATAATGCTGACTTTGTAAAAAACTCTGATAGTGAACCAGTGGTTTCCTCCCCTTTTGAAATGAAGTCAGAGAATAGCAAGCTGAAAAGAAAAAGACAGAACAATGTCATATATTCTGATGATGATTCCAACATCATCATAGAAAAAGAGACTGCTGAAGACAGTAAAAGACCTAAAATTCAGGTTGATGCTCATCCATCCAATAAGCATGAAGTTGAGCTATCAAAAGGTTTAGTAAAAGAAGTACCAAGAATGGACGTTGAGAATGTAACGCCTGCTAGAAGTATCCTCGATGAAATTTTTGATCCTGCCCAGAATTTTAGTTCACAGGATTATAGTCCTCGACAGGATGTTAGTCCTCTACAGGATGATAGTCCTAACTTTGTTTCTACCCAATCGGATGATTTTGAAGGTTGCCCACAACGCGATTATTTGGAAGATGCCATGTTGGCACATTGTCATCATGATTCAGAAAATTCAAGTATCCATGTTTCCGACCAAGAAACACAACAAGAGCTATCCCAGACCATCGTACTGACTGATTCTACACAGGATGATGTGTTGTCAATTCGACAATCCTCCCAGACTACTGAAGAATCAGATGAAGTTCAAATTGTTTATGACGCAAAACTAGATAGTTAAAAGATTTTTTCACATGACCGATAACTTTTTTAATTATGTTAATTTGTAATAATTTGCATTTTAGGAAAATAACATATCACTCATGAAGTTGTTACCTTTATTTATAATTACAATTTTCAAAAGACGCTTTAAAACATATTAATTTTTGTTAAACACACCTGTAATTTCAAATGTACTACCTAATAAGGGCGGTAGTTCTTCCTTCCAGGGGTTTGCCCTAAAATTGATTTTGTAAGAAATAAAATACTTAATCCTAATTAAAAATATTTATAAAAGTAAAAATTTAAAGCTTCTGAAAAGTGGTTTATTGTGGTCTCTCGAGCCTTTATTAAACTTCTCTTTTTTAGGTACAGCTTTTATTTCAGCTATTCAGACATAATTTAGTGCAGGGGTCTCCCTTGATTTTCAATTTTCTATATTTGCTTATAAATATATAACATTTTGGCTTGCTGAATTTCCAGAGAACACAGGATAACATAAATAACTATTTTCTATATACTACAAAATTTACTCCATTTAACTTTTAATTAGAAAGGTTTTAAGAAAGCTTTGCCATACAGGAGTTTGCAGCTCAATTTATCGGAAATATTGCATTTGTCACTTAATATGTCAGCTAATTTAGGGCTGCAATTGAACTGTAGTTCTGGTAATTAAGATTGATTTAAAATATCTATCCAACTAAGCAGATCTATATTTAGATGACTCGGCCACTAAATGTTTACTGCTAATTTTACCCTATTGAGAAAAAAATTACAAGTGAGATTCATGTATTTAACTCATATTTATTTATACACGGTAGCCAGCCGACCTGGACTGAGACTGAATGATATTCTCTCCAGAGTGTCAACAAAATGGATGTCCAATGCATTAAGAGAAGTAGGTTTCCCCTTTATAAAACTGTAATAATTTTTGTTTGAGATGTTTCTTTCCCCCTAATGGGAAGTATAATTGAAACTGCTCTGTAGCTCTGAGGTTGCTCCTTAGGACTCTTATAAGTAATTAAACAGTAATATATACTGTACAAATTTAATTGTGCCTTTGAACTAATGATTAACAAGTGTGGCTGTTAAGTTGAGACTGGTAATAAAAGGATCACATTCTGTAATGATTCAATTTCATTTGTCTTAAAGTATTTCATTGATGTTTAGGACAAGTATTAAAAGTGTTGTTCTCTTTAAATAAACGTATAATAAATTTGGGTCTGTAAGTCATTTTGAGAATGATAGGAAGGATTTCAAGAATGTATTGCGGAACAGTCTAGGCTAATTTCTCATACTCGTTGTAGTAATTGTCAATTATTACCCTAACAATGTTTTTTTGGTCTGTGAGTAAAATTTTTTAACTTGTGTTTATGAGTTTTCTAGCTATTTTAAGGTTATTTTATCTGGTTAATTTTTACAATTTATTTGACCAATAAATTATCATTAGGCTACTTTGAATTGGAGTACCATTGAATGACTTTTTTGTAACATAATTTATCTACTTTAAGTTTATCTTTATGTATTTTGTTTTAATGTTTGTGAAAATAATTGTTTGCTCAGTATCACATATAAACTCTGTGACATGTTTAGAATAGCCAGTCAAAATTAAATCAAAACAAATAGTATACTAGATAAGAGTTGGATAAGAATTACCACAGCCATTTGTTTCAAACTTATTCACTTAGACTAATAACAAAAAATTATGCTAACATTTTCAATTACTTGACTTACTTGGTACTCAAGTAGGCCTACTGTAGTTTCAAAATCCACTACTTGCTCACCCCTAACCATCACAACCCTCTTAGATTGAAGAGGGGCCTCTTGAGGCTGCTGTTAAAATTAGATGTCCTGAGTATTAACTAGTGATGTGTCAGTTAAAAATTTTATCAGTTAGATTTTGTTACATTGGTTGTCATTTTTTTGTTTTAAATAAATGAAATTGCCATCCACATATATTTTAGCTGAAACTTTATTGTTGTTGATGGTGGATTTATGTTGTAACAAAGATAATCACAGCTGAAACCTGGTTAATCCAAAAAATTTTTAAGTGGATTTGTTAAAACAAATACTCCAACATATATTGTTGTGATATATTGTTTTTTTAGCAAATTTAGTTTCTGCCAGTTAAGGGTATTAGTGGGTAGAATTGCGGAAAAATCTTTAACATCCTCCACAATTGCAGGCAAATTGCTTGACAACCAATCAACAAAACTGACATATCCCACCAATTCTGACTTTCAGTTATTTATTTTGTTTACCTGACAAAATCAATAACTGACCTATCCCTAGCTTTAACAAATAGATCCACATGAAGTTCCCATTATTAGACCTAAGATGACTAATGTGCCTTGCATTTATTTTGTTCAAGACCTTCTCTTGTTTTAGTTTTCCAAGCCAAAGTTCCTTTAATATTAGTAGGCTTCTATGATAAGAAGATAGCTTAGTTAGAGTATTTATAAGAATATTAATTTTGTATGACTTAATAAAATGTTTTGAATATTTTAATGTCTTTTTTTTTTAGGAAATACCAATACTGGGTCAAATACTAATATTAATTCCAATTTTTATTTTAATAGATTGTGTGCTGTGTGCCTCATGCAAGAAATGTTAAAATATTTATGTGAACAAATTTATTCTAAATATTACATTTTAAACCATTGTTTCGGGCTTAACACGTACGCTACCGACATGTTTAAAAAAAATCCTTCACTGACCAGCATCAACTATGGTTGACGTAAGAATTTTTTGCCGGGGACTGGCGTCAACTGTCGTTGATGCGTGCTCTGGACTGACAACAACTATTGTTGACGCCAACACACACTGTATAGCTTTTTTACAAAAATACAGTTTATTTTATCGACTTGGTTATTAGTTGTAGGTATAAACCTAAAGGAATAGCCCCTATAGTCCTCGCCACCCTAAGTTGAGGCATCCAAAGTCTGCACTAGATATACGCCTTGGGCTGCCTCAACTTAGGGTGGCAAGGACTATAAATATGTTGCTGTGATTTCCATGTGGGTGTTTTTTTTTTTTTTTTCAGTACAACTGATAGAATTTTTTACCACATAAATTTTTACAAGTCTCGATGCGTTAGTTGACCCAGTCCTCATTAAGAGAGTTTGGTGTGTTTTGTATTATAGACTAAGATCTACATACTACTAATGGATAAAGACATTGATACATATGACAAAGCAAGCGATGATGGGCCAATGTCAACTACAGTTTATGACATTTTTTTTAACATGATTGGACTTTGTATTGCAATTTAATTCATATAATTATTTTTTAGCATCTGTGTGTATGTTTAATTCAATAAGCTTGGTCGAAAAGGGAAATCCAGCCCGTAGGTTAGGGTACTGACATAAAGTCTGGTGTCAACTATAGTTGACGATTGGTAGTGAACGTGTTAAACAGTATTCTTTTTTTTATCTGGTGCAGGGAGGGGGGCAGTAAAAGAAAACAAAGTTGAGGTTTCATATCTCACAATGTATAATGAGATGATTGTTGAATGTCACGAAAGCTAACAATTAGAATATGAGAATATACAGAGTGAGTGCTAATTAATTATTGAACTCAAGTTCTCTTTTACTGCTTTATGTTTCTCCCAAACTATACATACACTAGCACTTGAAAGTGCTATACAGTATGTTCAATCTAAGTCAATGACAATATAGCCTATAGGGGGAAAGAGGTTGCACAGCACCAAATAAAAGTACAAGTTTGTTTACCTCTAGGTTCAGATATCTTAATCTAGAAAGTTCCCAGAAGGGTTTGGAGTCGGCACTGCTAGAGTTGCTAGAGTTACATAAATATAGTTATCTTAAGATCAGTGATCAGTGGTCTTATATTCAAATTAATATTTATAGCCAGGCCTTTTGGAGGCTTTTAGACACAGTTGCCCTGATAACTTTGATCAATTCTAAAGTTGGCAAACATGTGGAGGCGCAGAGCATTAAAGCTAAACACATGTACAGCTAGCGGATGGAACTAAAATGAAACCAAATTTTGTTTATTAATTTGAGAGTATTATTGATGGCACGCTTCAGAAGATTAAGGTGGTTTGCTTGCCCTCATTGACGGTCGCCGGGATTTTATCCCCTGGAATTCTACCCCTTGGGCAATGCTGACTTCACTATGACATAGTAAGCTGAATGTTGTTCGTGGGTATAATTATACCCCCGCGGATTTTAAAGTCTAATGAAAATAGACAGAGCGTGATAAATTAGATTAGCAATAAAAACCTCCTGTCCATATAACTAGCAATTAGGCAACTGTAGATGTCCGGATTTTAACCCCGGTCTTAAGTAGAATGTACTGAGGACAAAAGGGAAGAACAGTACTAACAAAATATATATCATTAATTAAATTTATAAGAAATAAAATATAAAAAATACAAAACCCCTAGTTATTGGCCACTATTAGCTATAGCCAGTGCTCGATTTGTAAAAAATGAGGTGCCGGAACTGTAACCTATTTCATGTGATTTGTACCTATTTAAGCCACTATTTTTATCTCTCCGAAAGAGAAGTACCGGACTCCAATCCGCCGTGTTCCCCAGCAAATCGAGCACAGACCATAACTATTAATTGTCACATCTTGGCACAGTTATTGGCACCTATAAAATGGTCTATAGACACAATAATTGGTCGAATACTATGTATCAAATCCAGATGCCTACAACTACATTTTATAACAGGTATTCCAATGACCTTTCTCAGTAAACTCACAATAGCTCATTTGTTGTACCTGAAGAAACAATGAGGCATATTTTATTATTGTTACAATACAAATTGTTTTAACAAATCATATAAGTCATATAATAAATCGTTAAACAAATGTTCAAAAAATTTTTCATTCATATGGCCAATCATATTTATATTCAGACATCTTTATTCATCATAAATCATGTACATTGGTGGTACAGTGAATAGTGTCAGAATACTTAAAATAAAAATACTATTTCTATGTATTGGAGGTGGAAACTCCTCAAAAGCATATAATGCTAAATTTATTAAATAATCTTGTAGAATTTTCTTGAATTTAGATAGGTTTGTTTCTTTTAGCGAATTTCCCTATAGGGAAGTAGCTATTACCGTAAGTGGCACGGTAAGACCTAGACCCGGGACCAATTTACTTTTTCATTTTGATGTCCCCAGAGGCCAAAAACACCATTCGTTCAAATTTTTATATATGTATATATATATATATATATATATATATATATATACGTCCGTGAACGCGATAACTTGAGTAATTTTTGTCAGATTTTGATTAAATTTGGTTTAAAGGTGTAAAGCGGGATAAACTTGAATGAGTTCGCAAACCAGCACGATCGGACCATGGGAACGGGGCTTTACGGGGGGTTTTATGGGGTAAAAATTAGTTTTTCTCACTTTTGACCCTCAAAACACAAAATTTCCCGATTTCTCTTTAGACCTTTTTAAAGAGCTTAAAAAAACAAATAATTTAGTATATAAAAGTATTTTTGTTCGATTATTAGTAACGGAGAAAATTTAAAAAATTGTAAATTTAAAATTCCCATGTTATTCTTATGGAGAATGTTGTCAAATGTTGTAGTTTGCTTGTTTATGGATATATTTTGATCAAACTTGGCAAATTTATTTATTTTGTACTAAGCTATCAATATTTTACTCAAAAACACACTTTATTAGTTTCCTTGTAGCAGCAAACCTAGGTACTCGTTAAACCTAATGTTATTAAAATATATTTAACTGAAAATCAATTCAGACAAATGGAAATTCGCTTAGTCGGCAGGTTTGCTGCGGCGGGGGTATTTTTTCAATTCAGGGACAAATTTTAGAAACTCTACCAGCGTATGAGGGGTTTTTTTTTTAATTTTAATTTGTGAGGCTGGACAAACTCTCTTCTCCTCCTGAAATTATAAGAATGTACTAAATTTATTACTCGCTCAGATTCATTTTTTTGCAATAAGAATTTTTCATAAACATATTGCCCATAAACTTTAAAAATGTGTAATTTCTTAAAATGTTCTTTTGCCAGTTTCTTCTGGAGAGTTAGATGATACAATCAAATTAGAATCATCAGCATAAAGACATTTTACTTGTACGTTAAATTATCTTCCATGAAGGTAACACAAAAAAAGCAAAGGCCTCAAAATTGAACCTTGTGGGAGCCCAAATTTAATTGGTTGATAAGTTGATGATGATTTTAATTCTATTAGTCTTATCAAAACTAATAGAAACTAGAAACTCGATACAACAGTACAACAGCTGACCAGCTGATTTACAGCCAGTGCTGCCAACGTATTTCACGCGCATACGACCTTGTCTGCATGTTACGCGGTCACTATTATTTCGTGCCTTCACGTTGCAAATATGGAGTGAGACAATGTTAACATTGTCTCACTGATGAGCGAATTTGCCACTTTGCTTTCTCAAATCAGTGAGAGAACATGTACTGTTTGGTAACTGTAGGAAAAAGTTTATTTGTTTATGTTTGTGTGAGTTATTTTTCCTACCGAATCCTATTCAGTTATTCAAATGTTAATATCGAATGATTCAACTTACTACTCGATTTTTAATATCGAATTGAATTATTTGAAATATATTGTATATTATAACTTTTGTGTTTTTAAACCAATCTTAACCAAATTCGAAACATACCCTTAATAAATATTAAAGAATGTTTTGACTTATGTTAAGGGTAGTTTCATCCCCTATTTTTTATTTTGTTTATACAAATTTAAAAAATGATTGAATAATTCTGAAACTTAAAATGTATGTATATTTAACTGAGCAAAAAATTTACGTTTTTACTAATTTAGGACGAACTACCCTTAAATTTTAAACTGAAATGATTCAGTTATTTTCAAGATATTTTGATGAAATTTTGTATAGTGTATATAAGGTAAGCATAATTTAGTTATGATATTAAATTTAAGATATTCATTTCCTTTGACGTTGAAAAGTCAACTTTTTTTTATTTATTATATTACAGTATATTTATTATTATATTATATTTATTTTATTGAAACAAATTTTAAATTATTTAGTTTGGTTTTAGCGAATTTCCCATATAGAGAATAAGCTATTACCATACCGGTAGTACTCATGGTAAGACCTGGACCCAGGACCGATTTACTTTTTCGTTTTGAGGTCCCTAGAGGCCAAAAGCACCATCCGTTCAAATTCTGAAATTCATATATATACAGGGTGATCAACTCAAGGAGGCCACCATTGGGATATCGGAAACGGTAAGAATTAGAGAAAACTTTAAATGGGGGACATTCCTTTATTTTTTGTGGCAGTTAAAAATATGATTTTATCTTTTCGAAATTCAGCCGCCATTTTCCAAAATGGCGGCCAACTTTGAAATTTGTTATGGAACACCCTATATTTTATGATGTTTTCGGATAGAACAGGCAATTTAAAAACTTTTTTATTCTTGACATTTTTTCGATAAACCAACTCGTTTAGGAGTTACAGCCTATTGAAAAATGACTTCCGGTGTACATTTTACATCATGTAGCTCCTAAACAAGTGGGTTTAGAGCGAAAATGCGAAAAGTAAATAAGTCAAATAAGTCTTAAAATTGCATCCACATTCCAAAAAGACCATAAAATTCGTTAAAACTATTAATTCTATTATTTCAAAAATGGCGGCCATTTTCCAAAATGGCGGCAAACTTGAAAAGTGGAAAACTGTGTATTTTATGGTCTTTTTGGAATGTGGATGCAATTTTAAGACTTATTTGACTTATTTACTTTTCGCATTTTCGCTCTAAACCCACTTGTTTAGGAGCTACATGATGTAAAATGTACACCGGAAGTCATTTTTCAATAGGCTGTAACTCCTAAACGAGTTGGTTTATCGAAAAAATGTCAAGAATAAAAAAGTTTTTAAATTGCCTGTTCTATCCGAAAACATCATAAAATATAGGGTGTTCCATAACAAATTTCAAAGTTGGCCGCCATTTTGGAAAATGGCGGCTGAATTTCGAAAAAATAAAATCATATTTTTAACTGCCACAAAAAATAAAGGAATGTCCCCCATTTAAAGTTTTCTCTAATTCTTACCGTTTCCGATATGCCAATGGTGGCCTCCTTGAGTTGATCACCCTGTATACAATGAATATATATGTGTGTGTGTGTCCGTTAGCGCGTTAACTCGAGCAAAAATGATCCGATTTTGATGAAATTTGGTACAAACGTGTAAACCTACGTTTATTCGAACGAGTTCGCGAACCAGCATGATCTGACCATGGGAACGGGGGTTTATGGGGGCTTTTATGGGGTAAAAATGGGTTTTTCCCATTTTTGACCCAAAAAACATAAAATTTTGCAATTTCTTTCTAAACTATTTTGTAGAGCTTAAAAAACAAATAATTTAGTATTTTGAAGCGTTATAATGCGCCTAATGGTTACGGAGAAAATTAAAAAAAATTGTAAATTTAAAATTCCCATGTTATTCTTATGGAGAATAAGTAAACTGTAATTGTAGTTTGCTTGTTTATTATCATATTTTGCCCAAATTTGGAAAATGTTTTTATTTCTTACTAACTATTAACATTTTACATAAAAAACACTTTTACCCTCCCTGCAGCAAACCTAAGTATGTTTTAAACTGATTCTATTTAAATAGGGAATAAATGTGATATTTTTAAGGAGACATTTTTAGTGTAAATGCATTCAGGGAAATCTAAATTCGCTTAGTCTGCAGGTTTGCTGTGGCGGGGTTTTTTTTATTTAGTCAGTGACAGTTGACAGTGATAAGAGAGTGCTGGCCAGCCTTTACAGTTTTAACCAGTTTTATCACTTTTTATTCAATTTTAATAATTTGATCAACACATGACAATACTAGTTTTTGCTATTGTGATTCTGGCAGTGTTTTAAAGAATCTTTTGACATACCAAAATATTGATGATGTGGTTGCTTACAATGACCTGACGATGTTCTAAGGAACGAAACTAGTTGTCATACTAGCAACTGTGGTTGGATAAGGTAATTCTTCCATGTTATCAATTATATATTCCAGCCAAGGGTCACAATGAATAACCCATTTTAATATTTGCTCATATTATCTATTTCCAAAGCAACCATCACTTATAATTTGGAGACAATGATATTAAATAACAACTTATTCATTAGTTGATTTGAAATTAGGAATCACGTATCTAACAGTACCGGTAAATATTCTCTAAATTGCCAGGTACTTTTATAAAAGTAGGTTAGAGTAAGTTTAAGGAATTTTTAACTATTGTCAATTCCAAGAACATGCCAGTTTGTTTGTTTTGATTTAACCTCAAGATTTGACAGGTATGAACACATGATCGCACTACAGCCAAATAGGTTTATCTTCGAAGATATTCCACCACACCATAGGTACTGTTTCTAGCTAAAAAAATCCAACTGTACGTACACTTATAGGCGTCACCACGACAACGACAATGTGCCACCACGTCAACCCACCACCTCAAACTTCTTCTTCTTTTGGTTGGCGGGTTGACTAGGTGGCTGGTTGACGTGGTAGCACCTTGACGCGTTCGGGTTCGCCTCCTTGTCGTGGACTATTGGGGGGGGGGCACTTTAACGCGGTTTCGAATCATTGGGCTTAAATCAGGTTCAGGTTGAACACTGTTTACATCATCGGTACCAGAAATATAATGAACCACTGTTTTACTATTGTATACGCAATGCAAAGGTATAAAATTGTTGTTTTTTTATTTTTTCTCTTTAATATTTTTTTTTAGCTGGCATGTAACGTTGGAAGAATAAACCAATAAAATGGATTAATGAGAAAATAACCGATAGTGTTTTAGATAGTGTACAAAGATCCATGATTACGATTACAGTACAGTCACACGGTACCAGACCATGAATATGATAAGAAGGGAACTATGGGACCTTCCCAAGAATAAATACAGTGACTGGTCTACTAATTTCGTTCATTTTAATAGAAATACGAAAAGGCTAGTTTTAATCCTGCAGAAATGGTTATATACACATTTTACGTAGAATATACGATGTGCATTACGTACAATGATTCTTTGCTGTTACGTTGGCAATGCACCACTTTATCAGCAGTTTACTGACATGTCTGTTCGTCTGTGTCTGGGCTGTCTGTTCTGTTCTGTTGCTGTTTTTTCGTATCTTGTTGATTGTTGATTGTTGTTTCTCATAATTTCTTCAGCGTAAGAAACCTCCCTCCTCCTGCCGCTGCATGAAATTGTTTAAAGAGAGAGATATTAGTTTATTAAATGAAAGTTGTTAGCCAAACAGCAGTATCGATCATGAATAACTGACTTTATTTTATTACGAACATCAATAACTATGGATATACCATCAAACAGAGGTAAATTTATTCCATTATGCTATGTTATTAAGACATTAGTCAATTGAGTTACCCTTGAGGACCTATTACATAAAATTATTCTTTTAGGTAAGTTAAAACTTGTTAGTGTATCCATTTATGGACAATTTCCTTGTTAAATAATATATATATTTTCGAATTATTTTCTAAAAAATTAGCCTAGGCCTATTTTCCAAATATGTTAAATGTTGATGCAGGTTTACAAAAAAACTTACCTATGTTAAGTCAAGTAAACACATTTGGCCTAGGCATTTACTTTTACCAAGAGGTTACGCCTCCGGTAACCGAACGCAGACTAGGCATCCGGCAGTAACGTCACCGGGTCGTGGGGGCCTGGAACACCATTACCACAACGCTACGATGTACAGCCTATGGTGTTCGTGGTGTAGTAGATAGAGTACCTATTCGGTTGATGTAAATGAGGTGTCTAGATCAAATCCCATCGGTGACATTAACTTTTTGTCAAAGATTTTGTTTAGAATGCCATTTCTTATTAACTGTAAGATCTTTTGTTAGAATTTGACACATTTCTAATTTTTTTTGCGAACAGAATTTAAGCTTTATTCGATTTTTCACTATCAGCAAGTTTGGTTAGTTAGGTTAGGTTATGACAGTAACTGCCGGACGCCTAATCCACGTCCGGTTAACCGGACGTGTATCCTTTGCCTTACTTTTACTGGCTGCGATCAACAAGTACACACAAAGAAGAGGCCAAAATATTTCAATATACACATTTGTTGTTCACCCTACTGGCCATGAACTAACCTAAGAGAACATTCACAGTTTGGGCCTTTGAAGCGATACTCTCAGGGAATAGGAAGTTACGGTTCCACAATTGTCCTCAGGAGAAAATTAAATTAGCCTAAGTTACCTAAGTTATTAAACGGTATATTGCCTTTGTGATTAGTTACCACTAGGACTAAATAGGTTTAGTTAGCAGAATAGGCCTGGGAGTAGAAATTATCCAACCTGGGGAAAAGACCAATAAATTGTATGCATGTGATTGTACTTGTAGTCGTCCATCTTATTTTCCGTATGGGGGGTCTGGAAGGGTATGGAATAACCCCGAGTAATAACTAGTCATGTGTGTGTAGTTTAGCCAAGCAATCTTATCGAAGAAATGGAATTTCACTTAGAATACGTAAGCCTAAGCAGTTGTATTTTGAGTGATCACTTTGCTGAAATTTACTATTCTCACCAATAATAAGTTTTTCTTACTAAAATCAATAAGTTAATTTCACTCACATATCAGGATAAATCAGAACTTATATTCAAAAGTACTGTAATCCATCCTCTTGACTCGCCATTGTCACCATTCTACTACGTGCCTGAAGTGCCACTATCATCGGGGTAAAAAAAATACCCCCGCCACAGCAAACCTGCAGACTAAGCAAATTTCCATTTGCCTGAGTAGATTTACACTAAAAAAAACTCCTGAAAAAATATCACATACCTATATTCCCTATAAATAGAATTAGTTTAACGAGTACTTTGCTGCAACAGGGAGAGTTTTAAAGTGATTTTTTTGTAAAATGTATTTAGAAAAAATATAATAAAATTTCTAAATGGGAGATTGGCATAGGCCTGATACTTAGTTTTAGATAAATTGACGGTGAGTTTATTTTTATCAAACCATCACCTGACAGTGAGTAGGCCGCGCTCCGCACCTTGATACACCTCCTCCCAGCTATCGCCGAGGGCTCGAACAGAAGAGCGGTGTCGTCGGCGTACAGGAAGATCTGACCAGCTTCCAGATTAATTTTGCCAAGGTTATTAATGTATATAAGGAATAAAAGACTCGGTCCCAAATTTGATCCTCGAATTTCTCCATAGTCCATGGTTTGTTGTGCACTATTCTTTCCTAAAATCGAACGATTAGAAAAGTAATTTTTAAACCAATTATAAGCAGTTCCAGTAACCCCTACACACCTCAGCTTGTCCAGAAACAGCGATCTGTCAACAGTATCAAATGCCTTGGCCAAGTCAATGAATACTAAAGAGGTTTTTTGTTTTTATTAATTGAATCATGAAAACTGTTAGTTAGAGAGAAAAGATTGCCATTCAAATTTTTGTCTTTGCAGAAGTCGAATTTTTTATCAAAGAGAATATTAGAATGTATTAAATAGTTTTCAAAACTGAATTCTAACACACTTCTCTATTAACTTAACAAGGACGCTAGCCAATGTAATTGGTCTATAGTTAACACATTGGGTTTTTCTATACAAGATCAGACATCATCTACTGGTACCCAGTTCGTCCCTGACACTAAACGCTGCGACCATTGGTATACGATTGGCTTTCTAAGCTCTCATACCCTACGACCATGTAGAGTCTGCTGAAGCGGATTTTTAAGCTTTTTGTTCTGGTCTAACTAATGCCGCATCTACATGTAGTCCCTTGATGAAGCTTGGTAGATCTCCGTTTCATCAATGGTTCTTGGCTGACTTGAAGCGCCTAATTATTTTAAAGAAAAAAAGCCCATAAAATGTACAAGATTACATCCAGTCCATTTCACCTAAGGAATGTTGTGCCCAATGTTCCAGTATGGTCGCCCAGTGTCGTCAAAGGCATCTTGATCGAATGGATACTTCCATTAGAAACAACCCTAAATGTTTCTGGAATCTTGTCAATCAGCAGAGGTCAAGTCTTAGTCTTAATTCAATCTTTGTAAATGATTCTGTTGTTGTGGAGCCAGTCAAAATCTCACACGCCTTTGATGACTACTTTTCGTTAATTTTTACTGAGTCAGATGAAGATCCTCCAAACCTCGACTTCACCATTTTCAAAACAATATCATCATGGCGCAACTCTGCCGAAGCAATTGAAGATAAACTCTCTAAGCTGGATCCTAACAAAGGGGCTGGTCCGGACAGTATTCCCCCATCAATACTGAAGTTTTGCAAGACTATTATTTCTCCTCATATTGTCATCTTATTCAAGATTTTCTTCTCTAATGACATATTTCTTCAATGCTTAAAATCTGGCTTTATTTTGCCTATATTCAAATCTGGCAACTGTGCAAAATTAGAAAATTACCGACCAGTCGTTATCCTAGATGTGGTAGCTAAGGTATTTGAGAGCTTAGTACTTGATGGCCTCGATTTTGAATTTAAAACCCTGATTTAAGTTCCACTCTAGGTTTTCTCTTCCGATTCACTTGAGGACTCTTCATTAATGCTTTGGTGTTGCTCTTTCGTGCTCTGGTTCGTCCCATACTCAAATTCAACTCACCTGTCTGGGCTCCCTATCAGACTGGACTCTTATATTCGCTGGAGAGAGTTAAAGTCCGTTTCATAAGTATTCTTGGCTGTAGAATGGGACATCGCTACCTTGATGCTCCCATGAATCTCATCAGATCTCAGTTCAATCTATGCAGCTTGGAAGATTGGAGGTAAATCTCGGACGCTTAGCTTCTCATGAGGATTGCAAATGGAAACGTTGACTGTCCTCAGCTGTTGGGGGAAATACCATTCCACGTTCCTATCCGTTAGAGATCTAAGGATAGGTTTGAGGATATACTACAATACTGTATATTTGCAGCAAAGCACTATCCCTCGCCTTTTGCGGGTCGGCAACGAGGTTAGCGCAGTGTTGGATTTTCACCATTCCAGTGTGGCTGCTTTCCGCTCCAATCTGTGTCGCCTCTTCTCTGTAAATAACTTATAGTTATTGCCCACATTATGTCAACGGTACCGTGTTCTAGCCTTCAATCATCTGCTTTACTTTTGTCATTTTAGTATTTGGATTTTTTTTGTCATGTTAAGTCTTGCTTAGGGAATTCCAAACTGTGTATTTAGGTGTTGTTATTGTTTCACAAAATTTAATATGGTTTTTATCTTCATTGTTGAATTGTTTTTTCTTGTTATTGCTATTGTTATTGTTATTTATTCAGTCATAGCCTTTATTTGTTGTTAATTATTTTAGTTTGATATAGCTTACTTGCTCTACCTTTTTGTAAAATGTTGTTACAGTGGAAATAAATGAATTGAATTGAATAGGCAGGTGCGTGGAGGAAGATCCAAGGTGGCGGAGAGGTGACCGCTAGTAGTTCTAGTGTTGTGATCTTTTAAGCGGAATAATTTGACATGAGTCGCCCCAGCATGACGTTAAGCCTTTAGACCGATTACTGTTCTGGATATAGTCATTTAGCTTAGGCCTCTGTGAATTATGACATACAGTAGCCTGCATTGTACCATAACTTGAAGGTTCTGCAAGCCTTTTGATGATGTAATGTGATACAATTAAGTGACTCATTGCTATTACTAATACAAATAGTTTAATAATCATGGTGTCATGAAGTGGTAGAATCATATTGCCTGATGTGTGCTTAAATACATATTGCAATAACTATACGCTGAACACTTTTATCTGTTTCAAATGAAACATACACATTTAAAATGATAGTAACTGTTATTTTCAGTAGGCCTAAATGTGAAGCTGTTAAATATATGTTTAAGTATAGTTAAACGCCTGATTGGATTACTATTCTCACCAATAATAAGTTTTTCTTACTAAAATCAATAAGTTACATTTCACTCACATATCAGGATAAATCAGAACTTATATTAAAAAGTACTGTAATCCATAATATTGAAGAAAAATTTAATAATAATTTTAATAAATTTAATATATATTTAGTAGGGTACCTGGCCTACTTTATTCTGAAGTAATATATAATTATGAAATAAAATTATGTGTAACTAGCTGTTGTACCCGTGCTTTGCAACGGGAAGAGGCCACAAAATAGAAACATTTTAATCTTTACATCTGTTGCATATAATAGTTACACATCCGATTGGAGGTATTAAGGTATTAAGAAACTAAATTAAACTTTTATGGCCTTAATAGAAACGTTAAAGTTTTGACTTTTAAATCTGGTAAGTAGTGGATACCACCATTTTCGTTTTGATTAATTTTAAATCTTGTGTAGGCTGATTATATGAGAAAAACTGACAAAATCTTCGAATAAAACTTTGACATACATGATTTACTTTCATCTCCCTTAATTAAATATCTTTCAATTTATTATTGACATTTTAAATTTCAATTTTGAAGGTGCAAAAATACTAATTATTAAATTTAAATGAACATTTTTTTTCACTCTTCTTTATATTAAATCACAAATCCTTCCATCTTCAGTTTCTTCACTCACAATAAATCATTAGCAAAACTAAGTCAGCTGTTATAAACTTTAGAAATATTGCTGTGCCTTATCAATACAGTATTTTGAAATATTAAAGAAACTTAATTAAAGAAACTAAATGTGAACTGAAAGCTGTGTTAAGATAAAATAAGAGTATTTTGCATTACCATTTGATAATTAAATATAGTTACACATATAACAGATTTAAGAAAACAAAAATCAACGACATACAATTTAGTTATTGATGATATTCTTTAGTTTAATTTAAGCATAGGTTTAGCAAAACACAATAACTTAATTTACCTAATTATACATATAAAAAACAATGTATGTTATTATTTGTCGACCAAACACAAACTTAATCACAAGGTACAGCGTCAGTGAATTACAAAGGTAATAAGGCCCAAAAGCAACAGAAATAATTGATCATTTGGTAATTCTAACTATCATGAGTAAGTCTACCTTGAAGCAATCTTTATATAAAAAATATGCAGCAGAGTTTTAATAATCCTCTCTTTAATAATTATTGTGTCTTCAGTGCTATTTGACCCTCCCTGCAGGCAATTGAGTAACATGAAATTGTGTGTTCTGTTATATACAACGTTATGGGTACATACGCTTACTACATAGTTTTTCAATCTCTCATACCTGCAGACCTCTTTGCTTACCCCTCATGTCTTGGGACAATAGCATACTAGCCCGACCACGACCTCTCACATACAGCCAGTTTTACAATAGACGTAAATAAAACTTTATCACTTTTCCACGGCTGGTTTACGTCGGATACTCGGGATCTTATTGCAGTACTGCAGTTTATAAAAACTTAAAGCTAACTTAGCTAAATTTTTAAATGTTTGTTTTGTCTAGGTATTTCCCCTGGCCTTGAAGGGGGAGAGGCCAAGCTACAACAACACCTGGTATTGTTGAGGGAAGAATACAAGAAGCTTCAACAACATTGTGGCAACCTAGAGGCCAAACTAGCATTGTGTTCTTCCTCTGACAAATCTGTAGAGAACAGCTTCCCTTCCCGTCTCTACAAGACTGTCTCCAGTCTCTATGACTCTGCTTTGTACAGGTGCGTATCTAATTTCCATTACAGAAGACCCCCTTTTAACCAACCTCATATTAACCAATAATCGGATTATCCGCCTTCCATCCTAAAATATTACATTTTGTTTTAACCGACCTTGCTTTGAGAGCAGTTCGGCTTAACCGCCGCATTCTAGGAATCTCAGCATTTCCTCTCCCATGCTGGGTGATGAGAACTGAACCATACGCTTATCTCCACAAGATGTGACTAAGAATAAATTATTTTGTATTGATCACAAAAAATATAGCATATTGTCAGTTTTTCATCATCGTTCGTAGCGCGAGCACATCCTGATCTGATTTGTTATCTGTGCGGCAAATTTATAAAATCGTAAAGTGCATTACGATTTTGAGAACTGATTATCACATCACTAGAGTAAACAAACAACACAACTTGTAGGGAGGGCAGGGAAGGGGGGTTAACAACTCCAAGGTCAAGATAGTTTTTGTGCCTCGAGCCTCCAGTGAGAGGCAATAAATAAACTTCCTGTCTTCTAACAAAATTGTTGCTTGTATCTTTAATTTCAACAAAAGGTTCTGTACTGTATTACGATGGATTTAGAAAGCATCAATGAATACATTACAGTAATAAAGTTATTAAAATAGGAATTATTAATGACTCTTGTCTAGTACTATAATCTATTCACTGAATTTAGGTTAGTAAATTAGTTTATTTTATACATAATACAAGTATGACTTCAAAATGATAACTATATAATTCCAAATTAATAACACTTAATTATGTTATGATATTAGGGATTGCCCGTTTTAATCTTTTGACCTTTTGAGTTATCCGACCTAGGTCCGGTCCCATTAGGGTCGGTTAAGAGGGGGTCTACTGTATCAGGGAAGATGTCGACCCCAGGCAGAATTTGTTTTTTGTTTTAATGTACCCAGAAGACAAAACATTCTCAGTTCAGATTGATATATTTACAGGTTATGCAAAACTGTTCATACACCCTTTTAACTTTTCAATTAATTACACCAGGAAAACTAGACTTGGCACAACTTTATATGACATGAAAGTAAACTTTTTGGTTGATATGAACATTTTGTCTGTGACCCCAAAATGGAATATTTCGGGGGCAGCTTAAGATTTTTAACAAAGCCTCATCAAGTGACACGTCATTTTAAAGATCGTTATAAAAGAAGAATATCAGCGAAAACTAGGTCCTATCTCAACCCAGAATGACATAGTACCTTATAATTAATTTGAAAATGAATTGAATATTCAGGCATGGTACATTTATGTGAGTTCTCTCAAGCTGATAAACATTTGAAATTACTGCCATTCTGGGTTAGGATGGTGACCTCTGGTTTTTGCTGTTGTCCTTTTTTAATAAAGACCTTTAAAATATGGTACCACTCAATGGGGCTTTCATTTAAAAGTTTTGAACTGCCCCAAAATACTCCTTTTTCGGTTTTGTACAAAATTCCCGATCAAAAGGTGCACTTTTATACCATGTAAAGGTGAGATGAGTTCCCTCATCAATGGGTGTTCAATGGTTTTTTTGTGTAACCCATTTAAAAATTAAGATTGGGTTCCCACATACCTATTTAGAATGTTCTTCAGCCAAAAAAGATTCAAGTAAATGTATTTTTGGTACATTTTTAAATTATCGCTTTGTACTAGAATTGAGATGATAGAGACCTGACGTTTTTGCTGATATTATTCTTTTGTAAAGGCCTTTAAAATGATGCGTCAATTGGGGGTTTCCATTTTTGAAAAAAACTTGTCCTAAAATTAGGGGCTCTTGGGTAAAATTGGCACAACAACCCAAAAGTGTACTTTAAGCCACATAAAGTTGTGCAGATTTTAGTTTTCCTAGTGTTACCCATTAAAAAGATAAGAGCCATACTTATAGTGATCCATACTTTTGGCTAACCCTGTAATAGGCGGATATTATACATCATTTCAAAGCTCTTTTAATACAAACATTTTGCGATCTGGGTATTAACTATTTAGTACAGTCCTAAAAACTGTGTGATGTGGATCTATAGACATGTAAAAGAACTAAACCTGGATTGCGTGCTGTAATGGTCAGAACTAGGCTCAATAAGAACTAGGAAAATTGTAATGGGAAAACAATAAACACAATATTTCCCCAAATAAATGCCTACACAAATAAACAGAATTATTTTTAACTGTATATAATGAAACATAGAGCAATAAAACCCTAAAGTTATAAACCTTAAATTGTAAATCATGCAGTCAATAAATTGTGATTTTTATTTTCAGTGACATTAAGATAATACTCAAGGATAAGGAGATTCCAGGACACAAGCTGGTATTCGCATCTCGCAGTGTGGACTGGGCTGGTTCTTCTATCATGGATGTCGCATCTTTAGGTTTGTGCTTTTAGCGAATTTCCCATACAGGGAATAAGCTATTCCCTTAGGTCTCATGGTAAGATCTGAACCCGGAACCGTTTTAATTTTTCGCTTTGATGTCCCCAGAGGCCAAAAACACATCCGTTCAAATTTATTTCATACATATATGACAGCCTCTGATTTACTTGTCATACGTTCAAGAGCAGAGCTAGGTGGGTTACCCTTTAAACAAAGAAAAATATTTGAAATGTTAAACGAACCTTGGCTTTTTCATGCATCTAACTTGTGTCAAAGTTTGTGTGATGGAACATAGGCTGTGGCATCCACTTTAATGTGGGGTATGGACACAACGGGAGCAAGGTTTCTGAATTATTTTAATGTTCATTTTTGCCATGAATTATACTTGAAAAAAGGGTAATAATTTAAAGGGTGATTATTTCCTTTGAGAAATTTTGCTGAGTTTATCACATTCAAGGCTTAACAACAATATATAAAATGATGCAATAACTGATTCCTAGTACATACTAGATTTGAATGGATATATTTCAATTTGCTGATGACACAATGCTGTTATGTAAGGGACCCAATGTTGAATCCCTGCAGCACACAGTAGATACAGAATTGGCCGCTTTAAGTGACTGGTTTAGAGTAAATGGGCTCTCCTTGAACATGGACAAGACTGAAGTAGTTAATTTTCGATCAGATCATTGAAATAGTTTAAAACAGACCACTTTTACAAATCATCAGTTAATGTCTGAGGAGACAGTCAATTTTTTGGGTATTCATATAAACGAAAATCTTGACTGGCTTCCTCACATTGACAAACTACGGAAAAAACTTTCTTCAGCAATATTTTACTCTCAAAACAATTTCTCAAGTTACAGATCAGATACTAAAACCTAATTAACAGTTTATCATTCATATTTTTCATCTTTAATGTCATACGGAATACTTGTCTGGGGAAATTCTTGCCATGGTAAGATTTTAAGGCTTCAAAAGAAGACACTTAGAATCATAGCTAAAGTACCCCGAAGAAGTCCATGCAAAATCATCTTTCAGGCTTTTAGCGTTTTGACATTTTATGACCTCAGTGGTGGCGATAAGAACCCGTGGACCCCCCGCAAGTATGTTCGCCGGGCCCCCCTTTCCTAATGATCTTTAAAAACATTTTCCCATGTATTACCTAAAAGTCGTCGCAATTGGGAGGGTTAAGTGTTAAAATTATTTTATTTGGATTTTTTGCTATTTAGATTTAAGTATTATAATGCATTGATAAATGTCCTGTCATTTTATGATGTAATGGCATTCTGTAAATAAATAAATAAAAATGTTTGCCCTTATCAATTTGTCTCGCATTGTATCCAATGAAATGGATTACCATGTATAAAATATCCTTTGTACATACTGACCATCTGTAAATTATTGGTATGAATGTAAATATACTGACAAATGTTGGAAGAGTTATTTTATTTTACCCAAATCTCTTTGAGTAAATAAAGAGTTGTAAATCAGACTATAAAATAAAACTAGTTAATTTTGTCCGTTTGACCAGGGGTTCAAGGTAAACTCTTCTTTTTCAGATTGGTCTCAAATAGATAAAGGAGTGGCCCAAGCCCTAGTCAGATGGATCTACTCAGACCAAGTGGACTTCCCACAACCAGATGATTTTACCTTATCCCTTATGAAAAATGCCAGCCAATTTCACCTGGGTGATCTAGTCAACCGGTAAGTTCTCATTTCATCAAGTAAGAGACAAGGATTGAATCTTGCAGCTCAGTTATGCCTGCGTTATTCGAAAGACCTCAATTCCCATTAATCCTCTGTTCCTTGGATCCCATGAAATCCCAATGACTGTGTTGCCCTGGTTTCCCTTGATGCTTCTACATGATAGGGTCTAGCAGGGCTGGAAGTGCAAATAATGCATAAAAAGCGTACCAGTCCTTCTCACCACATTTATATTCAATTCTTTAAGAGGCTCTCACTTAATTACCATCTTTCTTCAGTGTCTACAGAACACCCAATGAACACTAATATAGCCTACTGTGTTCTGCTAAAATGTCTATTCATCCATAAGGTAATCGAATTTGCCGCATCAGGTGGTACCCGCAGCATCCTTTTTGACTGTAAATTTCCTGTTTGTTTCCTTTTTGAGGAAGAACATCATTTCTAGCTTCCCTTTGGGACTACTTAAAGGGCTACTAAAAAGTCCATCCTCAAAGTATCATCTCAGTCGTCCTTGTAAAAACTGCCATCCAGTTCAAAGTGAGGAGGCTGAGTTCTAAGGAATTAATGTTTGTCACCTTTCTACTCATAATGAAGCCTAGTGAGCTGGTAGTGAGTTACCACTGCCCAGAACCAGGCTGTCAACTCTCATTACTCCTGTATTGTGGACTGTAGACAGTTGTGTAATGAAGTATTTGCATTACACAAAGCTATCTGTGCTACTAACATGGTTTCTTTTCTTGTAGCCTAACTACCAAAGCAGCTGTAAATTTGCATTCAGTAGTTGTGCAAAGTAGCTGTACCCTCCATCATATATACTCCAAAGGGTAATCTGAAGTCAGCTTCACACGTCTCAAATTTCATATAAATTGATTATTTTTGATTGAGTTAGTGTCCCCAAAGCAGAACTAAATAAACAAATAAATCTTTAATGTCACATAAAGTTTGCATACTATAACAATGCTATAAAACAGGTGACATTGTCAAAATACAAATACCTTAAGACTAAGGAGTTATAATAGACTAAAATAAACTAAAACTATACAAATTAAAGTGGTATAAACAAAATGTATTAGTTAACAAATTTAGTTAAAACAAATTTATTTTTACACAACCTGATCAGTTAAGAACTCATCTATACTGTAATAAGTTTTTCTTAGAAGAAAATTAGCAAGGCTGCTTTTAAAATGCTTGAACTGTATTTTGTTCTTCAATTCTTGAGACAGTTTATTAAATAGTTTTTTGCCCATGAATGTCAGTGTTTTTTCTACTACAGGTGACAGTGCGACATTGTCGCAGAAAGACGGCAAGGGCTGCAGATAGCCCAGACTGGTTATAATTTTTTAAATGTTTATTTTCATAGGTAAAATAAGGGGCACCTTAACCTGTATAAATATCTGCAGAAAATTCCACATAAAAAGTCAATACATTTTTTGCAGAAAATATTTCTGTAGAAAGTTGATAACTTTATTTTCAGCAAAAAAATTCTCTGTTCTGCAAACAGTAACGCTACAAAACGTCATGCATTACATAAACGAAAGCTGCAATGTCAATATTCGGTGCATCGTTCGTGAGGAAGAAGGCAGAGAATAACCGAATTACCAAAGTGTTTCAATGCACTAACAGTAGGCGTATTCGTAATAACTGATACGAGTGTTTGAAAACATATTAATTTCAAAATATTCATTAAAACTATCACGCCGTGGTTCATTTACACTCAATTTCGACCGCGTAAGCCCTCAGGAAATTTTTGAATTTTTTCAAGTCTGTTGCAGAAAGTTTAGAAACGTTATGCTTTGGGGGTTAACATGCTAACAAACACACACATACATATATGAATTTGAATGAATAATGTACACTTATTTGGCGTCTTGAGACATTAAAACAAAAAAAAGTAAATCTGTCCCAGGTCCAGGTCTTACCATGAGATCTACGGTAATAGTTTATTCCCTATATAGACGTGTCAAAATAGGAAAATGTATTGCACAACCATAAAAAAAATTGCTTCAAATGGTTTTGTACCATTAATTAAATTCAATCGGTATGTTAAAAAACATAGTAAAAGTCTAGGAAAATTGGAATCCCGGAAGTGGGTAATTTTCAAGATGGTAAAATTGCCGATAAGTATTGATTTTAAACGTTTGTCTTGTATAAAAGGCACATTTCTTGCCAGATTGTTTTAATATTTTTGTTAAAGTGCATTTTTAATGCTACCTTCTGTAGTGTATTCCAACTTAGGTTGGGCGTTTGTGTATAGTTAGTTGTAATGTATTAGTTAAGTTATTCACCTGAGGACGGGATCATATTCCAGATCCCGAAACGTTGTGTATTGTTTTTTACAATTGAACCGCGCCCTCGTACCTGCACCCAGGCCAACGACTTGGAAGCGTGAATCCATGTGCAGGCCCAAGGAGCGGCCCACCAAAAAAAAAAAAAAAAAAAAAACAAACAAAGTGAGAACCATGGATGGAGGTTCAAGAACAACGCACTATTTGAGAGAAACGAGCTGTAATTAACCATTTAAATAAACAACAACAAACATTAACAACAATACATGAATTACCTTTAAAAAAAAATAACTTTAAATAATTTAGCTACCCATCTAGCCTACTAACTTACAAGCATTTCTTTAATTTTAATCAAATAGGTTAATTAATTAACCTCATGAAACACAAACATTTGAAAGAGATTATTTATAATAATTTTTATAGACAAACTGTTGTTATGTTTCAGATGTGAGAAAGAACTGATTGCTTCAGTAAGTGTCAAGAACTGTGTCAAATACTACTCAACAGCTGATGAAATTGGTGCCGATAATCTCAAAGACCATTGTTCTACACTAATTTCTACTTACTGGGTAATTTTTCCTTTTATATATTTCTTTTGTATTTTCTTTCCTAGGTCTCATTCAGTATAGGCCTTTGTAATATATAAGATAAATAGGTTACATTTTCATGAGCAGTCCAAGTTTTACTATCACAATTAGTTTTTGAACATTGTTGCTAAAATTCTGAAATCTGATCTCTGGGGTCTTAAATCTTCTGCACATTATTGATTCAACATTTGAACTTTGACTGACCATGAGAAATAATGTTAATGATGTAACTTAATGTCTTGTTTAAAAAATATTCAAAATTCTGATGCAGTGGCATAGTTTTTTTTGAGGGGTCGATTCCAAGGGTCCTCATCAAGGAAAAGTTAGTAAAATTTAGTTACTACTACCATAGATGAAGTATTATAATGAGTGAGGCAGCCATATGGAGTTTAGCCTGGGCAATTTTTAGCCAAGTAGTGTGCTGCTTCTAGTGGCAATATCGAGTCCTAAAAATCTGCGTTACCAACGGAAACAATGGCATTGTTTTAGTATGCTTGTTTATGAAAATATTTTGATCAAACTTGGCAAATTTTCCACTCATAGCCGCATTAGGTTGTCTGTAATAACAATCATAAATTCTAAAAAAAAGATTACTTGTATTTTATCTTCTTGGTGGTGATCTATGACTTTCGTATGTTTCCATAGTTTTCAAATCTGCTCTTTCAATAAAATGCAGCACAGTGTTGATTCAGTTTTCTTTTTAGTATATGAAATTGTCTGGGCTTTTTTGCTTTTTTCCATTGTAATATTTACACTAACCTTAATTCAAATAGTAAATATTTCCCTTAAACCATGTCATAATGTAAACTAATATATTCTTTAAAGAATAACATGGGAACTCTAAAAGCCACTGGGGCAGAGTCCAAAGGACTTTTTCAAAAATGTAACGTCAGTTTGCAAATCTACACTTCTACACGAACATTTTGGTATTGAATATGTGAGATTAAATAATTTAAAAACAAAAAAGCCTTATTGTTTACACATTTTCATGCATTGTAATAATATAGATAGATGGTCTGCAATAAAAACATTTTTCATAAATTATACAGGGTGTTTCCCATGAGTTGGGCCATTATAAACAAAATAATGAGATACCATATAATGTTCAGAGCAGCCTGAAAAATAATCTTCTTTGAAAACTCTGGCAAATGATTTCAATCATCATTTTTTATTTTTTTAACTTAAGTAATTCAGCAGCTGTAGCTCAGAATAAGAACAAAGCATTGATGTTCATGGTTCATAACTTAGCAAATAGGGATGGACAAGATTGGATTTTTATTTAGAAACGAGACGAGACAAGATTTGTTATTTCTCATAACATTTTGAGACGAGATCGAGACAGGATTTCCCTTCTCATACACAACGGGAAATGCACGTTCAACGTTCTAAAGAAGTATTATACATTTTTATGTTGGGGAAAACAATTGTTTTGTTTTTGGTGGAAAAGTTAATATAATTACTTTTAGAAATATTTAAAAATAAATTATGCTCATTTAAAAACCTTTGGATATTAATAAGTTCTGAGTTTGCCACAGATTCTATATCCTCAAATTTTTTCCCTGATATCTTTAAGTTTGAATCATCTGCATAAAGAATTATTTTGCTCTCCCTTTAATTTACTAGTGTTTGGTTCAAACTGTTGATCTGAAAATGATTTGTTCTTATCTTGGCTGTGTGTGACCACTAAAAACTCTTTTTTAAATTATTTGGGTTTTGGTTGACGTGAGGGAAAACATGATAAATATACCCATAATTAAATCAATGAATAATCCACTGAGTGGAAAAGGGTAATAAGTTAACATTTGCTTCCCTAATTATTCTCATAGTTTCTTCAAGAAAACTTAAACATGTTATACTTGCTAAAGTGACTTCTCTCGTTGGTTTCAGGATGATTTTACAAGTGAAGATTTTGAGCACATGTCTGCGCCACTCCTCTACCATATGTTCAAGACTAAGACCAGATACCCGTTACATTCCGCAGTCCGGCTCAAGAGGGAGGACGTGGTGTTTTTATACTTGGTTGAAAATAGCAACCAGGTAAGTAAACCAGATTGTTTATGTTGATTAACTGGCATGAAAAGGGGGTACTATTTTCAGTAGAAGAAAAGAGAAGCACCCCCATTGCAGCAAATCTGCATACTAAGTGAGTTTCCAGTTGCTCTTTTAAGTTCTCTTGGTTCAATGTCGGGACTTCTTTAGTATTGCTCCAAAATCCCAAAAACCTGTAGCATGTACGTATGTCTATTTCATGGCCCAAAACAACATATCCGGGGTGGATGCACATTAACCGTTAGCTTGCGATATATACCAGCAGAAAAATTAACCTCTAAAATCCTTCCTTCATGAAAATTAAGATTTTCATCCAAATGGTCTATAGGATACATATGTTATTTACAGTAATAACTGTTAATTACCTTAAGAGGGTTTTCATAATTTTATGCATCAGATTCCAAGAACCCATTTGCATCTTTATGTTTATAATATAGATAACAGTGTAATCACCTTACTGCCCAAGTAATCCTAGAGTCGTCTAATGGCGCCCAGTTTTGATAACTATGTAGTTATTTTCAAGTAGAAAAACATAAAATTCTTCGCTTCTATGAGGTTTTTAGAGGTCTTCGAAAAACACTTTACAGACACGTCAATAAACTAACAAAAACAAAGCATGATAAAATGCATGGCCATACAACTAATTATTACGGCACAGTGGCAGATCTCGTACAGGACGCTGGTTTTTTTAGTTTGCTTGACTGAAATAAATTGATATGTTAGTGAAGTTTCATAGCTCTTGGAAGGCTTTTTGGCTGCTTTCCTTGAAGTTGGAGCACATTTTCACTCCTCCTGCTAGATTTGACCAGTGATTGTGAAAAATGGGAAGTTTACAAAGACATTGGTTTTGCTTCAAGAACGATAAATTGTGTAGTAACACGTCTGGCTCTTGATAACATCTTGCATTCAAAGCCTTCTATGTTGATGTTTATTTAATGATTGTTGACCTCCACTGCAAACAAATTCTGAGCAAACTTTATTTCCTTTTTTCAAGAGGCAGCCTCTTTTAACATTGAATTTGCCTGTTCACATTATTCTTAAAGGCTGACATATACAGAAAAGCAAAGAACCAGCCAATGCAATACATGAATGAATTGTACAGATAAATTTGGATCGCCGGCACCTTAACATGAATCCAGGTCATCGTTTCCTTGCTTTCTCAGTCCGCTACCGACTATACTAAGCAAAAACTAAACAGGTTAACTAAACCAAAATACAAAAAATACCACATATTTTGGTTTGTACTGATTGTAATCTGGGTGGCGTTAAGTAGTTAACATACTTGTGAACTTCTAGATTTGGAATTAAAAGAGTAAACCATCCTGAATTAATATATTCAATAATAGTGAATACATTTTTCCTCCAGAAGTTTTAAATGGATTTAAACAAACAATATGAACATTTATAAATATTTATTATATAACAAATCATGTGGTGAAAGGTAAGATATCACAATTGACTCACTTCATACCGAAGTGCTATATAAATGAACTTAAACTAAAACTTAAAAGCTATGTCATAGATGTATATTCACTAGGACGCAGTCGATTGTAGCACCTAGAATCAAACTTATAATCTTGTAAAGGAAGCTATGAAATATTTATTTTATATTCAAATGAAAAACTTAATTTCAATTATAGCCTAAATCTTTATGTTAGGTTCTTTTAAATACATAATATATATTTAGGGATGGTCAAGTCTCGAAATTTCGGGAAATTTAAAATCTCGTTACACGAGACGAGATTTCTTTTTGGCCGAGATTTTTATCGAGACGAGAATTAAAAAAAAAAAAAAAAAAAAAAAAAAAAAAATTTAAAACGCCTGCAGAAAGTCAATGCAATACCCGCAATACAGGAGCGTGTTGTAGTTGCGTTTCCTTTGCGAAGGCGTTCTTATTTAATTAATTCTATAAATGTAAATATTACTCTAATTATTTTAATAATATTACTTTAATAACATTTGAGAAGTTTTGTTAAGTGTAAGCAGTGTGAGGAATATTTTATTACTATAAAAAGTCAAAACAAGTAACTATTTTATAAAAATTAATATTGCTTTTATTTTATAATTTATTTTATTTTTGGATAAGTTGAACTCTATCCTAACTGATATCACTATGTTTCCTAATCGTAGGCATTTTTAATAAGTTAGGCGTGATTAATAAAAAAATGTTATGCTGATGTTTTTTAATAAAAGATTGTAAATATTCTTGCCTATTATCATTATTGTTGTATTTAAACAGTCATCTAACAATGTTACAAAATCAGGTAAAAATTTTGAACATGCATTTCCCGTTGTGTATGAGAAGGGAAATCCCGTCTCGATCTCGTCTCGAAATTGTATGAGAAATAAAAAATCTCGTCTCGTCTCGTCTCGAACTAAAAATTCAATCTCGTCCATCCCTATATATATTTAAATTGAATTTCATACAACCAACTACTAATATCTATGATATTAAATATATGTGCTTTGAAGTGAAAACAGTGGCTATTGATCCCTTTAATAAATGTTACTTAAAAAAAAATTGCTGCCAAGCTAGAATGAATCCACAGCACACACAAATGAATGCTGAAAGAAAGTCCTTTTCATAGACTGGAATAGAATTTTGTCAATGGTATAACAGCCTCAGCAACATATTATGTCATACACGTTATATTCCCAATGTTTATTTTCCATTAATGTATTTTTACAATTCTTTAAATAATGACAATCTTTTTAAGCCATATTTTTATGTTGGAAGCCATAGTGTATGTCAGTCACTTACATTTGGTCTAAGCACTTTTACTATCTACCATTAAAACTACTTACCAAATTTAAAATAAAATATACCTGTACATGGTAATAAGACACATAAGTTTGTTAAGGAAACAGGGGAAAATATGATAGGGCTCATATTAAAGTTAAGTGAACTAATAAGAACGATATATGCAAAATATAGTGGTAGCATTCAAAATACAGGAACTAAATATAAACTGTAGGGTTAGAAAAACATAAATTAATAGTAAAAATCATCATAGAAAACTATCCAAATCAAATTTTTAATAAGCAAGGATTATAATTGCTGGTTTGAAGTTGTATAAAATTTTATTCATTAGGACTAAGTGAAATTATATGAAAAAACTCAAGTTGTACGTAAAAACAATATCAACCTTCTATTTACTATTCCTCCTACATCAAATATTACTAAATGAAAATATAATAAGAAATTCTGGTAAAAGAATATTGAAAATGTTGTGGATTTGCATTGCTCTAAAATACAGTGTCATACTGATGGGAGCTATTTGTAAATCTCTAATCTCTTGGGCTACCGAAGACTCTGGATGTATTTGAGTAGGTTGAAGATGATGATGACAGCCATGGTGTCGGCGTGGTCGCGTGATTTGTCACCCGAGTTGCACAGGTTGGTCGCGCAGTAGCAGTACTCGGTAGGTGATCTCATCCCCAGTCCTTCATCGTTTTGACACCCCACGTTGTATACATCCTCTTCTATCTTGTTTTCCATACGCCAGTTACCATCTTGGTAAAAGTGTATATTCCTCTTCTGAGGCGCACATCCTCTTTCAGACACTTGAATAGTTTCTGAAACAAAGTTTATTCGTTAATTGATTAGGTTGAATGTTTATTTTTATTTCCAACATCACATCAAATTGATTTTCCTGACAGGTGATTTTCATAAAGTCTATACTACAATAATCAATTGACATAATAAAATACAAAAAATCGATACACACCTATGTGAGATGTAGTACATTATAAATTTACCCATCTTTCACATATTTTTATAATGAGTAAAATGCCCTCTGCAAAAAACGCGACCGGGTGGAGGTTGTAGCTCGAACTAACCGACTAAGGTTGTAGCTGCTCGAGCCACAACTTCCACCCGGTCGCGTCACCTGTCTCGTGTCTCTGAGTACTCGGTATTTTTATTGTTAAATGTTCGTTTTTCAATGTTCGTGTTCTATGTACATATTTATTAAATGACGACCTTCATATACGGAGATGAATAACGACGCCTTGTACGGCCTGAAGATGATTCCCTGTGAATCGAAACTATAGTTGTCACAATCAACTTTTTGGATTACTGAATGGAGGTATTTAAACTTGATTTGTTGTTTGAAATAACAAACAACACTTGAAGGTCAGATATACAGAAGTAAATTTATGAATTCTAAAAAACTAAAGTATCATATAATTATTTAGAGGGTTACACTTTGTTGACATTTTAAGCTAATATTTTGTGGTTTATAAATAACTGTGTTTAAGAAATTATACTTAGTTATCAGTTCCACAGACACAAGTAGTGGCCTCCATTCATGATTTTTCATTCTACGTCTTTACTCACATAGAAAAAAATTGTTTAAGCAATTGTTTGGATGGAATTTGAAAGTTCTAATCAACTAATAAAGTATGAATTGTTTTAGGACCAACTTAACTACCCAATTAAAATGTTTGATAGAATATATTTACCTGGTTAAGGTTTTATTACAATTATTTTTGCTATCAAAAAATAAATTCTCACCATTACATCTTGATGACTGTCAGTTGCTATCAAAAAATGGTTATTGTTATCTTATCAATTCGTGCCACCATGTCAACTGATACCAAAATGCTATCGGAAATTGAATAAGACATCAAGGAAGTTGCCAATTCAATTTTGGGAATTTAACTTTAAATTGAGTTATTAATTTATATTCAAAAAATTGTAAAGGATTCAATTGAAAATTAACTATTTCTCTACAAACAATAGTCTAGTTTTATAATAATATAATTATTAAAAAACAAGTATTTTTAATTCTACCAAAATTAAAATATTTTCTACAACTGGCTGTCACTATTTTTGCACATGCAAACTTAACCAAAAATAGAGTTTTATTAGCAGATTAACTGATTACCAAAAATGCCTACACTATGTGTATTCAAGCTACAATATATCAAATTATTCTACTTAAGTGGTAAGTATAACTCACAACAAATTGTGTTAATAAGTTTGTAAACACATTTTAAATGCCATTTATGCTATTATATGTATAATTTCTGGATATGTTAGTTATATCAACTCTCCTCTGGTAAACCTCATATTATCTAGAGTTCAAAAACCTTTAAAATAAAAATAACTATTTGAAAAAAGCTAACTTGGGGGTATTTCATATAAGAGCACAATATTCTTTAACTGTGATTAGGTGTCCATCATGCCAATTAGAGTGGCAAGCAGGTGCAAGGACCCTTCTCCCACCACCTTTGTAAATTACAGTTGAGTTATCTCAATAATGATTTTTTTAAAGAGGTTGGCACACTCTTTAAACTCTTGAATCGCTGTTGCATTAATTCAATACCACTAGTGTCTAGAAATGTGACTTTTTGTGTTGTCAGGGGCTTTTCCCTCACCCCCCCCCCCCTACACATCATCTTGATTGAAATCTTTTTAGTAAAAAAACATTCTAGTATAAATAACCAAGGTTTCTGTAGTATTTATACAAATGAAATGATAAAAAAACTTACTTCCTCCTTGAAGTGAATGGTGAAATGTCCGTTTCATACATAGTGTCGAATGAGGGCAGTCAATGTGGTAGTTATTGGAGCCGTCAAATTTGGAGCAAAGTTGCGCAGTTTGATTACTTCCGCGGGATGGGGGTTGAATTGTACAGTAGAAACAAACTATTCCAGCACACTCCTGAACTAAAACAAAATATTGTTACAGTTGGGTTGAAAAACAAATTATTTGCAATGGCAATAAATGAATGGTTAAGCTAATTTTAACCTAATCTTCCTGTCATATTATTTTTTTTTTACATAGAATGTACCAAATACAGCATAAACCATGTGGTTTAATTTAGGGTTGTTGTCAGTAAATTATGTTAACAATTTCATGTGAAATAAATAAATTTTCCAAATTTGATTAGAATCATACTTTTTTTATTATAAATGTGAAAGTTTGTGTGTTTGTTTGGGGTTAAATCACACATTAACTACTGGCTAAAATAGGCTTAAATTTGGCATGGTGATAGCTCACATTCCTGATTAACATTTAGGCCTATTCTTATCTAGGCTAAAAAAATTCCTTTCAGGCTTGGTCCCAGTGGCTCTGAAAATTCCCATTTTAACCTTATGACTAGTCTCATTAAAAAGGAATTAAGGATTCTTGACAGCTTTTTCAAATAAACAAGTTGGTTCTATGATGTTCAATAGCATTAACAAGTTACAAGGTTTACTAACAGGGTGCAGCACTATAAACTGTTTAGTTTGAATTTTTGACGACAGCTTATTTGAACTAAGCGGCATCAAAAAGCTGGTACACAATGAGAACTGTCAAAATAGGATTGTTTAGTAATGTTTATGTTTTTTTAATAAATAAATAATTTGTGATATTCTGTAAAAAGGGTGCTTTATTTTTAAGTTCATAACTAACTCATCAACGCTAATTGACTGTCTTTTTTCAAAATGTTTATCAAAATGTATTGTGTTTGTTTACCCCAAAATAATGTCTGGAAAACGTATTTGGCTGTTAATACTTTTAGTGGATCAAGTCAGTGACTCGGATGGAAGTATCTATATTAGATGTGAAAGTATGGAGTGTGTAAATAACATGAAAACTACTTTACTAATTGAGCAGATTTTTTTCATGAATAGAGCCAATGTACCACAGGCATGGCCATTTTTATTTTAATACTCTCCAAGGGCTCTGCCTTGAGTGCTTGCATAGTTTCTATGCTATTCTTATGAATACACTTAATGTTAGAACTGCCAAATTTATATAAACCAGTTGTTTGGAAATGATTTTGTTGGTTCATTGTCAAAATTGTGGAAATTTATTTATGAGTTAATTTGCTTCTCCTGCAGGTTACTGCAGCAGGGGTTTATTTTGTTGTGTAGTATTATTAACGATTAAACTATTTTTCTCTTACTTTTTAACACACATACAATTTACATAACAAATCAATGAAGGACCTGAAATTACACTGCAGATTTTCTGCAACGAGAGTGGTATTTATTGCATGTGTCAAAAAAACTTGTATATCTGAGTACAAATTGCAAGTAAATGCATTTTAAGTTTTTTTTATTATCTGTAAAAGTGAGGATAAAATTTCATCAGTTGTCTGTGCCTGATTATGACATGACAGTTGCTATTCAGTCACGTTAGTATTCTGTAGTCTGTTATGGGGCTTCAATGATGTAAAACTGACCTGTTACTCAATATGTTAGTTCCTTAGTCCTTGACACATAGTTTGATTGGGTGCTGGCCTTGATTTTAATATCAACATTGTAATCCCTTATACTATTATAACAAGAGTAAAATTTGATGTAAAAATGTTGAATTCCATTGTTTAATTGCAGTTAAAGCATTCTTTTCTGTGTAGATTTTCAATTAATGATGCACACACACAAAAAAAGGGCTGGAGAGCAAAGCTCAATAGATAACAAACTTTTTTTGTAGATTTGTAAGTTTTACCAATTTATTTGAATCTTGCTAGGGTCATCTTAAAAGAAAAAATGTTGATTTTTTTAGCGCTTTACCGACACCGTATAAATCATGTACTTTTATTTTAAAAATAATGGTGTGCTTCTTGGCTTGTAAATTTGAGTTTGTTCATTGTTATACTAGGATAGTCTGTCAATAAGTTTTTAGTTAAAATAATTACTTTTCTAATCAATATTTAAGATGCCAAGATATTCTATGTCTTATCCAATATCTTCAACATATATAGTAAACAAAAAATAAAGGTGATTTCTGTTAACGCAACATGTTTTACATGAATTCTTTGATAAAAGAGACTATTCCATTGAACACAATATAATATATTGTTTAAACTAAGCATTTGGAGGACAATCATTGGCTTACAAATGCATAAAGGAACAAGTAATGAATTACCCAAGAAAAGAGTTCCAAACAGTTCATAACACACAAGTTGACAACACAATAGCTCTGAAATCGATTTAATTGTGTTGTGAACTTTTGACTCCTATTAAGTGCCTGGAACTCTTTTCATGAACTGTTTGTCCATTCCTTCTTCCTTAATGTACTGTGTTTTTAAAAGTTGGAAAGTGATTGAGAGACAAAATTTGAGAAATTAAAATTTTTACTTAATCCGAGACAAAAAAATTTTCAGTTTGATATCTTAATCAGACAAAATTAACATATTTTGCACATCTATACTCACTTTAATATAGATAATTGATTTTGTCATGTTTAAATCTCTCAGCTTAATTCTTTATTTTTATTTACATATACAGGGCTGTCCCGTAAGTTAATAACCAAATTCCGGGAAATGATTCTTTGGGTCAAAGTCAAGAGAAAATCAAGAATAAAATGTTTTCGAAAATCGCTTTAATAACCTGATATCCGCCATTTTGTATTTTCACAATCATCTTTATCATCTTCTGATTGTTCCAATCAATCATTATGCAACTTGGTATGTATGTTATAGTAGAAGAGACCCATGTTAGAGAAAACAGTTATCTTGATCTAATTTAAAATTTCAAGATACAAGTCATTTATATTTTTTTTTATTTAAATTTTTAAAAATGGTTAATTTTATAGAAAAATACCAAAAACAACCAACAAAAAAATAACAAGAAGAAACAACACCAAGTTCAAAAATATCAAATAAAAATAACTTAAATATCACAATTTTTAGTTGTTAAATTAGGTAAACCTAACTAGCTTAGCCTTCCTTATTCTACCTTATTTTACAACAGAAAATTGTGATATTTAAGTTATTATTTTATTATTTTTTTTACTTGGTGTGGTTTGATAGGAAATTTTAATTCTAAATAATATTCATGTAATTTTTTCATAAAATCTGCTATTTTTTAGTAATTTGCATAAACTAAAAAAAATTAAATCCCCGCCATTTTGAATTAGATTGAGTTTACCTTAACATGAATACCAAGTTTCATAATGATCAGTTGGAACGATCCAAAGATAAAAATGTTTATGTGAAAATACAAATTGGTGGATATGTGGTTAACAAAATGATTTTGGGAAAAAACAAATTCTTGTTTTTCTCTTTATTTTGACCCATAGAATCATTTCCCGGAGTTTGGCTGTTTTCTTACAGGACACTCTGTATATAAAGAGAAACAATTTCACGTGACTTCTTTGAAAATACAGGTTTGTGTGAAACATTTACCAAAGTTTCAATGGACAGTTTTAGTATTAAGTCTTTTGAAAGCAAGGATCAAGTTTTTAAATTACAAAACATGTTTGAACAAAATCAGTGACTGTAAGAATCGTGTTTAAAAGTTAAATAGATTCATAGTTTGAAGTAACTTTTGCATCTCTCTGTATAAAGTCACCACAGAAACAATGTGTCAAAGAGTGTAACTGAGGTTAGTATTTCTGTGCGATTGTTGTGAAAATGGGGCAAGCTTTTAGCTGATGAGAAGTGTAATTACTATTGCTGGAGGCTCGTGACCTTTAGCCTTACCGTTTTGTCTCAAAGATTTACAAGTCTATCACACTCTACTTCTCACTATTTTCCTAAGAAATATACAAAATATATTTTAAAAGACACTTTAACGTGGTCTATTTATTTTTTTAATTTCTCGACCTGTACATATTTCATATACTATAACACATAATATACTCCATATTATGGAGTAAAATTATTGTTTTTGTCAAATTTTCGAGTTTGAGTTTTGGGTGGAAATAACTCCTCAAAACTCCTTTTAACTCTAAAAAAATTGGTTTAATCTCAATTACTGGAATAATTAGGATTCAAAAGTTATTGTGAATTTTTCTTTTAAAATATCATAGTCACTCCCACTGCTCCCCCATGATAATGGTTGTTGACAAGCTAATGGGATAAAGTATAGGTCATATTGCTGATACTGGTTATTTTCCTTCGTTTCACATTAAGGATTTTCTTTCATAATAAACAAAATACCTCCGCCGCAGCAAACCTGCCGACTAAGGGAATTGCCGTTTGTCTGAATTGATTTTCAATTAAATCTATTTAAATAACATTAGATTTAACACTCGTTAGTCGTTAAATCTAATGTTATTTAATGTTCTAATGTTATTTAACCTAGGTTTGCTGCTACACGGAAAATAATAAAGTATGTTTTTTATTAAAATATTAATAGCTTAGTATAAAATAAATAAATCTGCCAAGTTTGATCAAAGTATATCAATAAACAAGCCAACTACAACATTTTACAATATTTTCCATAAGAATAACATGGGAATTTTAAATGAACATTTTTTTTATTTTCTCGGTAACCAATAACTCTACAAAAACACTTTGATATACTAAAGTATTTATTTTTTAAGCTCTTAAAAAAGGTCAAATCAAAAAAGAAAGGTCATCAAAATGAAAAAGTAAATCGGTCCTGGGCCTAGGTCTTACCATAAGACCTACGGTAATAGCTACTTCCCCATAGAGAAATTTGCTAATAGAAAATGTTCAGAATTATTTTAGGGTAGGCCTAAAGGGTTATGACATTACCACTAAGCTGAATGTCCATTGGCGATCAGTAGGATATGAACCCTGACCTGGAGGTCTGGAGTCCCCATCTAATTCTCCATATTGAAAAAAAACTAGTTAAATAACTAGACTGGCGTGAAGTTTTTGTTGTCATAAGCAATAGTTAATTTCATTCTTTGTATTCTACCATTCCTGTATTACACCACCAGATCTACCTTTAGAAGAGAAATATCTTAGTTTGGATTTAGTACG